AGGCGAGAGGCAGTGGGTGACCCCGGGGAGGCCTTTCTACTTCCTGGACTGAATTACGGATGAAAATTTTTAAAGATCCCGTTCTGTAATTTCAAAGGTTTTCGCTGCTTCCAGCATGTTTGGTTTAACCGAAAAACCAATATAAAAGTTTATAAAGATAAATACACGTGAGATGCTTTTAAGGTGGCTTTTTAAAGATTCTTCTGCAGGAGTCACTTGATGCTAGTCTCTGCAGTTCTGTCTGTTTACCACTAGAGGTCAGACTCCACATAGAGCTGCAATTTCTTCAGTCTCAATGATCTGAAGTGGATTCAGCTGCCAAATTTTACAAGAAAGCTAAAAAAAAAGTTTATTGATTTCTTGGTCAACAAAATGTCACAAGGATGGCTTTAATGCACTTCCAGGGTCTCTCAATGGTTTTCCAGGTTGGGACATTCAGGTTTTCTTGTAGGAGCTCTATGGATCTCTGAGGGGTCTCATTTATCTAGATGGTTTTTGTCGTGTTTCTGCTGCAGGGATTACTGGGAGTCCACAACAAAGCTTTTAGGGTTATTTACTGTTTTCCTTGGTTCTTCTACAGGCTGCAGAGGATTACAGATTTCTCGGAAGATATTCTGCTATTTCTTGAGAAAGTTGCAGGGTTCATTTTGAGCAACTCATCCAGCATTTTTGGATCATTTTTTTTCTGAAGGGTGTGATCAGCGTTTCCTGACTGACTAACTTTATCAGCTCAGACCACCGGAATCAATCAAACTCTGCTTATCTTTTAGGGTTTGTGTCTATTTTCCTCCCACCCTGGCCAATTAGTGCAGAAGCAAGTTTCAAGAAGCTTCGGAGTGGCATGGTTGCCGTGGCAACGTGCTTCTCATCACGGAGGATACCGTTGCTGTGGGTGATGTCACGTAAGCCGAGGATCATGTCGGGTAGAATCGGACTCGAACTGGGACGAGGAGTGTTTATGATGATGATGATGATGATGTTAGTCATGTTGTGAGGACCCTGCCTCTGTCTTTAGTCAAATGACAGTGGGACAAAAAGCAATCCCATTAAATAAATCACGAGTTTAAAAAGCGTTTGACTTCATATAAATGAATAAAAAACAAAATGAGAAAGGAAAGCAAATTACAGAAGAGATTAAATGTATTGCTTCATATAATTCAATTTAATCTCATTTTTGTACTTTGCCTGTCGTAATAAATCCAAAGTGAACCTCGAGCTTAATAACATTTCAATGAAAACTGCAGCTGAGCATCGCTTTGATGAAACGTTCTTCTTCTGCTCTGGAGAAATAAACTAGCTCCACTTCCTCAGTCTCAGTTTGTTGCCCGGTTGAGACATTTGTTGTTTAGTGTCACCGCAAGACTTGAGGACACATCGGTTTGTGCCTCCACCTTAATCACCTGACTTGTAATGACAGCTATTGACTTTTCCTAGCAAGTTTATTGTCACCTCCACATGCAGCCATGCTGAAGACGGGACTCAGACGTCTCATATTTGAACCTTTATTCAAACAAAAGCACAGAGAAGAAACGGGAAAAATCCAACGAGAGAACAATCGGGCTGAGACTGAATGATCGGCGAGAGGATGACGGAAAGGCGCAGATCAGCAGGATGCAGCAGAAACAGGACGAAAACCCTGGAGGACATGTACTGTGAGGAGATAATGAGTGGCACAGCACAGAAGTGTTGTAATTAGCAAACTGAGATAACAGATAAAAAGATGCAACTCATTCATAAATAACAGAATATAGAGGAAAAACAACCACATCAGAGCCCGAAAACTAAAGACACAAAAGCTAAATGTTAAAGTCTAAATCTAACTTTTAAATGCAAATATTGATGCATAATTACAAATGAATACTTAGTTTAAAATTAAGATCAGTTTACGTTGAAAACCAAAAGAGTAATATTACAAGGAATTAAATGTAAATTAATTTAATTGAATATTACAAAATTCGGCCTGATTTTGGAGAGTGTGTTGTGAAAGACTTGAACTTATGTTCGCGCCAGTAATTAGCTGTAAATCTGACTTGAGATGTGGCCATTTTTGTTTTGGCTAATGTTTGTTAGCAGTAGTGTTGATGAGTTGTGCTTGGAGTGTGTGGTAGGGACACTCCGCTGATACCATTACCCTGGCTCAAAATCTGTAATTTGCAGAATTATGACTTTTGTGTTTGGATTGACTCCAAATGGTAATCAGTTATAGATATAAAGTCAACAGATGTGACTTCCTGAACATTCTGCCTGCCTTTTGGCTGCAGAATGATACAGAATTTAGAGTTTGAGATAAAAAATTCTGCCTAAAATACCTTCATGACTGTTTACATTTCAAAAAAGATTAACATATTTAACTATTTTATACACTGAAAGTGTTTTTGTGTGAATAGAAATATGTGCAAAAGATAGGAATTATAAAATTATCAAATGCATTATGCTGCATGGTGGTGCAGTTAGCACTGTCGCCTGGCTTCAAAAAGATTCTTGTTCTGTAGATTTGCTACAGCAGCTTTAAAAACCAGACCAGGAGCTGCCATTCTGTGCTTTCTGAGCCAATCTGAGCATAATAGATGCGGGGCTTAACTTTCTACCTACTCCCCAACACACATCCGTGGCGCTTTCAAGCATCTAATGACCAATGACAACTAAATGTATATCTATACAGGAATAAAAAGAACTTTTGAAAATGCTGTAGAAGGAAAATGTTAATCAAACACCTGAAAATGTTGACTGACAATTCATGAGAATTTGTCATATACTGCAGCCATCCACTAGAGGGAGCTGATGTTTGTTTTGGTTCCTGCTCCATTTTATTTAGAATAAATACCAGCAGACCCGCGTGTCTCCACAGAAATTCGACAGTAATAGATTTGGTACTAATCCTTCGTCTACGGCAGAAATTACACAACCAGACAAAACTAACTAACAGTCACTGCTTGCTCGCCCTCCCCAGGGAGGTTATGATGCAGACACTGGGATGGAGAGGGAGAACACAATGGGAGGAGGAAAGAAGAAGATTCAGAGGGGAGGGGATTCTCAGGCATCAGCGAACAGGCGGTCATGCTTTCTCCCTGATTTCCTCCCTTTCTCACTGCCACCCCTCTACCCACAACCCCCTCCTCCTCCCCACAGTTTTCCTCGTTGCTCTCTCACTTCTCCTCCTCCTATATCGTGAAGTCAGCCAGCGCCTCAGTCAGCCTACAGCTTATTTGCGTTCACTTCCACACATCACTGCCTCATTTTCTCACCTTCTCTTTACTGAGTGACACCTCTGCTGCTGCCTCCTTCTCCTCCTCATCCTCAGTCCACCATGGTGAACAGATAATCGTCTGGCTGTGCTGAGACCATGGGTGCCTGCCTCTGCAAAGGTCACAAAGGTCAGTGCCTGCGTGATTTATGTTTGAGTGACCGAGGGGAGCTTTGACGATTTGCTAAACTCGTCGAGCGAGTTGACAGCTGCCAAAGTTACGAGGGACATCTGCAGGTTTGAAGCTTGGAAGAGACACATCTTTGTGACGTAGTAGAATGCAGACCTGCTGACAATCATCCCAGTCTCGTTTTGAGCCCAACAGGTGTGCGTGTAGTGAATCCACGAGTAATCGCTGTGAAACAGAAAAATCTCGCCATGAAAACATTCATCTAAGAAATGAGAGCCAGCAGTTTTTCTAAAGTGCAGAATGAAGACTCGAGGGCTGCGTGGAGGCTCGCAAATGTAACAACTCCATCCCCGGCTTGTCATGACTTGAAGACTCAAGTTGTAATTTTTTCTCAGATTTTCTGCACCATGAAAGAAATAAAAAAGTCTGCATCTCTTTAGATGTTAGAGATGGTCCCAGGTCTGTCACGTTTTCAAACAGTTGGCTTTTTTTTAGCCATTGTTCCTATATTTTTGCATCATCACTGAGACTCATTCATTATGTCCAGTTACAGTTTTTGCTGCAGGTTGAAAATGTTTCATAAAATAAAGTCTGATTTTATTCCCAAAAGGCCCTTTAGTAGAAACGGTGGAGGGTTATTGAGCACTGGGCTTCAAGCTGCAGAGAGAGAGAGAGAGAGAAGACAGCTGCAGGGTGGCAGACAAACACAAGAAAACTCGAGTGTGTGTGTGTGTGTGTGTGTGTGTGTGTGTGTGTGTGTGTGTGTGTGTGTGTGTGTGTGTGTGTGTGTGTGTGTGTGTGTGTGTGCGTGTGTGTGTGTGTGCGTGTGTGTGTGTGTGTGTGTGTGCTGACCTGTCTAATGCTGTCAGATCTTGGCTTCCGCTTTATTGCCTCTTGTCATTCATATGAGCCTCATCACCATAAATTATGAAGTGAATAGGCAGAGCGTGAACTGATGCAAAGCTAGACACGCCGAGGGGCTTTGGTTAAACGTCTGTAACGAGACTCCAAACGCTCCCTGTCGCTCTCACCATCTCATCCATTATATATGAGCCGTGCTTGACCGTTGGCCACAAAGTAGTCCATGAATCTAACACCAGATTATGTCTGTGATTCCCCACAGAGCTCCAACTTCCTCTGTCATCACAGCACCAGACTGAGGATGGACAGTCGTCTTCCTTAAAGGTACGGAGCAGCTCCCACTGTCTTTTGGCCTTGTCTAAGCAACTTTATGGTGAAATGAAATACACCTGAAAAATAAACAGGGATAACAATATCTGCAATTTGAGCATCACTTTAACACAGAAACATTTTTTGTCTGATTCAGTATATTGATATTGACCAAATATTTTGACACACACCTGATAATCTGTAATTACGGTCATGTGATTGACATAAAAATAGCATTCAAAATTACTTTTAAATATACAGAAGAGGATTAGGGCCACAGAAAAGAAAAAGGAAAGAAAAATAATTTTGACTTTAATCTCAGAATTCTGACTTTTTGATTTCTGATTTTTAAAAAAAAGTCAGAATTCTGAGATTAAAGTCAGAATTCGGAGATTAAAGTCAGAATTCTGAGATTAAAGTCAGAATTCTGACATTAAAGTCAAAATTCTGGGATTAAAGTCAGAATTCTACCTCTCTTCTTTATTTTTTAGTGACCCTATCCTCTTCTGTAGAAATATATTTTAGAAAAAAAAATCAATTTTAATAAATTGGTGCAAATAAAAAGATTAGGACGTAGAACTAGAAATAGCCCGATTATCTAATTGGGGTTTGATCCAATTTATTCTCAACTGTAATAATTCATTATGTGTTATTAAAATTGTACTTACTTATTTTTATTCATGTCTGTATTCTCATAGAAAATGCAACTTTCAAAACTTGTGCACGCAATTCAAGCTTCAGAGCCTGGTTGGATCAATAAAGTAGCCAATAAATTAAATGCTGTTCTTGGTCAATACGTCAATTTGACAGATTTAAAGAAACGTTCTCGTGCTGGCGGCACACACTGGTTTGGGAGCTGTATAGAACTTTTACTATGTGGAATAATCACTTGATTTTCTCTTCAAGCAGAGTTTGTGTGGAATTTATTGCAGAGGATTTTCAGACCACAGGAGTTCTTATATTTGTTAGGAGAGAGTGTGACATCCCTAAATGTAGTTATAAACAGGAAACATAAGAAAAAAGTTATTTTAGGAGACATTTTAAATGAGATAGTTGCACTTTTAAGATGATTATGGTAGAAATGATCATTTGTGTGAAATATTTCAATTTGTTTTTATCTGCTGCAGGTTAGCAAACATAAATGGTTTTATTAAAGTAATTTTCTTTTTTGCTACTTCATTTGCCAAATTTTAGCATTTTTTTCCTCTTTGGAACCGAAATAATTTTGTAAAGATCAACACATTTAATAAATAAGGTTCGATCTTAATGATACCACTTTTTATTCACAAGGTTAAAGCGCCAAACATATAAATACAATAGAGGTTACTGGAGCCAGCAGTGTGATCGTGGAGGTGGGGAACGTACTCCAACAGAAGCCCCAGGCAGAACATTTTCATTTTGCAGGTTGAGCGGGAAAATCTCATTAGCATTCATGAGGAAAGTGTCACCTGACTGGCTGCAAATTACACGGGAGGAGTTAGATTCATTGTGGATCTAAGATGGTAGTGGGGTATCAGAGTGTCCATGAATGTTCATCCACTGGTGTCTTTGTTCTGGGACAATACGCTGTTCTATCACCAACCCGTGAGTTGTTTTATATTCTATTTTTTTGTTTCTGCAAACCTGGAAGTCTTTGCAACCAACTCATAAATCGTGAGTCTCTCCGTGCTGACTGCATCCACTTGGGTGTTGAGGAACCTTCTGTTGTTTGCAGCTTATTCAGGCTCCGAGTGTGAATGCTGAAGAACATGTGTGTCATTTTAATTATCACTAGTTTGCCTGGAAGAAAATAACAGTGGGAAATGCGTGGGATGAGTGTGGGACGACAACGGGAGGATTCGCATAAATGTTTTAATGTACGTGTTTTAATTTACTTCTCTCATTCTGGACTTTTGTAGAGTTAATTCAGAGATATGCTCTTACTGTGAAATGGTAAATATTGTAGTTTTTGTCATGTTGACCTCCAAAAATCCCTTTACGCCACCTTCAGCTTTTAGGCCCTGTCCACACGTAGCCGGGGATCTGCCAAAACGTAGATATTTTTCTACGTTTTGGCCTGTCATCCACAGGAAAACGGAGTTTTTTCACACGAAAACGGATCTTTTTAAAAACTCCGGCCAAAGTGAAGATCTGCATTTTATCCGTTTTGGGTGTCTGCGTGTGGACGGACAAAACCGGAGTTTTAAGGTTCGCAACGTCACTTTCCGCGACAAGAAAATGCTGACATCACGTGTGCGACCTGTGTTTACACTAGCCGACAGCATGGATGCCCTCAGAGCTGCGCTCGCTTTATCAATTGTCCAAGCGCCTTTTGCTTGTTTGTTTTTGCAAGCGGAATTACTGCTCCTTGCGGAAGACCACAGACGAAGGACGAGGTTAAGAACGGGGGAAGTACTGCCATCTACAGGTCTGGCATGTCCTTAACAACGTATTTATCCGGGTACGTGTGGACAGAGTTTTTTTTTTAAATGAGGTGATGTGGATGCAAGTTTTTGGAGGGGCGGATATTCGTTTAAAAAAAAACCCGGGTACGTGTGGACTAGGCCTTAGTTTAGTTTTTAGTGCCTTGCTCGTCATCACTCCTCTGCAATCATTGTCCCACAGTTCCTGCTGTGACCTTTGGACTTCTTTTATGTGCAGGATGGTCAGAATCCCTCCAATGGCACCATGGAGGACAAATCCAGCCACTATGACATTGGCGAGCTAGCTACGTCCACTCTGATGGGTGAGGAACACAGAAACAAGCACCTTTACTTCATCTTCTCTATGGAAGAGGATGAGGGCCACTGAAAGAAACCAAATTCTGACTTCAATCTTAAAAGTCAAAATTCGGAGAAAAAATATATCTGAATTCTGACTCCTTGTTATGTTTTTTCTGTGTTTCTTTTCTAGTTTCATTACCTTATACACAGAGTAGCAACGTTTCCATTTTTACCTTATTTTGCGAACAGTTTTAGCTTCTCACAGTCGCCTCCGTCAGAGATTCATCGATGTTGGTGGTGCCGCTGCCGTTGCTGTTTAGCAGCAGAGGACGATATCGCCCTCTGCTGCCGCGCTTTCCTTCTTGTTCTCCATGCTTCATCAATGTGTGACTGAATGTGTGACTGGTCAAAAATTTTGAGATTGAAGTCAGATTTCCGAGTAAACATCAGAATGATGCGATTAAAGAATTCTTTTGATTTTTTATTTATAGTGGCACTAATCCTCTTCCGTATTTCAGCGTGGCCTTGTTAAAAGTTAGGGACTTGATGGAAAGTACGTCTGGCTTCCTGCTCTCCATATTTCAATGCCTCTTACTCATTTTCAGTGGCGGCTCCAGAAATGTTTTGCTGCAGGTGCAATGAAGGATCCAGTCTTTTTATTGAGGGTGCTATGAAGGAAGTGGTCATGCGTACCTATTGTTCTCTAATAATGGGCCATTCCCATCTGTACCGGGTCGGCCCGGGCCGGGTAGCCCCAGTCGGCCCCAGTCGGCCCCAGCCTGGCCCGGTTGATTCCACACATCCTTGCCTTAAGCCCATATGGGCTGATTCTACCCACCAATCAGAGGCTTGCTCTAATGGAAGGTGTGAATTTGCTGTCAGCAGTGGGTGTGTTGGTCCTGGTCGGCCTGAAGCAGACCCCCTCGAGAAGAGGGCTGGGAATGAGCTTTGGTTGGCCCGGAAAAATACCAGGCCACCCAGATATATAAACAACCTACGCTACCCGGCCCGGGCCGACGCGGTACAGATGGGAATGGCCCATATTACACCTTCAGCACTAGCAGATACACATGCGTGCACAAAACCTCAACAACACCTGAAACAATCATTAAAATACATCATAAACATATGAACAATCGCTGACTTTTCCATGAAATCATAAACACATACAGCCACACAGAAAACCATCTATAGTGTGGCAAGGTTAGCTAACGTTAGTGTTAGCATTTCCAGCGGCAAAACCCTCGACTGCTGCGGCGGTTGAGGATTGACTCTCTTCATCCAGATCCGTAGGTTTTTGTGGGTCTGAGATCACTTCCAAAGATTCATTCATTTCTGACTGAACCTGTGGAAATTTGGGCAACAAAAACCGACCCATTTTACCACTAGCTCTACCTTTCACTCGTTCACAGGTGGAAAATGAGGTCAAATTCCTGTTTTGGTTTAAGTTTTTACCATCTATATGCTAATTTACTGATTATTTTTGTTTTGTATGTTAAATAATATCACATCCACACGTTAAAGTAAAATTAAATTGTAAAAAAAAAAAAGTCTAATATTTACTTGGGGGTGCTATGGGGGTGCAATGACTAATCCAGGGGTAGCTATAGCGCCCCCATGGCCCCCCCTGGCACAGCCACTGATCATTTTCTCCTTCCTTTTCCTTCAGTCACTTGGTGTCGTCTTCACAGATCCTCTTCCTCTGTCGAAGGCTCATTACTTTAGCTAATGTGTTGAGTGTTGCTGAATTTTTCCAAATGAACACTCTTTTGTTGGGCTGACGGTGTAATTATGAGTAGCATGAATGCCTCATGAATAAGCCGAGCGATAACATTCAGGCACACAGCTGAGATGCTGACACCTGCTGCTACCAGAGTGACAGATCCAGAGATGGAGGAGGAAAAAATGGCTTTTTAACGTTTACCTCAAACCAACAACCCATCTAATAATCCTATTACAACTTTAAGTAGGTTTAACTGATCTATTTCAGGTGTTGCTCTGGACCTATATTATTAAATATTACTAAACAGATTACGTCTCATAATGGATCAAGTGGTATTAAAAAAACATGACCTTAACATTCCTCGCCTGATGGCAATGAGCTGAAATTAAATTGCCTTCCATCCATAATAACCTCTGACTGTGCAATACCAGCATGGCATTTAAGAGCTCCATCGTCGCCGTAGTTTTTACGCTCTCTGTGTGGAGATGCAGCATGAAATATCAGCTGGTAGCCTGATGGCAAGTTAGCTTCATTGATACCTGAAACTCCAACACAATCAGGATTAACTTGCCTTTTAATTAGATTAAGATACGCACGAGTCAGTGTTTTACTCCTCCTTGAACCGTCACCTTATCGTGGTGGAGGAGTTTGAGTGCCCTAATGATCCTAGGAGCTATGTTGTCTGGGGCACTTAGTGCCCCTGGTAGGGTCTCCCATGACAAATTGGTCTTAGGTGAAGGGTGAGACAAAGAACGGTTCGAAGGATCTTTCATGGCGGTTAAAACGAAGAGTCGGAGTACCCGGCCCGGAGAGTTACCGGGGTCCCACCCTGGAGCCAGGCCTGGGGTTGGGGCCCGTGAGCGAGCGCCTGGTGGCCGGGCTTTCACCCATGGGGCCCGGCCGGGCCCAGCCCGAACCGGATACATGGGCTCGTCCAACTGTGGACCCACCACCCGCAGGAGGAACATGAAGGGTCCGGTGCAATGCGAATCGGGTGGCAGACCAAGGCGGGAGCCTTGGCGGTCCAATCCCCGGACAAGAAAACTAGTTTTTGGGACATGGAACGTCACCTCGCTGGCGGGGAAGGAGCCGGAGCTTGTGGCAGAGGTTGAGCGGTACCGGCTAGATATAGTCGGACTCACCTCGACACATTGCATTGGCTCTGGAACCCGAGACCTGGAGAGGGGTTGGACACTCTACTTTGCTGGAGTTGCTCCGGGTGAGAGGCGGAGGGCTGGGGTTGGCTTTTTGTTAGCCCCGAGACTCTCTGCCTGTGTGTTGGGGTTTACCCCGGGGGACAAGAGGGTAGCTTCCTTGCGCCTTCGGGTCGGGGAACGGGTCCTGACTGTTGTTTGTGCTTATGGGCCAAATATCAGTTCAGAGTACCCACCCTTTTTGGAGTCCCTGGGACGAGTGCTAGATAGTGCTCCATCAGGGGACTCCATTGTCCTGCTGGGGGACTTCAATGCTCACGTGGGCAATGACAGCTTGACCTGGAGGGGTGTGATTGGGAGGAACGGCCCACCAAATCAGAACTCGAGTGGTGTTTAGTTATTGGACTTCTGTGCAAGCCGCAGTTTGGCCATAACGAACACCATGTTCGAACATAAGGATGCCCACCGGTACACTTGGTACCAGGGCAGCCTAGGTCACAGGTCGATGATAGATTTTGTAGTCGTATCATCTGACCTGCGGCCGTACGTTTTGGACACCCGAGTGAAGAGAGGGGCGGAGCTGTCAACTGATCACCACCTGGTGGTGAGTTGGATCAGATGGCAAGGGAACATGCCGCGTAGACCTGGCAGACCCAAACGCATAGTGAGGGTCTGCTGGGAACGCCTGGCAGAAGAACCTGTCAAGACGGTCTTCAACTCCCACCTCCGGCAGAGCTTTGACCACGTCCCGAGAGCAGTGGGGGACATTGAGTCCGAGTGGGCCTTGTTCCACTCTGCGATTGTCGAGGCGGCTGTTGCTAGCTGTGGTCGTAAGGTGGCCGGTGCCAGTCGTGGTGGCAACCCCCGTACCCGCTGGTGGACACCAGAGGTTCGGGGAGCCGTCAGGCTGAAGAAGGAGGCCTACAGGGCGTGGCTGGTCTGTGGGTCTCCGGAGGCAGCAGACAGGTACCGGATAGCCAAGCGGGGTGCAGCAGTGGCAGTTGCCGAGGCAAAATCTTGGGCGTGGGAGGAGTTTGGTGAGACCATGGAGAAAGACTATCGATCGGCTCCAAAGAGGTTCTGGCAAACTGTCCGGCGCCTCAGGAGAGGAAGGCAGCAACTCGCTCAAACTGTTTACAGTGGGGATGGGGAGCTGCTGACGTCAACTGAGGCTATAGTCGGACGGTGGAAGGAATACTTTGAGGAGCTCCTCAATCCCACCAATGCGCATTCCGAGGAGGAACCAGAGCTGGGAGGCCTGGGGATGGACTGTCCGATCTCGGGGGCAGAAGTTGCTGAGGTAGTCAAACAACTACACAGCGGCGGAGCCCCGGGGGCGGATGAGGTTCGTCCTGGGTATCTCAAGGCTATGGATGTTGTAGGGCTGTCATGGTTGACACGTCTCTACAACATTGCGTGGTCATCGGGGGCAGTTCCTAGGGAGTGGCAGACCGGGGTGGTGGTCCCCATCTTTAAGAAGGGTGACCTGAGGGTGTGTTCCAACTATAGGGGGATCACACTCCTCAGCCTCCCTGGAAAGGTCTACTCCAAGGTACTGGAGAGGAGGGTCCGATCGATAGTTGAATCTCAGATAGAGGAGGAGCAATGTGGTTTTCGTCCTGGCCGTGGAACTGTGGACCAGCTCTATACCCTTGCAAGGGTGATGGAGGGGGCATGGGAGTTTGCCCAACCAATCCACATGTGCTTTGTGGATTTGGAGAAGGCTTATGACCGTGTCCCCAGGGGCACCCTGTGGGGGACGCTCCAGGAGTATGGGGTGGGTGGTTTTTCTGTTAAGGGCCATTCAGTCCCTTTACCAGAGGAGCGTGAGTTTGGTCCGCATAGCCGGTAGTAAGTCGGACCTGTTCCCAGTGAGGGTTGGACTCCGCCAGGGCTGCCCTTTGTCACCGGTTCTGTTCATCGCTTTTATGGACAGAATTTCTAGACGCAGCCGTGGTGTGGAGTGTGTCGAGTTTGGTGGCAGGAGAATCTCGTCTCTGCTTTTTGCGGATGATGTGGTCCTCCTAGCTTCATCCAGCTCTGACCTTCAGCTCTTGCTGGGTAGGTTCGCGGCCGAATGTGAAGCGGCTGGGATGAGGATCAGCACCTCCAAATCTGAGACCATGGTTCTCGACCGGAAAAGGGTGGCTTGCCACCTCCGGGTCGGGGGAGAGGTCCTACCTCAAGTGGAGGAGTTTAAGTATCTCGGGGTCTTGTTCACGAGTGAGGGTAGGAGGGATCGGGAGATCGACAGGCGGATTGGTTCGGTGTCTGCAGTGATGCGGACGCTGAGCCGATCTGTCGTGGGGAAGAGGGAGCTGAGCCAGAAAGCCAGGCTCTCGATTTACCAGTCGATCTACGTCCCAATCCTCACCTATGGTCATGAGCTTTGGGTAATGACCGAAAGAACGAGATCGCGGATACAAGCGGCCGAAATGAGTTTCCTCCGTAGGGTGGCCGGGCTCAGCCTTAGAGATAGGGTGAGGAGCTCGGACATTCGGGAGGGACTCGGAGTAGAACCGCTGCTCCTCCGGATCGAAAGGAGCCAGTTGAGGTGGTTTGGGCATCTGGTCAGGATGCCTCCTGGACGCCTCCCCGGGGAGGTGTTTCGGGCATGTCCTGCCGGCAGAAGGCCCCCGGGTCGACCCAGGACACGTTGGAGAGGTTACATCTCCAATCTGGTCCGGGAACGCCTTGGGGTCCTGTCGGAGGAGCTGGTGGACAAGGCCGGGGAGAGGACGGCCTGGAGCTCCCTAGTTGGGATGCTGCCCCCGTGACCCGGACCCGGATAAGCGGAGGAAGACGACGACGACGACGACGATGTGGGGGCAGCATGGAGCTCTACCGCATGTATCCAACACTACACCATAGTAGAAGTAGAAATGACATGTTTACAACATGGCATTTCAGCATTTTTAACAGCGTTCTCGTCTTTTCCGACAGTGCGAGCTATTTCTCTCCAAGAATTATTAACAACATGTTGATCACGGTGATCTTTGAGAGCTGAATCATACAAATGTCTGTATTTACGAACCTCTGCCAAACTAGTTCTTGCCGGTCCTCCACGTTTTTCCGCGTCCGTCCGCCCACGTGGTTAGAAATTTTCCGAGGTGCGCGTTGAGGAAATTCTGGGCCGTGCGGCGGTGCGGTGGTGGGGCGTGGTTGTTAAAATGACGCAAAATGACGCAACTTTTCCGCGCGGAGCCGTGCGGACTCGCGGACGCGTCAAGCATAAACCAACCTTTAAGGTTAGGATAGGGGTGAGGGGAAGGTTAAATAACAAGAGGATAAGGTTAGGGTGAGGTACAATGAGCTTGTTTGGTGCCCTGGCTGTGGACATCCCAACGCGTCAGTGTAACGCTGCATTGGGATCTGCAGTCAGAAAAGGGAAAAATCCCTTTTCGCACATAAGTGACGAAAAAGGGCACTTTTGGCGTCAGGGGTCTGACGCGGAGGGTGGCTGACCAAGCGTTTGTTTTTGGCGCACTGGGAGTGAGAATGTGTTGTTTTCTCTGCTGTGTGGTTCTAACCTAAATTGATGCAGGCAGATTATCTCCTTCACATTTAACAATCAGCCAGAACAGATCCTCCTTACAGAGTTGTCACTGTGTGAAAGCAGGGTGAGACAGCCGTAGACATCACATCATACAACAAAACCAAAGAGGAATCTCTGGAAGGAGCTGAAAAATAAAACGGTTGTGATATTTATCTCAGTTTAACACAACAGAGGCTTCCATCCTTTTGACCAGTTTATTTATTTGTGTCTAAAAATCTGTATTTGTTCTTCTTTTTTCCTCTGAAAGTAGGGTTTATTCCACCTCTTTTTGACATTTTATTTTTTCAACCTTTGTGCTTTATTTTAGTTTCGGTTTAATTTCCATCTCTGAAGCAGACGTGTCTGCTTCATTTCCACTCTTCAGCTCCTGAGACCTTTCTGCTCTTGTCTCCTGCTGTTAAATGAAACGATGGCCTCGCTGTGATTCCACAGATTATGGATGTCAGATTAATGCAAGAATATGGAAACACATATGTGAGTCACATATATTAATTAGAAGCCCGCTGAGACCTCCAAGATCTTCGTTTTGCCCTAAAAAAATAATTAAAATTGCTACAAAAGTAAAGTTTTTGTTTATGATGTTTCTTTTATATGTTTTCTATTATCTCTGCAGCGAAAACACAACTTTCTCTCTTCTCTTTGTCTCTTAAAGGGCAGAAATAGAAAACATCACTTTAACTCCTCATCAAATTATCTGCCTGGTTTCAGCCAGCCTGCCTTTCATTTAATACGCTCTATGAAGATGTATCCCTCCTCCTCATCCTCCTCTCTTTATCTAGGCCTGGTGGCCACAATAAAGGAGCACATCACCAAGCCGACGGCGATGGCCCAGGGGCGAGTGGCTCACCTGATCGAGTGGAAGGGTTGGGGTGGATGTGGCGAGGGAGGTGGAGGATGGAGCGGTGGTTGGAGTAAAGGAGGTGGAGGCTGGGGCGGGGTGGGGGCCGAGCTGCAAGAGGATGAACAGTTTTACTCCCAAATGACGGATGAAATCAAGGAAGCTCGCTTTGCAGCAGGTAAAACACAGAATTAAATCAAAGTAAAACAAACTGTGGTGGGTGGAGGTGAGGTGGTGCTTCTGTTTGATTAGCTCTGGCTGAAAATCGATAACCCTCAGGACTTCCAAGGGCAGGGGCTTTAAATCTAGTGCATTTATTGAATTTTCCTTAGTTTGTGATGTTTGTCAGACCTCTGGAGGAGCAACGGTGGGATGGAGAAAAGCAAGATAAACATGTTTCTGTTTCGTTTCCCAGGTGTGGCAGAGCAGTTCGCCCTGGCCGAGGCAGCGATGGACGTTTGGTCCATGAGTGATAACTTTGAGCAGCCGTCCACCAGCTTACAAGGTTCAATCCAATCCCATTTTATTCATAGAGTGCATTTAAAAACAGCATGTCAGCTGAACAAAGCATTGCACAGAGTTTAGCCTAAAATGCCATTCAAATTCACATACATACAGTGGGGCAAAAAAGTATTTAGTCAGCCACCGATTGTGCAAGTTCTCCCACTTAAAATGATGACAGAGGTCAGTAATTTACATCATAGGTACACTTCAACTGTGAGAGACAGAATGTGAAAAAAAAATCCATGAATTCACATGGCAGGATTTTTAAAGAATTTATTTGTAAATCAGGGTGGAAAATAAGTATTTGGTCACTTCAAACAAGGAAAATCTCTGGCTCTCACAGACCTGTAACGTCTTCTTTAAGAAGCTTTTCTGTCCTCCACTCGTTACCTGTATTAATGGCACCTGTTTGAACTCATTATCTGTATAAAACACACCTGTCCACAGCCTCAAACAGTCAGACTCCAAACTCCACTATGGCCAAGACCAAAGAGCTTTCGAAGGACACCAGGAAATGAATTGTAGACCTGCACCAGACTGGGAAGAGTGAATCTACAATAGGCAAGCAGCTTGGTGTGAAAAAATCAACTGTGGGAGCAATTATCAGAAAATGGAAGACATACAAGACCACTAATAATCTCCCTCGACCTGGGGCTCCACGCAAGATCTCATCCCGTGGGGTCAAAATGATCATGAGAACGGTGAGCAAGAATCCCAGAACCACACGGGGGGACCTGGTGAATGACCTGCAGAGAGCTGGGACCACAGTAACAAAGGTCACCATCAGTAACACACTACAACGGCAGGGAATCAAATCATGCAGTGCCAGACGTGTTCCGCTGCTGAAGCCAGTGCATGTCCAGGCCCGTCTGAAGTTTGCCAGAGAGCACATGGATGATACAGCAGAGGACTGGGAGAATGTCATGTGGTCAGATGAAACCAAAGTAGAACTTTTTGGTATAAACTCAACTCGTCGTGTTTGGAGGAAGAAGAATACTGAGTTGCATCCCAAGAACACCATACCTACTGTGAAGCATGGGGGTGGGAACATCATGCTTTGGGGCTGTTTTTCTGCTAAGGGGACAGGACGACTGATCCGAGTTCAGGACAGAATGAATGGGGCCATGTATCGTGAGATTCTGAGCCAAAACCTCCTTCCACCAGTGAGAGCTTTGAAGAAGAAACGTGGCTGGGTCTTCCAACACGACAATGATCCCAAACACACCACCCGGGCAACAAAGGAGTGGCTCCGTAAGAAGCATTTGAAAGTCCTAGAGTGGCCTAGCCAGTCTCCAAACCTCAACCCCATAGATAATCTGTGGAGGGAGTTGAAAGTCCGTGTTGCTCGGCGACAGCCCCAAAACATCACCGCTCTCGAGAAGATCTGCATGGAGGAATGGGCCAAAATACCAGCTACTGTGTGTGCAAACCTGGTAAAGACCTATAGTAATCGTTTGACCTCTGTTATTGCCAACAAAGGTTATGTTACAAAGTATTGAGTTGAATTTTTGTTATTGACCAAATACTTATTTTCCACCCTGATTTACAAATAAATTCTTTAAAAATCCTGCCATGTGAATTCATGGATTTTTTTTTTTCACATTCTGTCTCTCACAGTTGAAGTGTACCTATGATGAAAATTACTGACCTCTGTCATCATTTTAAGTGGGAGAACTTGCACAATCGGTGGCTGACTAAATACTTTTTTGCCCCACTGTATACATAAAACACAATTAAAAAACTGTCATAACACAGAAACACCTAAAATCAAAACAAAAGTTAAAACAGCCAATAAAAACAGAAGTCAATAAAAACAGAAGTTTCAAAAAATGGAACAGAGGCACAGCATAAAAGACCAGTCACTGGCCAAAAGCTAAATTGAAGATATGTGTCTTTAGGCTGGATTTAAACTGTGCCAGTGAGGAAGCCTGGCGTACCACCAGAGGGAGTGCGTCCCAGAGTCTGGGAGCAGCAAAGGCGAACGCAGGCTCCCCACGAGCTTTATATTTCATTTTAGGGACTTTGAGCAGTAGATGGTCAGCAGACCTAAATGACCGGGGGTGGGGGGGGGGGGGGGATGAGCAGCTCTGACAAATATAAGGGGGCTAGACCATTCAGGGCTTTGTAGGCAAAAGTTAGAACTTTGTATTGTATTCGAAAGTGCACAGGAATCCAGTGTAGATCAGCCAGAACGGAAGTGATGTGACAGCGTCTATTTGTATTGGAAAGAAATCTGGCTGCGGCATTCTGGACTTTCTGCAGACGATTTAGGACAGATACATTTGCACTGATAAGAACTGAGTTGGAAAAGTTGAGTCTGGAAGTGATAAATGCATGAATAACAGATTCTAAGTAAGGCCTCTTAAGAATGGGCTTTAGTCGGTAAGGCGACGAAGCTGGAGGAAGCAGGATCGAACAGTGGCATTAACATGTGCACCCATGCACAAATCAGCATCCAGTGTAACCCCAAGGCTGGTCACACAAGTTTGGTCAGTCACTCCAGCTTTTAGTATTAAACCCCAACAAATGAACAAAAATATTAATGGAAAATCAGGGTTCCTAATGGTCTCAGTCCCTTTTTTTTGAAAAGACACAAAACAGATCAAAGACTAAATCTTCCTTTCATATTAGAGCTAATGTTAGAGCTTAATAGAGCTTAATAGAGCTTGAGCGTGGATAGGGTTCAGTATACAAAAAATATGTATAAAACTACTGCCTAGAGGCTCTTTTATGCAATGTCCAGAATGCAGAACTTTCAAGCAAACAGGTGGCAGGAACGGCCAATCACACGTTAGCAAGTACCAGCAGAGCCAATAGATGAGAGCTTATGAACAGTTCTAATGGGAAACAGGAAGCTGTTTGCCATTTGATCCTAGTGCTCAACCAATGTCTATTTAATATAGTGTTATATTGCTTTTGGATGATAAAAAGTGCAGGGGAGAAAAAATGACCCCCCCCCCCCCCCCAAAAAAAAAGATCAGATCAAATAACAACCAATATATTTTAGGTTTAGTTAGACTTTTTAATATGATTATTGTCTTCATGTGTCCTATTTTTCAATCTTAATGTGAAATTTCTCCCTTTTTCCTTTCTTTAACCAAACGCTGAGGTTCAGACTTAAACGCTAAGGAACAACAGTGTCTACTTAAACTATAACTTTGCTCCGAACAACCCGCAAACATTTATCGCCATGACAACATTCTTCCATGTGGAACATCACTTTTAGTGTTTATCTAAATGTTGTAATGTTTATTCCTGACTGTGATCAAATTCTGTGAATAACACATCAAACAAAGAACGTATTTTTCCTGTCTTTTTGAATATTTATGTTTGCTCAAATGTTTGTGTTGTTGAGAAAAAACTGCTTCCAGCTGAGCAGCAGCTGGTTCAGAACTCTTTCTGCTCTCACTGTATATAAAAACATATCAGACAGGATTGAAAGTGACTGATTCTGCTTTCCATCCTCAGCTCCTCAGAGCAACTTCCTGTCCAAGTATCTGCTTGACGGAGGAAGCGTTGGTGTTCCTCAGCACCTGTACAGCATTCCCACCCAGACTTATGGAGACAGTTACCCATCCAGCCTGGTGCATCCACCACCGGTCACCTCAGTGTCCCCGATATGCAACACCCAGCAGGACTCGGATCACCCATTTGAAGACAGAGGCACAGAGACAGCAAAGGCTGATGTGCGACATGTTGACAGCAGCTCGCTGTCAGAGGATGATGTTTTTTACAACTAGAACTCAAAAAACAAAAGAGACAGGAATCGTTTCCGAAATAAGACTCAACGAGGCGACTTTCAGTCTCAACCACCAGCAATGACTGATGCTGAAAAGTAAAGAAACCTGACGGATGTTTCAAGAAGCATCTCTTGAAAATTATTTTCTGGGAAGTTTAAAAGGCAAAAAGACTCAAAAAAGTTTTTTTTTCCTTTGGTTATGCCAAAGCTTTTGTGAATGTACAGTCTAAATGTTATAGTCTAATTTTCTATCCAACACAGAGCTGGGCTGTAGCTGAAGGTCTAAATATCTTGTTATAAAGCATCGGTTTTAAAACATGGGCTGCAAAAGGCTGTCTGTGCTTTGAATTAATTTTCTTTAACACGAATGAGTCGAGATAATCTTGATTAAGTGAGGAGAAAATAGTGTTCTCTTTCAAATTCTTCAAATGAAGCTGAAAAAGCAAAAAAGCAAAAAGGCAAAAAAAATCACACATCCAATTATCTGTCTGTCTGAACTGTGATTAGCTTTAATTCACACTTTTCTGTCTGAGAGCTGCGGGTGTGATGAGGAGAAAAGGGTAGGACACAAAGACAGGGGTAGATGTATGTTTGTAAGTCAGCATGTCTGTGCGTTTGAGTCTGAGAGGTGGAGGCTGAATGGAGGTGTTGGTGCTGCTGTCATGGGATTCTTTCAGGAGGGGGTCATTTACACCAAGAACACCATCCTGTTCATTGTGGCTTTCTTCTCTCTTATTTGAGCTCGCACAGCAGATGCACATGAACAAATAGTTATCTGTGAATGGTGGGATCACCTCCATCATCAAAATACATCAGAGTGGAGCAGTAATGATGCTCTATTTATCACTCCAATGCAAAATAAATAAATAAATAACACATTTTTGGTGGCTTATGGAGCAAACACGCTGAATAGAAGTGGATCTAGATGGATGTGAGATGAATGAAGGAGCAGGTAGGTGTTTGGCATTTGTAATTCAACACCAGCAGGCAAAACGCGTCAGCGTTGTTTAGAGAAAACAAAGAAAGAAAACAATATTTTATATAGCGCTGTAGCGTGATGAAGGTTCTCTGATTTGTGCCAAAGGTCACATTTGCCCAGCTGGGTCAAGCTGGGTCAAACAGTACTTTGAATCCACAGATTAAAGCCCAAGGAGCCACGATGTCTAGCCAAGGTCATGACACCAGTATCTGCTGTTCCGTCCCAGAAGGACACTTCAAGCCACAATGATAATAATTAAACAATAATTAACAAAATTATGATTTTATTACTGTTTAAATAATCATTAATACATGATCACTTGGTTCAGATATAAAGGTATTTTAATTACATGAAATGGATTATTATGCTTTGGGTATTATAATGATAATTATTATAATGATTAAAGATGTGTTCAGCAAAGAAGACCTTCACCCTTGTTCAGCCAACACAGAGTTCAGATAAACAATAACTGCATCACATGTTTTTTGACGCATGACCAAGCGTTCTTCCGGAGAGAGAGGGAGTGGTTCTGAGAGAGTTTGGTAAAATCTAACCATCACAGATTTCACATCCAGTTCTTCAACCAACACCACGAGGAAAGGAGAGCGGCCGTCTCCTTGACCCTCTACAAGCTGTTCTGTCACGCCGACAAGAATGGCTAAAGAACAAACGAACCGTAAACCAGCTAACGCAAGACTCTCCCAGAGTCATTGATTTCTGAAGTTAATTTAAATACGAGAACGTTCATCTGCCAAACGCTTCATACACCCAGTGACCCAAGAAGACATCCCAGGACCGATCTGGTCGTGCTAGAGGTTTTTCTACCAACCTCGTGCCTGGAGGAAACCCATTTCCACCTGGACACTTCGGATCCAAATGGGGGCCTTTTGATTGGGTGAGGTAGACCTCAATAGAATGCGTTTGATGCTGTTTTATCTCAAAATAACTCAGTTATCCACAAAACACCATTTTCACCAGAACACCTTCCATTCCCTCAGAAAGATACCTTCTAAGAACTGCATTCACGCATTCAGAACTCATCATTCTCAATTTTAGCTCCATCCAACACAGGTTTGCTTTTAAACAAGTAATATCAAAGCTGTTAAGGATTGTCATTAAAATTGCCATCTATGAATTGTCATTTTATGATTGTCGTTTCAAATCTTTCAGTTTAAAATTGTTAGTAAATAAATTTGTTCATTTTTAAACTTGCCTCATTATTGAAACGAAACACAGAAAAGGGTTGCATTTCCAGTTTATCGAATGAAAACAATCTTACCGAATCTTCTGTTTAGTAAATAAACATTTGCTATTAATTTGAGCAACTTAAATTAATATTTCACACCACAACAGCGCCTTACCAGCAGTAAACAGGAGCGACCCAGAAGTTATTTCTTGTACCTTTAAAAAGTTTTTTTTTGTACTCTGCTGAAGCCTTCTCCGGGTCAGGGATGAGGTCCTGCCCCAAGTGGAGGAGTTTAAGTATCTCGGGGTCTTGTTCACGAGTGAGAGAAAGATGGAGTATGAGATTGATAGGTGGATTGGTGCTGCATCTGCAGTGATGCGGGCGTTGTACCGATCTATCGTGGTGAAGAGAGAGCTGAGTCAGAAAGCGAAGCTCTCAGTTTACCGGTCAATCTACATTCCTACCCTCACCTATGGTCACGAGCTTTGGGTAGTGCCCAAGAATGAGACTGTGGATACAAGCGGCCGAAAAGAGTCTTCTCTGCAGGGTGGCTGGGCTCTCCCTTAGAGTTAGGATGAGAAGTTTGGTCATCCGGGAGGGGCTCGGAGTAGACCCGCTTCTCCTCCACATCAAGAGGAGCCCGTTGAGGTGGCTCGGGCATCTACTTAGGAGGCCTCTTGGATGCCTTCCTATTGAGGTTTTCTTGGCACGTCCAACCAGGAGAAGGCTTAAAGGAAGACCCAGGACACACTGGAGGGACTATTTCTCGACTGGCCAGAGAATGCCTTAGGATTCCCCCGGAGGAGCTGGCCCAAGTAGCTGGGGAGAGGGAAGTTTGGGCCTCACTGTTTAAGTCTAATTTATACTTCTGCTTTGTCATCTGGAAGGATGCACGCAACGCCATTATCCGTCCTTGCGAGCCTGCTGGAGATCCCTCGCAAAGACGGACAATGGTGTCAAGCTCTCTTTTCTAAACATCCATTCATCGGGATGGAGAACGCAAGCTTGCGATTGGTCAGGAGGACGCCGCTGTCATCCACAGCACCGCCATTGTGCCCTCAAAATCTTAAAGAGAGTTGAGGTGTAGCGTGGTCTATCTAGCGACAGACACAAAGCAGCGTGGAAAAACCCTAAAAATATTAACGTTTTTATTCACCTGTGACTGGAGGAGTGAAAAGATGCGCAGCGTGGATGGAAATGACGAGAAACGTGGCTTTAGAAATGGCGAGCGCATGAAGAGGTGGAGGAGAAGTATAAATTAGGCTTTGGGCTGCTGCCCCCACAACTCAACCCCAGATAAGCGGCCAAAAATGGATGGATGGATCAGCTCAAGCAGGCTAGAGGCTACCATTGCTACACCCACACCCATAAATGTTAAAATTTTATGTAGACACATTATGAGTGTGAAGAGTTTATTTTGGAGAGAAAGCAATACAAGATCTGAGCATGAAAACAATATTTAATGCAGCCAAATCAACAAAATACACTCTTCATTAAAGAGGTCCTTCACTCATATTTTCAATACAGTTGCAGTGGTCCAGAGTAGGAATTAATGCCTTCTAAGTCGTACTCTGGGGGAAATAAACTCCAGTGCGCCTCTTTCAGCAATGAGAATTCAGCTGAGGAATTAGCTTCTGACAGCAGGATTTGGAGTCCTTTTTCCTGATATTTGGACATCTCAGCTACACAGCAACGTGACTCTACCACTGACTCTGTTTTCTCAGCAACGTTGATGTTTTATCTCCACAAATCACACAAGCCTGAAGGAGGTCCTCAATGTTGTGGAGTTGCTAATGCTAACAATTAGCTCAGAATCAGAACACTTTATTAATCCCGTAGGAAATTAGGTAGAAGAATAGTTGCTCCAGACAATAGGATAAAGATTGGAAACCATTTCCTGGACACTAAACCAACAACAGCCTTCCCCTGTGGAGAGTCAAAATGGGTGAGTCCATGAAGTTTAAGTGACAGTTACCTGTCAGGTTTTTCAAATCCTAGTGTTTTACCATCTATTATCTTTCAAACGCTAACACTGTCGTGGTATGTGTCTCCGTCTTTCCCCATGTGTCTCCTGATGTCCTCCATCCCTCTTTAGATTCCCATTTTGTGTCTCTTAGCGCCCTCATGTGTCCTTTGTCTGCGTCTCATTTATGTGTCTTCTGTTTGTAGCCTTTCAGGTCATCCCCAGCCCCTCCAATTGTAGCTCCAGGCTCTTTGTCCCCAGCTCGGTGTGTGTGTGCCATTCCCCAGCTTAGTGTGTGTGTGTGTGTGTGTGTGTGTGTGTGTGTGTGTGTGTGTGTGTGTGTGTGTGTGTGTGTGTGTGTGTGTGTGTGTGTGTGTGTGTGTGTGTGTGTGTGTGTGTGTGTGTGTGTGTGTGTTGTGTGTGTGTGTGTGTGTGTGTTCTTCTCCAATCAGGTCCGGTGTCCTCCCCTGCTCCTTCCTGCTCCTCCTCACTGATTAGTTATTGCCTTCACCTGGTTCTCTCCCCACACACCTGCAGCTCATCTGCCTCCCATTATGTCCCAGTCTATAAAGCCCTGTCTGTTTCTCATTGCCTTGTAGGTCCATTGTTGTTTGTCAGCATGATTTATTCTGTCAGTCTGCCTGTTCCTCTGGTGTTTTTGGATCTCCTGATCATTTCCTGATTTTTGGATTTTGGCTCCCTGCCTTTTGGATTTATTTTTATTTTTGGACTCATCCTAAAATAAAAGGATTTTCTTTATATCAACTCCTGCCTCGTGTCATCCTGGGTATCTGCATTTTGGGTCCAAACAGTCCTCTCAACGTGACAAACACAGGAAAAAATGTGTAGGACACAATTTTCACGTTAACGAGTTACCGATCATTTTCAAAAGAACTGGTAAAAAATTGTTTCTCAGCGAAGGACCTTTTTAATGCAGGATATTACTGCCACTGGAATGACTTAGATCTCAAAACTCACAAAGTCATGACCTTACGACTGATTTGTAGACAGGGTAGCTAATACATACAGATGAGAGACTGACAGAAGTGCTGAGGACTAAACACCAGCGGAGATTCACACGGTTAACTGACTTATAGACAAATAGCCTTTGTGTTCGTGCCCACAGAGTGTTAATCTGAACACTCATATTAATACAGTCTAAAAGTTCAGACCAGCAAATCAAATTGGGTATTTTCAATGAACGAGATGCTGCTAATTAAAGACTAAACAATAAGGTCTAATGACATCTGAGCCACCAGTTAATTACACTGTTGTTTGTGTGCAGACGTCTTTACGACTGGGGAATGAAGAAGTTATATCGCTATCAGACACAAGCTTTGTTGAATGTTAATCAGATGGAGCAGGGACGAAATTTTGATTTCAGAAGTGGGGGGGACACAGCAGGCTTATGCGGATTTGGGGTGGGGGGTGTTATGTAAAGACCCCTTGACACGTCACGTGCCCATCTCAATAATTTTTCCATCCTCAATATATATATATATATATATATATATATATATATATATATATATATATATATATATATATATATATATATATATATCAAAGTTAAAAAATTTACAACTCTATTATTATTTTTATTTATTATCATTATTGAAGTGCAGTTTTGGCTGTTGACAATGGATAGGCCATTGTATTTATTGTTTTGGGTCTTTTTTAATTGTTTTTGGTGCAACATTTTCTAACAGGGAGTGAGATTCCTTTTTTATTGAATTTTTGTTTGTTATTTTTATTCATTTAGAAGTTCTGGTTCTGGACATTTCAATGTTAAATGAAGGTTTATTTGTTGCATTTTAAAGGGTGTACTTGCATTATTATGATATATTAACATTATATTAGTGGTTATTTTGGTCTAGATAATGTTGACAATGATATCGTTTATCATCAACAATTTGTTGGACAAAATATCGTCCAGCAAAATGTGTTACTTTCCCAGGCCTAGTCAAAAGTATAAAAATTATTTATACATAAACGGTCCCTCCTGAGATCTGGCCGTTTGTTCATTTGCTGTGTTAGAGGACATGCTGAACTAATGTTTTACACATGATCATCACCCTAACATTTGAGTGTATAAAAACATATTAAATATGTTTTTTCCCTTAAAAGTGTTTAAACAGTTGTTGCATTTCAACACACAAAAAATAAATGGAAAAAATAAGATAAATCTAATGAAAAGTGTACATCTTTGACATTAAGCTTAAAAAAATCTGTTGACGATGATGATACTGTTCATTTTTCAGAGCTTTTTAATGTGAACATATACATTGCAATAGATACGTTTACAATAAAGTTAAATGATAAAAGTTTTGAAGTTACACTTCTACTACTACTAGTAATAATAATAAAAAAATAATTATAATAATACGAATAAATTGTGTCTGAGGAGTCAGTTATGTGGAGGAGATTAGTTTGTAAAAGTTAGTTTTGAGTATGTTTGTGAAGGAGGAGGTGAGTCTGAGCTTAATGCAGGGGTGTAACATGTTCCAACTTACGTTTTGACTTTGAAAGAAGTCTCTTATCACTTTTCGTTTTCTTGACATGCTGCCTCCTGGCTGTGCCTAACTACCAAAAACCCAAAAATGAACACTTATTCAAATGTTATGTAATGGAAGCTGAGCTGAGCTCTGATATTACACAGCGTCTAGTTGACGATGTGACTCAGTACCGGTGTTCCCTAGCGGCTCCAAACTAGCAAAACAACGTGAGCACGTTCTGACTGTTTACAACTTGAGTGACAGCAGCAACAGCCAATAATACGTTAGCAAGTATCAGCAGAGCCAATAGATTAGCTTTTGGGCGGGTCTAATAGGAAACCGGTTTCCGTTTCAGTCCTAGTGCTCAACCAAATCCATTTAATGGAGCGTAATATTGTTTTTGGATGGAAAAAAGTGCAGGGGACCAAAACTGCCCTTTGAAAAAGTGAGGGGACATGTCCCACCCGTCCCCCCCCAAAATTACGTCCCAGAGATGGAGACCCAGTGATGTAAGCCGAAAACACGGTACTGTTCCCAGTATGACGTTGCTTAGAGTTCAGCAGCCAGGCTTTCTAAAATCAGCTTCATCTGAAAAAATAATGATAATAAGAGAAAATAAATGTAAAAATAGACAAATCTGAGTTTGTTTTGTAAGAAACATGTTTGATAAGACAAATGCACACATGACACACCAACACTTTTTACCTCTGGCCATGTGATGTGTCCGATGTATCGTCCTCCGTCAGTCACAAACAGAGTCTGAGCTCCAGCTACATTCAGTAAACCGTAGGCCTGAAAAGACACAGATATAAAACCTTCTTCTGAAAAACCCTATTTTTACTAACCATGGATTTGATGAATTGGTCATTCAATGCAATTGATAAGATTTTTTCAACAATGAGAACGGAGCAGGGGGCTCCCACATGTCCACAGGGGACACACCCGGTGGGGTATATGCTGGATTCCTGGAAGGAGTGGAAGATCATATTGCCTCAGCCAGCTGTCCATTGAGGATATCGAAGACGTGTGGATGTTTGGCCTGATGATCACTGGATTTCTCCTGATTGGAGTGGGAGGATATCTGGTTTTCTGGAAATTTGGGAAGACGGGAGTGATTGGAGGGCGACCCGCAGCCACGGAAAGCACCGTCCGTGTTGAGACTTCTCAGACTGGGACGTCACTCGAGGTGAATCGTAAGCTGGACAATGTTCTAGCTGCGATACCGGTATTAGTGAGCAACATGGATGTCATCTTGGAGGGAGTCACCAGACGGTATAGACAGGTTTAAAAACTCAAAATTGGCTTCACTGAAGGACTGGAATGATCAGTTTAAAGACTGAAGGCAGAGAGGAAAATTATCTCAGCCTGACCCAAACAAATTCTTGTTATCTGAATCCGACGCCCTAGCAGCCTTGAGCGGCAAGCAACAAACCCCCATGAAGGAATGCAGACAGATGCTGTGAAAACCCAACCTACCCCCCTGCCTTCGGATTGGTGGACTTCAGCCTGGCGAGGTCATCAATCTGCAGGAGTCAATGTGCTCTTCGCTTCTCCCAAGATCTCCCTCCCACCTGTGACTGTACAGCAGATGAGCGCCGTAGATGGCTGCTCTCGTTGGGGGAAACAGGATCCCAGATCCCCCCCCCCCGCCTTCCTATTGGAGCCTCATGTTATGTTGTGTTGTCTGAAGTCTGTTGTATATTTGTTGAGGTGTTTTTTGCAGAGCAAAGCTGCCCTCCTGGTGGGAGGGTAACTGTGAAGTGCCTCTTTTTCCCTCTGCCTGAACCAATCCTCATGTAACCCTCTTATCTCTATTAAGGTAGCGCGACTCAGGTTGCGAATGACCACAGTCACCAATTCTTGTCATGTGTTTTGCCCATGTCTGTGTGATCTCTGAACTGTGTGTACTGAAACTTCCCTCTGGGATTAATAAAGTATTGATTGATTGATTGATAAGATCTGAGACTAAAACGATTTAAAGATTGTCACATTTGAATTTTTGCTTACTCAATGTTGTGGTTGAGGAGAAAAATGCATTTGTTAAATTTCTCAACCAATTGTGGTTCATATTTGGGTTAAAATGAGGTGAGTTGTTCATCAGTTTCCTGATTGTAAGTTTCCTCTAAGCTTCATGGAGGGATGCTGATGCTGCAAGTAATTGTCATTAGGCTCATTGTGCCTTGCACAAGCACCCTTTTGTCATATAAACATAATTTTAAACACAAAGCAGCAGAAAGCTTCTGTCAGCACACACACACACACACACACACACACACACACACACACACACACACACACACACACACACACACACACACACACACACACACATATATCTCATCTAATAAATATTGATGTGAATTTTTCAGAAGGTGAGATGGCTGAAAACGTAATAAACCTGTTTTTGTAGAATAAACTTAAGAATTAATATCATGATGCATGATTAATAAATATGTATAATAAATTATACAGAAAACTGGTCAAGTCATGGCACAAAAAATGTTATATAAGCTAAACCGCAGTCTAATTCAGTCACTTATGCCGCTTCCTTTGTCTGCTGTACAGGTTAGTGTTTTAGGACCCTTTATAAGAACTGAGTTCAGCTATTTACAGGCCTTTGGATATTGCCAGATTGCCAGGCTGAGATGCAAGCTTAACAAGCTAACTGATGAAATGAACGGGTCCTTGAAAGACAAAAGTGTGCCACTTCCTGTTTTTATATGAACTGAGGTCAATTTCCTTTAAGAAAAACCAATGAGCTGTAACCATTTTCAAAAGCTGCCTAAAGTATTTTGTAAACTGTTGACTCTCTTGTCTCTAACATCAGTTGAAGCTACTTTTTGCATCTCCCTACCTCCTCAACTGTGTTGTGAGGTGATAACAGGGTGGAGGTCGGGTGTATAGTGCAGACTTCATCCAGATTTACTTCCAGCTTCTGCACAGAAATACACAACAACAACAACAACAATAACAACAACAATAATAATAATAATAAATACTCCTCCTTGAACCGTCACCTTATCGTTGAGGAGGAGTTTGAGTGCCCTAGTGATCCTAGGAGCTATGCTGTCTGGGGCACTTTGTGCCCCTGGTAGGGTCTCCCATGATAAATTGGTCTAAGGTGAAGGGTGAGACAAAGAACGGTTCAGAGGATCTTTCATGGATGTAAATTCAAAGAGTCGGAGTACCCGGCCAAGAGGGTCACCGGGGTCCCACACTGGAGCCAGGCCTGGGGTTGGGGCCTGTGAGTGAGCGTCTGGTGGCCGAGATACTTAAACACCTCAAGTGGAGGAGTTTAAGTATCTCGGGGTCTTGTTCACGAGTGAGGGTAGGAGGGATCGGGAGATCGACAGGCGGATTGGTTCGGCGTCTGCGGTGATGCGGACGCTGAGCCGATCTGTCGTGGTGAAGAGGGAGCTGAGCCAGAAAGCCAGGCTCTCGATGTACCGGTCGATCTACGTCCCAATCTTCACCTGTGGTCATGAGCTTTGGGTAATGACCGAAAGAACGAGATGGCGGATACAAGCGGCCGAAATGAGTTTCCTCCGTAGGGTGGCCGGGCTCAGCCTTAGAGATAGGGTGAAGAGCTCGAACATTCGGGAGGGACTCGGAGTAGACCCGCTGCTCCTCCGGATCGAAAGGAGTCAGTTGAGGTGGTTTGGGCATCTGGTCAGGATGCCTCCTGGACGCCTCCCTGGGGAGGTGTTTCGGGCATGTCCTGCCGGCTGGAGGCCCCCGGGTCGACCCAGGACACGTTGGAGAGGTTACATCTCCAATCTGGTCCGGGAACGCCTTGGGGTCCTGCCGGAGGAGCTGGTGGAGGTGGCCGGGGAGAGGACGGTCTGGAGCTCCCTAGTTGGGATGCTGCCCTCGCGACCCGGACCCGGATAAGCGGAGGAAGACGACGACAACAAATAATAATAAATGATGATGATAATAATTCACATCATGAAGTTTCTATTTCTCTTTTCATATTTTCTATAATGAATCCCCGGCTGAAGCTGTAATCTATAATGTTTTGATAGGAAGCATTGATCTAAAGGGTTTTTTGTGTACTCCCATTGATGTAAAATACAAAAAAAGTTTCTAAGTCAGTGAAAAAGCATTTGTGTATTTGTTTTCTAAAAGAGATGACATCCTCTTTTACCTGAGTCTTACAGCGATGCAGGAACACCTGCAGCTCTGATCGAAGGACAAACCCCAGCAGAATCTGGGATTCTTTAACAGAAAAAAAAAGAATGAAGAAGTTTAAAATTTCTTCCACAGTCTAAGCTACAGTTTTAGATTTAAGAGTAGCGATCAAAGGTTTATGACTCGTAATGCATCCACATGATTGCTGCAGCACTCGGATGACTGACAATTTTCAGAAAATTGTCACCCTCTCACACAGTTGAATAGCTTCAGTTTGTGGAAGGATTTTCAGTGTATTTACACCTTTATTACACCTTTTTTTCTTTTTCAATGGTTTAAGACACTGTCATGTTGGTCCGTTTCACCATTATATGTAACGAATTTCTAAGACATTTTATTTTTCATGCCTATATGTTCCTTTGCTTTAACCTTCTGTGAGGAGGCAGCACGATCCAGCTTTACATTGGTTTGCATACCGTGTGAGTCCACCACAGGGATTTGTGCTTCAGTGCTGGTGCTGACAGCACACTGAACCTCCGCTGGCCCAGCTGCTTTCTGGAGCTGCACTGATCTTACTCCCAGAACCTGCCCAATGGGTGTGGAGGGAAGTCTGCCAAAAACAGCACTTTTGAAATCAGCCAAGCCTTTACAACAGGACAAAACTCTATTATGCATAACTGAACAAGAAAACAATGTTCCTTTGTAATCAACCATTATTTTTGTTGAAGACTTAAAACGTTGACGCAGTTTCAGGATGTTAGAAGCAATGGCGACATAGTGTAACTCGCGGTGGACGTTTAAGGGTTGGGGACCCTATAAACGTCACTAAAAATGCTACTTTTGTTCCTATTAAAGTGATTTCAGTAATTTAACACATTTTGACAGTTTTATTCTTCAAAATATGGAATAAGTTCTGAATTCTCCTTTAGAAGAAAAAAACTGATGAAAGCCTTAAGTGGGCCAAATCAGATTTATGAGGTCAATGCAGTCAAATCTTTTATTTTCTTAATCTTAAACCTGAATGTCAAACAAAACAGTTGTGTAATCATCACATTTAACTCCACTCTCGTATCCTTCATTGGCAGTTAGTGTGAATATTCTTTTAAAAACTGAGGATGAAGAAAACAGCTGATCACACTTCACAATGTCGTCGTCTCCTTTTGGTGCTTATTTATTGTCCCCAGATCAAATTTGATGCTGATGTTGAGAAACAGAAGGACACGTTTGTGCTACGGTCACTTGTTTTGTGTAAACCACACTTGGAAGTGTACTTTCTGCAAAAGTAGGTAATTTCAGTACATCTGAGCTACTTTATGAACAAAATGTTCACCAAGTCATCCTATCATAAACTCATGAAAAAGAAATGGATCCAGAGTCAGAATATTCATAGTGCTATGGAGGAGAAAAGACACCTCAAACAATTTTAATGGCACCTGTCAACAATCCTCACACCAACATCTGAGTGAATTTATTCCCTTGTGATGCAGAGTGCCATCTTCAGACTTTTTGCTGTAATTTAATGCTATTTTCTCCAGTTTCTGTAATTCTGTTCCTACTCACCGAGGGCACGCCTTCTTCAGAGACGGCAGGTGTGGGAGCTTCTTACTGATGGAGAGGGCGTCGTAAAAGGATGGGCGGTCCCCAGACTGTGCTAAGGCGTTAGCCACAAGAGTGGAGAGGAGGACGGGCACAGCGTGGCTGAACTGACCCGTTAACTCTACAGCTAGGAGAGCCGGGGACAGAGTGTGAGTTACAGCACCAGAGAAGGCAGCCGCTCCTGCATGGGAGACAACAGAAATGAGTTATGATGCTATTTAACTGATTTTAAGGGGATAGGTTAGACCTAGGGAGGATGAGCTAAAAAGTTTTTAAAACAACCCTAATAAAACAAAATCATAGTGATTGTTTCAAACATTATTTTACGAACCACACGATCCAGTATAAAGCACTTGAAGTCAGTCTGCGGTCTGGGGGTCAGCCATTGACCCAAAAGTGATATTTGCATTTCAACAGATTTAGTCTTTTGTCCTTCCAGCAGACTGATGTAGACCGACCCTTTAACCACTTTCAAGTTCAGATTTTTTACTGATATGTCTGTTTTAGGCCATTTTGAGTATTAAAAACGAAAAAACATCACTATAAAAATTTTTTTTTCATTTCGTATCAGATGGATTTTACTTTGGCTCCACTCTGCTAGAAGGTTATTCTGGCAGAAGTAGTATAAAAAACCAGCAGGAAATGCCCCGGAGGAAATATTAGCAATGCAATTTGTTACAACCCCAGGGGAAACCCGCACACCTTCCTGCCATCTTTGCTGCGGTTCAGCTCTGTTATTTTCTTGTTATTTTCCTGTCAGGTTCAGCTCCATGCAGTGAAGGCTGCTGAAGGCTCCACCCAGCTGCTCCCCATCAAGCTAATCAGCCGCAGCTGCTACTTAAGGAGCTGCTGAACTCTCAGCAGAGAGAAGAGTTGGTGGAGATGGTTCAGTCAGAGGAGTTGGGATTGTGAGATTGATTCAAGGTATGTAGTAGTAGTAGTAGTAGTAGTAGTAGTAAAAGTAAATGGCCTGTATTTGATATAGCGCCTTCTAGAGTCCTGGAACCCCCCAAGGCGCTTTACAACACAATCAGTCATTCACCCATTCACACACACATTCACACACTGGTGGGGATGAGCTACGATGTAGCCACAGCTGCCCTGGGGCGCACTGACAGAGGCGAGGCTGCCGAGCACAGGCGCCACCGGTCCCTCCGACCACCACCAGCAGGCAACGTGGGTTAAGTGTCTTGCCCAAGGACACAACGACAGCGACAGACTGAGCGGGGCTCGAACCTGCAACCTTCCGATTACGGGGCGAGCACTGAACTCCCGTGCCACCGTCTCCCCATGTAGTAGCAGTAGTAGTAGTAGTAGTAGTAGTAGTAGTAGTAGTAGTAAGCCACTCTAGTTAATTTATTTGGCTCCAGGCTGATAACAGCAGTTCGTTTAGCCCAGGGGTGTCAAATTCATTTTAGCTCAGGGGCCACATTGAGGGAAATCTAGTCCCAAGTGGGCCGTACCGGTAAATTAAAAACAACTTCATTCCTTAGTGATTCAAGAGCTTACAGATCACATGGCTAGATCAGTTTCATGCAGCACTTAAAGTATATTTGACTCATTTTACTTTACATCTTTTAGCTTTCACCAGTGCATCAATATCAAGTCACATCCTGAGTGGCGGCCAACTTCAGGAAGTGATTCATGTTCTTGTGTGAGCCTTGAGCGCAGCTTTGTTTTATTTATACTCATTACAGAGAAAAGTTGCTCACAAAGATAAGTTTATTTTCATTCTACATTGTAAAGTATGAAAATAAAGTTTACACAACCATCTTGCGGGCCGGATTTAACCCGTTTGCGGGCCGGATCCGGCCCACGGGCTGTATATTTGACACCCCTGGTTTAGCCTATAGCTGTTTTCTTTTTAGAAAAGAGTGACTTTGAGTTAAGCTCTGTTGTTAAGGTCAGAGCCCTTATAGTTAAAGACCTTTAGTGCAGGCCTTTAACTTGGTCTGTTTTAGATTTGAGCTCGGGTACGTTTTGTTTAAAAGGAATTTTATTCTTTTACCCTTGCACCATTTTTGGATGCTCTTAAGTTAACCCAGAGCCTAACATTAGAAATACAGCTTCCTCTCTTAGTTTGTCACCCCTGTGGTTGTAATTTAAGTTATTTAGAGAAAGATAAGTCCAGAATGGACCTTGTGTACATATTTGGTTGTGGTATAGTTACCCCAGTGGCACAATAAATACTACTTGTACCATCAGCTTGCCGTGAAAAACCGGTAAGCATATCAATTGGCAGACTCCTAGTCCTGTAACATCTTTAGGAAAAAGTCTAAGTATTGGAAATCCCTCCCAGACTCCAGAGGGGGATGTAAGACGAATATCATTCCTAACACGTTTTAATGACATCACATACTCGCCCACTGCACAAAATGTCTTAATTCAATGATAATAGATATTTTTCCATAATTCTTTAGTTTTCTTGAATGCATCACTATCCTGTACATGTTGTGGCGAGAGAGGTGGAGGTGATTCGGCAAAACAAAGAGGATACGAGCCAATCAGATGTAGAGGGAGGTGGGTCTAATCTAGTAGAGGCCAAGCTGGGGTTCCACAACCGGGTAGATAGGTTTGTGTTGGGGTTCAACTTTGGAAAAGCTGAGCCACTGCTGTATTCTGCACAAATTAAACTACACTTATAGGAATCACAGAAGCACTGATCAAATACCAGCAAGTGCATATCCACCGGGATTTACAGATGTCCACTTATGTCCAAAAATCGTCCCATTGGAGGACACAAAAACGACTCCTTCACCGAGCAAACGGCCCAAAGCCGCTCCTAAAAGAGACGAACTTTAGATGCATTTTATATTAAGGTTGAACTTGAGTCACTTCAGCATTCTGTCCCATCACTCACCGTAGATGAACACCGGCATGAAGTACCCGGCTGGCTGAGGCAGAGTGCAGGCGAGGATCAACATCCACATCTCAGAATCAACAACAGAATAGCAGACGGTTACAATCCCCTCAGCTCTGCTGACACCTGCACGTCTCCCGATGACTCACAGGCTCTTTGTGTGCAGGAAGGTGTTTGTTTGTGCGGCTCCAGCCTTTGGACTCATTCATATTGAATGATTTCCATTTCACATTTACGTGCAGTAATGGGCAGAACATCCAGAGTAAACTGATCCTAAAATACTGCACTCATGTAAACAGTGTATTCAAAGTGCTGTGCTTTACAAGTGATCAGAAATTGCTTTTAGTGTGTTTACGTTTATTTGTTCTGATTGGCTCCTAAACACAAGCTGCTGCTGCTGCAGCAGAGCCATTTTTCCTGCAGTGTGCTGCAGAAACAGTGTTGTTTGCATCTGCAGCATTGTTGAGCAAACATCAAATCTCACAAAACATTTTTACTCTGAAAGGTTAACACAGCTTTTGTTTGCTTACTCTATTGTGAAAATGTTGATGAACTTGCATAAAGGACGAGTCAAAAAAGGATGACAGCAGAGCTGTTTCAATAATTGACCTTTCAGGTTTTTTTTACCTTCATGAGCAGAAAGAAAGTCAAAGACAGGAAGATGGAAGTGCCCGATGAATGCCACTCCAGCGATGGATCTAGTTGCACAGATGCATTATGGGAGCTCCACTGCCTGCTGTCCAACAGGGAAGTGAGGAGGTCCTTCATGGTGTACTGATTAAAACAAAAATAACAACCTGAACATAAGTAAAGGGAAAATGATCTGAATGAAAACAAGGAGACTTTCTTAGCTTAGCTTGGAAACAAAACTCTCATTAATGTTCAGAATTCAGTTTAAGCCTCGAGGTGCAAACACAAGTTTTGTGAGAAATGTTTAAGTTGTTCAGAAATCCCTTTACGTTCAGGCATAGTTGAACATCTATGTGCATTTTCTTTCTTTTATGGAGGAAACTGAGAAAAGGCAGAAAGACCCCTCTGGGTTTAGAGTGAGTTTTTGCTCAGTTCAGTGTCTTGGTCAGAAGTGGTAGGATGGAAAGAGAGCTGGACCCAGGGGCGGCGTTAGGCCCGGCTACTTGGGCTGAAGCCCCGGATCTAAATCATGGAAGTAACATGCAGTACCAAAGTCCAACAGAGAGGGAGCAGCTGGCAGTAGTTTGTATACAGCCTGCCTGAGCCTCCACCACTGAAGAAGAAGCCCTTCAGCAGCCGGCTTCTTCTGCACTCTCTGCCTGAAACGCATGAGTGAAGATGGACATAAGGACGATTTTTAGACAAAAAGTACCGCAACAGAACCCCAGCTTTGATGAGACTGGTGTTGACTCAGGTTTGTGAGTCTTATTTGAAAATATTTGTTGTGCTGCTGTTTTGCCTAAAGTTAGCTTATCAGGTAAAGTTGTTGGAGAAAGAAAGGGAATGTTTACGATCATCTCACACTAAACACTAACAGGAACAATACTCTGCCCTGCAAATGCTTAATATGTAGCTTCAGATGAAAAATTATGTGGTACAAGTCATATATATGATGTTGACTAGTGTGTGTCACGTGTGTGTACGCGCGTGTGTGTGCGCACGCGTGTGTGTGTGTTAAGCCCCGGATCTTCTTCAGTCCTAAATCCGCCCCTGGCTGGACCGATCAGTAATGAGTGTGCTGCTCTGTTCTGTCATGGCGGAGAAGGAGCTGAAGTGAAGAAGGAAAGCTTTTAATTTACTGGTCCATCTGTGCTCCAGCCCTCAACAGTAGTCAAGAGATTTGGATCATGACTGAAAGAACGAGATTCTGGATAAGTTTCAGAAATTAACTTCCTCCTTATAGACTTGTCTGGCTCAGCCTTGGAGATGAGGTGAGGGGTTCAAACATCCTGGAGAGACTTGGTGTAGAGCAGCAGTTTCTCCATTAGGAGTCAGCTGAGATGGGCCCCAGGGCAGACCCAGAGCTTGCTGGAAGGATGAAATATCTGCTACGGTTCTGAAATGCCCGGGGAATCCACCAGGAAGGGTTAGAGAAAGGGAATGGGGAGAGGGGTTGATGGATTTCTTTTCAAGGTCATGACCTAACCTTAGACATGTGGCAGAAGATGGATGGATGGAAATACAAAAATTTGCCATTAATCAAGAATACAATCCATGACTTGAGGAAAGAAATGACTAGACTCCCCCAAAACCATTTATTCTATTAAGTAAGGCTTAACCTCGTTGAACGTGTGTGCACAGGCACCAAAACAACAACTGACTGCTCCTTTAACTGCTGCTAACTCACACCTTAGAAGCCATGTATTGACCAGCAGAGTGAGGAAAGGTCAGCGATGCTAGACAGAAGACCACCAGGCCGGAGTACAGACCCTTCCTGCAAAAAGGTTTACACACATAATGGGCATTTGGGTTAATCCATGTACAATTTAACGGAAATAAATAATTTTACTGCTTTGTATGTGTTAAAGAAGAGGGCAATCAAACAGAAAGCAGACTTCTTATTCCTAGGAATTCCCAGTGTGTGTAAAAGAGGCTTAAAAGTGCATTTAGTCTACTCCTCGTCGCATCGCTGCAAGAAGCCTCACTCTGTCGTCAGCATCTTAAGCACGACTGTGTTTGTTTTGGTAAACTTCAGGATCCAGCGATGACAGAAGAGGTAGCAGCAGCTCACAGCTCCACACAGCAGCCTGTTTACAGACAAGAACACAATCCAGAACAAGAAGTCAGCAGGTTCATTTTAATTCAGGCAGCAAACGACGTTCGGAAGTCATTAGAGTCGAGGAAGGCCAGGAAGTGAGGCGAATGATAAAAAAATAAATAACTCTGAATACTAATTAGAAACGGAGGGAAACACAGCAGAGCGATGTCCTCATATTAATATGAAAACCAAATGTCAGTTTTGATCAGAGACAAAGACAAACAGAGGACTTGTTTAACTACGCAGGAGGTGTCGGTGTGAACTCACCCCAGAAGAACAAACAGCAGAATCTCCAGTGGGTGAAATGGTAAAGCGGTGGGGAAATTGGTTTTGAACAACGCCTGAAGAGTCTCTGTGGATGCAAAATAAAATTTGACTTTGGTTTTAACCGCCTGTATAAGATCTAATATCGCTGCTCTTTATTGGACCGAAGCTTTAATGAAATTCACAGTCAGCTTTATTAGCTCTGCTTTGCTGAAGGTGACATTTCCAATCATTAGGAATAAATGGGCTAAATAGGAGTGTTGCCTTAAAGTATAGGACTCAGTTTAAAAGGCAAGTCACCCCCTACCAGATTCTCACTCAACTCCTACTTCCTGTTTGAAAAATGCAACAAATGCTGTTGCCTAGCAGACCGAGAGGGCGGAGCCGCTAACAAATACACACACTCACGACATTGTGACATCATAATCTACCATCTAACATCATAGTGCACCTCTTAGCCAATAGCGCTGGCAGATTTAAATTCAAACGCAGTGCTGAGTTTTTACCTGACAACGGTGCAACACTGACAGTTTTAGGCAGAAAATTTAAATTTTAACTAAGATGCACTAAAGTGCCGAATTATTGACTACACGTGTCTGCAGCACGATCAGACACTCATCTATATAGTTTATCGGCAAAAAAATGTTGATTTGAAGTGACTTGCTCTTTAAATCTGCAACTAAAAAGTTATATTTATCAAAGATTGCATTTGCAGAATTACGTAAAATCGTAGAAATGAGTGAAGCATGTGCAAATTGTTGCCAGTTAGTTTCATTTTTGACTTCACTTTTTCTCCCTTTGGTTGGATTTGTCGTGGACTTTAACGTGGACCTGTTTGCTTGCTGACCGTGAAAGGGGGAGTGGTGATCAGTGCAGCGGTTACCTCCATCTCTGCTCCACATGGAGAGGAGGTGAAAGGTCAGAGCGCCGCAGGTGGCCGAGAAGAAACACGGGCAGTAATGCCTCAGGGCAAAGTGAGAGCACATGACCTCCACACTGAACAGTACACCTACATCACAAAAAAAAAAAAAGACAAATCAATTACAGCGAGTTTAAAATGATAAACACTTCAAATTGTTTTGAATCTTATCCTACAAAATATAGTTTGAAGAGCGAAAAAATAAAGATATAAAATATTTGCTCAAAGGAGGAAGATGTGCAACAAAAACTGTTGAGAAGATAGACGTGAGAGCTACGAGTATAAATGAAATGATGTCATGGTTGTCAGAGGTAAATTAAAGACGTAAATATATTGATCTTATATTTCTTATATATTTCTTATATGTTCTTATATTTGCTTATCTCTTAATTAATTAATTAATTAATTTTTTTTTCTATCTTACCTTCTGCACCAAAATACCGCAGCAATTTCCTAATGTTGTGACTTGGCACACATATGGCAATAAAAACTTCTGGTTCTGATTCTGATTCTGATCATGAGAACTAAATAAGATATCAATCATAATTAAACACCTTTACCAGAATAAGAATGATTAATTATGATCCTGCAAAGATTTTCTCTGTTTTTGCTTTATTATTTCAAAATAAAATGTTCCAGATAGAAAAAAAATAAAGTGCAGATTTAAGATTACAAATTTAGACAAACACATTGTCCGTGTTGCCCAGATGACTAACCCTAACTTCTGAATAAAGCACCTTTTGCCCCAGTAAATGATTTTGCATTCGTCTTCTGTAAGCATTTGTCAGTGATGATGGTAAATAATTGAATATCATCCTCATTTCGTGACCAAGAACATATCAACGTACTGGAATAATGGCGTTTGAATGACAGTGCCCCAACTGTAACCACAAAAAGATTAATATGCAAATCATGGAAAAAAAAGGTCTTACAATTGCCAAAATGTTTCCTCAAACACATGAATATGATTTTAATTTAAAGTTAACACAAGCTCTTTATTTAACTGCCCGACAGGTGTCAGTATGAATCGTGCAGCTCTGCTTTATTGAAGGGCTGCTCTTCCACACACAAACCCAGGCCCATCAACCCCTTTCTATTGGACGCAGACACGTATGGTGAGAATTTCAAGCAATCTATGTAGTTTGACGGTTAAAAACAGGGCAGGATGTGTTTCTTTTTGAGATATTTTAGCCTGACGGGATTTCTTAACTGGTCTGGTTAGGCCTGTAACCTGCTGGTGGACCTGAACTTATCTTTCCAAATAATGCAGTTAATCACTGTTAATTCATGATTCATCAAAAGGTTTACTCCACATAAGAATTGGTTGGTTTGGATAGATTTAGTCTGAAATCATGAAATCACTGCATTCTGTATTTTCTTGGGTTATTTTAGTCTAAAATTGAGATTTGTTTACTGATTTGAAAAAGATGTAAGTGTGAAAAGCAGAAGAGAAATCCATTTCCATAGCTCTTTACATCCATAAAATCTCCTCTGCCTGTTTGATTCTTGTGCTTTTTGTCCTTTTCTGAGTTTCTCACCACTGACTGGCGCTCCAAAGCAACTGGCCACTCCAACTCCAGCAGCTACTGCCAACATTCCTGTGGCTCCTTTCTCCTGGAAGATGTGTTCAGTTTTTTGGATTAATGCTGCCTTTTTCAATACCTTTAATTTGATGTAAAATAAGAATGACATTTACATAATTTTCATTCACTTCCATCATTGTTTGGTTGTGAGACCAGAATTTTAATGCTAAAGAAGCCCAAAATACCTGCTTGAGCCCGTGCACCCCCCAACATAGAAACCTTTCACACGTGCTCCAAACACAACCACAATTAACTGCATCATGACAAATCGCTCTTCATGAAGAAAAGAAAGAAAGAAGAGTCCCACCCCTTGTAAAATATAAATACAAAAAAATAAATATTCATTCATTTTACCTTCTTGCCACCTTGTATGAAAGAGCAGAGGTTGTCCAGGTAGGCTCCTACCATGGTGGAGAGATGCACAAATGGACCCTAGTTTGGGAGACAAAGACCTTGAAGAAAGCAGTAAAACAAAATTCTTTGCATCCCAAAAAGGTGTGCTGAATCATTTCTCACCACTTTGCCAAGAAAAACAGTGGTGCCAGCTGCCAGTGTGCAGATAAGGCCCAGGAACTTGGTAAACAGGTGCGTTAGAGACAAGTAATGGGGCATTTCGCTGCCAGCTATCATGGTTCTGACTTCAGGTATCCCAGAGCCTGAGCAGAAACACAACATGACTCAAAAGGTATGAAAGCAAACTTGTCAAATCATCTTTTAATTGCTTTTACACACACACACACACGCACGCACGCACGCACGCACACGCACACACACACACACACACACACACACACACACACACACACACACACACACACACGTTTGTATTTCTATCATAGTGAGGACCCTCCATTGACTTCCATTCATTTTTGTGACTCCACTATGCCTAACCCATACCCTAGCCCTAATCATAGCCAATGCTGATCTATTCCTAACCCTAACCTTAACTAAAACTTAATTCACACCATACCTCTAAAACCAACTAGTAAGCTTCTAAAAAAAGTGAGGACCAAATAAATGTCCTCATATTGAAAAATTGTCCTCACATTAGGAAAAATGGTCCAAATGGTCCTCAGTATACAAGAAAACACACACACACGCACACGCACACACAGACACACACGTTTGTATTTCTATCATAGTGAGGACCCTCCATTGACTTCCATTCATTTTTGTGACTCCACTATGCCTAACCCATACCCTAGCCCTAATCATAGCCAATGCTGATCTATTCCTAACCCTAACCTTAACTAAAACTTAATTCACACCATACCTCTAAAACCAACTAGTAAGCTTCTAAAAAATGTGAGGACCAAATAAATGTCCTCATATTGAAAAATTGTCCTCACATTAGGAAAAATGGTCCAAATGGTACTCAGTATACAAGAAAAAACACACACACACACATGCACACACAGACACACACGTTTGTATTTCTATCATAGTGAGGACCCTCCATTGACTTCCATTCATTTTTGTGACTCCACTATACCTAACCCATACCCTAGCCCTAATCATAGCCAATGCTGATCTATTCCTAACCCTAACCTTAACTAAAACTTAATTCACACCATACCTCTAAAACCAACTAGTAAGCTTCTAAAAAAAGTGAGGACCAAATAAATGTCCTCATATTGAAAAATTGTCCTCACATTAGGAAAAATGGTCCAAATGGTCCTCAGTATACAAGAAAACACACACACACACGCACACACACACGCACACACACACACACACACACACACACACACACACACACACACACACACACACACACACACAACCATGCACCTATTCAGAAAAAAACCTGAGCATGAAACAAAACAACCCCCCTTGCCCATGGTCATGCAGCTGAACTTGAACACACCTGTGGAATAGGGACAGATGTTATGGGAGAATGTTGATGCAAAAGCACAGAGGCATGCTGGGTAAAGAGACCAGCAAAGGAACTGCAGCAACACATTTCCCTCCAGGTTCAGAAAAAGCCACTGGTGAGCTACAGGTGACACGAGAGAGAACAATCACAACTTCTTTTATGTCCTTAGATTTTTTGTTTTGTTTTGTTGTGTTCGTTTACCTTTCAATAATTTTGCCACACTAAGGTCCATCAGAAAACTCAGGATGGCGGTCAAAATGCCCAGAGCAGCATAGCCGTACCACTCAATCCCACACACAGATCCCAAACACGTCTTCAGCTTCAAAAGCCAAGCTTTAAACACAAAAGCGGTTAAAACGGTTTTTCGACACACAAAAGGAAAGGAACGATGGAGGTCAAAGTAAAATGCCACCGATGACGATGCTAAACCACATTTCTACTGCGTACTGAGATTTATGCTAATTTATGGAGCTTTCAAACATAATGCTAGACTGCGACTGAAGAGAGCACCACACCTGCAAGCTCAGACTCAAAAAAAAAGGTGACAGATGGAACACATTCAACTCTTCAAATCATTTAAATGAATTACACAAAGAGAGGGGGAATTCAGTTCTTACCAAACATTAGAAGGTTACTCTTAAATAACCAGAACCAGAGCTATTAAAGAGATCACATGTGTTGAATATCATTACTTATTAACTGTCAGGCAAAAGAAATAAAAATCTCAGTAATTTTCCAGGTGCAAGCTTTTTTTTTTTTGAGAGTGTTCAAACAGTGAATCACTACTGATCACATAAATATTTTTGCTCATTGCTCTGACCTTTAACGGTTCTACGAGGTCCTCTGCATGGTTTCCTTGAATCCAGAAGTAGAGGATTCCCACTGCGAGATGTTCCTTGAGGAATTTCTATCTCCAGAATGCTTTTCTCCTCGTCGGTTCCTCTCTCAGGAGACCCATCAGAGTTCATCATTTTGTCTTCAAAACCAGTTTAATTTGACAAATATAATCCCAGATAAAATCCTAAAAAAATAGTTACATATCTATGGCATGTAAACTCACCTTTTTCTTGTTTTTGAACATTTAAATCCATTTTTGAGATGTAATATCTTTTGTTCCTGTGTGGATAAGTTGGTACCTGGGTGGTAAATGACCTCTGTTGCATTATTTGCATAGAAATGATGGAGCAGTCACGGCTCAATGCGTAGCTAATATTCACTTCTTGGAGGACGTTGGTAGGTGACCTTCATGAGTCCAGACTGTAAGACTCTAGTTTTGAAATACATTTTTAAATGACCTTTCTAAATTCATATTATCAGTAATAAAACATTTGCACAATCGTTCATAATTTAAGTGCAAACACTTTAAGTCATACAGGATAATTAATCTGTATACAATGAGCTTTACTTTGGCTTATTTTTGTGAAATTAATGTATTAGAAAATGTAATGGTGGGCTGTTCTTCATCTGAGAATTTATTTGGGTAATTCTGTGACCTTAGTTACAAAACTGAATCTATTTCCTTAATTAATTCCTGTATGCACATTTTATGAGTTTTGATATGACACTGCCAGGGAAGCATATTGTTGCCACCCATTCAAAATAAAATAAATGAGGTTTCCCCATAAAAATCTCGCCATGTCACATTAAAGTGTGAAAAGTTGATTCATCACACATCATATTTACACCATAAAATTATCATCAAAACAATAAAAACTTTTCATATTTAATGTTAATGATATGCTCTTTGTATATTTGATCAGTTGTTATAGCAATAATGTGAACATGTCTGTTTTATATCTTAAACAGTGTTTCATATATTAAAAACATTTTGTAAGGATATGAAAATATCCCATTATACCATGATGGCTTTCAACTAATAAACCTTTCACATTATAGTATCATATGGTTAGATGTTATTTTGAAAGTTGGCAGCATTATAGATTACATTTGTAACTACTTGCTGTAAGTTTGTGTTGCAAAAGTGAAGCAAAGGTATCCTGTCAGGAATTTTTAAAGCATAAATAAATATTTAAAAAATATTAGAAAAAGGAACATTTGACCTGACTGCAGAAGGAGAAGAACTACATTAAAAAATCTGCATCATAATTAAATTATCTGAGGTGAATAATAATAATGATAATAATAATAATAATAACAATAATAATAATAATAATGATAATAATAATAATAATAATAACAATAATAACAATAATACAAATACTACTACTAATAATAATAATAATGATAATGATAATAATAATAATAATAATAATAATAATAATAATAACAATAATACAAATACTACTACTACTAATAATAATAATAATGATAATAATGATAATAACAAGAACAACAACAATAATAATAATAATAATAACAACAACAATAATAATAATAATAATAATGATAACAATGATAATAATAATAATAATACTAATAATAATAATAATGATGATAATAATAATACTAATAATAATAATAATATGTTGTTGTTGTTCAGGACAACGTATCATTCTTTTAACCAGAGGAGGCGGGACTTAGAGTAAATACTCCAGCCTGCCACAAGGAAGCAATCACAGTATGAGTTTGTTTTTCACTTTGGCTTTAACCTTCTTATTAAATTGCTGTGTCTAGCTATAAAATGTGTTGTTGCACAATCACAACTTCACCTACTGTTACGCTTAGAGGAGGTTGCTGCAATACGTGGTCCAGCCCTAACCTGGGTTAGATCTTATTTGTCTAGCAGGTCCCAACAGGTGGTGTTGAACAGCATCTCATCTCGCTCTGCTCCTCTCTCGTGTGGGGTCCCGCAGGGATCTATTCTGGGGCCTTTGTTGTTTTGTCTTTACCTCCTTCCCCTCAGCTTAATCCTTAAAAAACACTCTGTTCATTATCACTCATATGCTGACGACTGTCAGATTTACATGTCGGTGAAACCCCAGCAATCCATCTAGCCTCTTCTAGACTGCCTACGTGATGTGAAATCCTGGCTAGCCACAAATTTTCTGCATCTCAACGATTCCAAGACTGAACTGATCCTGTTTTATCTGGTCAGATCTAACTCATTTCAAACCCCAGATCTTTCATCTTTTTCTCAAAATCTAAAAACCATTGTGACAAACCTGGGTGTGAAGATGGATTCATCTTAAGGATGGACGCCCAGGCAAATGCCAATGTAAAATCTTGTTTTTTCCAACTCCGCCATCTGTACAAATTAAGAGCTGTTTTATCTAGAAAAAATTTGGAATCTGTTGTTCATGCCTTCATCACATCTAGGCTCGACTACTCGAATGCAGTTTTGCTGGGTGTCAATAAGTCAACCCTTGCCTGACTTCAACTCGTTCAAAATGCAGCTGCTAGATTCCCAACACGTACTGACAGGCGCCAGCATGTAACACTAGTTCTCAAATCCCTTCATTGGTTGCCCATCACTTTCAGGGTCCAATATAAAATGTTACTTTTTGTTTTCAAATCCCTCCATGGTCTTGCCCCCGTGCACTTATCTGATCTTCTTTCAATTTATACTCCCAGTCGCGCACTCAGGTCCTCCAGCCTGTTGGTCCTCGAGGTCCCGAAAGCGTGTTACAAATCATGTGGACAAAGAGCTTTCTCTGTTGCGGGTCCTAAACTGTGGAACGAACTTCCAGTCACAGTTCGACTGGCATACATCTTGGCAGATTTTAAGTCTAGACTAAAGACACACAATTTTACCCTTGCTTTTAACAGTTAGCTGTTAGTGTGAATGCTGTGAAAACATCATTGTAAAATGCTTCTTTTTATTTTTGATGAAACCGGAGCTCGTGCTCTTATTTTGAAAGGCACACTTGCCTTTCTCAACAACTTCCGGTTAGCTTAACGTGTGCACTCGTTTTTTTTCTAACGTATGAAAGGAAGCTGATATATGCTGAATACGTTCAGATTAATATAAGAGACTAACAGCAAGCAAAACTTGTTTTCTCCCCTCCCATTCGGAGCTACAAGCAGGCAAAGTGGTTAGTAGACTTTGTAACCTTTATTTGTGATTTATGTGTTATATTTATGTAAACATATTGTTTATTCTGTCGGTTTGTAGTTCTACGGTGGTTTATGGTGCTGCATGATGCTAGCTTTGCTAGTCAATAACGGCACAAATAAAGAACGCCATCTGTAAAAAGAACTGGAGTCCTCGCGTGCTTCGATGGGCGGCATAGTAGAACACTTCACCACGCAAAGGAAAGGTGAAGACTCCATATGAAGAGCGAAGTGTGCCAAACCGTTGAGGACGTCGGGTAGAGGAGCAGTCTGCAGTTGAAGATACATCGTGTCATCTGGTGAACGTTGTGTTGAGAAGATTAAAGGAGCAGTATGGACAAAGCTTAAAAGGTGGACACGTTAAAGTAAACGGGTCAGAAGTAGCAGAAAGATCCAGAACTGCCATGAACTTTTCATCACACATTCCATCGTGTACATCTTAAAGGAGCAGCGAAGCTTCCCTTCCACTTGGCTACACTGCAAGAGCTAAGTAACTTTATAGGCAAATCCACTCATCAAGTAATTTGATTAGGAAAAATATATATAAATAAATAATATTAAGGGTTTATTCTCTAGGTTATGCATATAATTGCATTGTGTTTGCATTAAGATTGTGTGGAGGTTGCTGGTAATTGTATCACAGGAGATTCTTATTTGTGTTTCTGCCAAATGTGCTGTTAACATTTATTTTAAGTTGTTTACATAAGAGTTTAGACACAAGTTAAGCTCAAGTTAACGGCAGAAAATTGTTCAACCTTTATCTGTTTACTGAAATTCATTTTATTCCTTTAGTTTACAACTCTAGTACATTTATAGGCTTAAAAGTACACAGTCAGTATGTCACAAAGGGGTGATATTGAAAATATATGTACTTCACAAGAGAAAGCTGATATTAATGAGCAAGTAGAAGCAACTACAAAGGAAATGCAAGCTCAGGTTGAGTCACATAAGCAAGCTAGTGAGACGGTCACATCAACTGCACTAGACTCACTGTCTCAAACTAAAGATCTCCCACATTCTGCATGCATTAGGAAAAGTGAACGCAAACGAACGCTCACTGAAAAAGGACAAGCTTTAGCAGATGATCGACTGAAGGATCTGAAGGCACAGTTCAACAGAGCTTATGAGCGGTGGAAGCACAAAATAAATGGACTGAAAAAGGCCATAAAGTACAATGATGATTCTGAGCTAACGGAGATCATGAGTAAAATAAATACAAACCAAGTTGAGATAGATAATATTTATCTTAAAATAAGAGATACTGTACATCCAGATCATCCAAATTCAGAAATCCGCAGAATCAACGATACCTGCCAATCGCTCACCAAGGTTGCAAATAAAAAGGCACAGAAGTTTCTCATCAATGATGGAAAGACCAGACATTCAAAGGAGTATTCGTACAGGTCACAAGATGCTAGACAAGCTGCAGCAGAAGCAGCTGCCACAGAGGAAGTCCTAAAAATAATGAAAGCTCAACATGACTGTGAAGAAGAAATCTGGAGACTTGAGCAGGCAGATCAAGTGTTGGCAGCTGAAAAAGAAGCAGAGGAAATTAGGCAGAAAGCTGAAAATGAGGCTGAGAATGCAAGGAAAAGAGCTCAGTTTATTGCAGAAAGTGCAGCTAGAAAGATGAAGGTTGAGGAGAAGAAGAAAGAAGTTGAACGATTAGAGGAACTTAAAAGGCTTAACGCAGCAAAGGCAAGGCTGAAAGTGTATTCTGAAATTGTTCATAGTGACGATGAAGAAGATCATCTGTTGCCACCTCCTCTACCACAAAATCCAGCACTTTCTCAACCTCTTAGCTCACAAGAAAGGCATCCTCAAATCCTTCCAGCAAACCAATCCGTAGCTCAACAACCATACCAGGTTACAGTCACTAAAAGCTTTACTCCTCATTCACCAATCTATACCTCAGTATCTGTGCCACAAGCATCTTCATTTAATAAACCAACTGTGAACTATCAGTCCAATCCCATTCAAACAGTTACATCAAACAACCCAAATGACACAACCAATGAATTGGTTAAAACATTAGCGGAAGCTATCGCTGCAAATCGAATCCCAATTCCTGAACCTGCTGTTTTCACTGGAGACCCCCTGAAGTACACTGATTGGAAACTTTCTTTTTCCACTTTAATTAATCAGAAAAACCTTCCAAACCAAGAAAAACTGTTCTTCTTACGCAAGTATGTTGGCGGTGCAGCAAAAAGAGCTATAGAAGGTCATTTTCTGGTTGGTTCAGAAACAGCTTATAATGCTGCCTGGAATGTGCTCGAAGACAGGTTTGGCAATCCTTTCCTGATTGGCAAGGCATATCGTGATAAAATACATTCATGGCACAAAATTGGCCCAAAGGAAACTGTGGAGCTCCGTGAGTTTGCAGATTTTCTGAGCAGTGTGGAATCAGCCATGTCATATGTACAAGGATTACAAGTTCTGAATGACTGTATGGAAAATCAAAAAATAGCACAAAAACTACCAGACTGGTTGAGCTCACGGTGGAACAGAGCAGTCGTTACTTTCCAGGATGAAATCGGTGCATTTCCTGACTTTAAGTACTTCGTCTCATTCCTCAACAAAGAGGCTCGCATTGCTTGCCACCCTGTTACATCTTGGCAGGCTATGAATCTAAAGGGAGAGAAATCAAGGTCAAGCGAGCAAGACATAAGAGGATCTCCAAAAGATAAAGTTGGTGCTAAGACATTCACTACAAACACAAGTGAAAGGATAGATAAGAAGTGTCTTTACTGCAAAAGGCCACATCACACTCTCCATAAATGTCGCAAGTTCATCGAAAAACCACTTGATGAAAGAGTCAAGTTTGTACGGGAAGAGAAACTCTGTTTTGGTTGCCTTGAGAATGGACATCACTCCAAGGTCTGTAAGTCTAGAAGTACATGTGACACGTGTAAAAAACCTCACCCAACGTGCTTACATCAAAATCGTGAAAAAAGGGAACAGAAGCAAGAAAATAATCCAAAACAAACTCATTCAACTGAAAATGACAAGGATGGGTCTGAACAAGATCAACCGAGGGTAAACAACCAAGACAAAGACAAGAGTTTTAAACCAAAGCAAACACTTGAGTCAGATGGAGCTACTTCTCTAAGGATTATTCAAGAAAGGGGCGGAACTCTCACTTCACCAATTGTTCCAGTCTATGTGTCCTCATTGACTCAACCAGACAAGGAAATACTAGTGTATGCTCTGCTCGATTCTCAGAGCGACACTACGTTCATCTTGAAGGATGTAGCCGACACACTGGATGCCAAGAAAGATCCAGTAAAGCTCAAGGTGTCAACAATAACCTCAAGAACAAAGGTTGTATCCAGTGAAAGGTTGACTGGTCTGGAAGTGAGAGGCTTGAAATCTGAAGTTAAGATCAAGCTTCCAGTAAGCTACACCAGGGAGTATATACCGGCTAACAGAGCTCATATTCCCACAAGTGAAACCGCAATGTCCTGGCCTCACTTAGAACATCTTGCAGAGGAGATGTCGCAAGAATTAGATTGTGAGGTAGGTTTGCTAATCGGTTATAACTGTTCTCAGGCTCTGGCTCCAAGAGAAGTCATCCATGGAAGTGAAAATCAACCCTTTGCACTCAAGTCTGTGCTGGGTTGGAGCATTGTCGGGTATAACAGTACCGTCAATGATTATGAAGATGAAATAGGTGTAAGTCACCATATCATTGCTAAGCAAGTCATACCACTTACAATGCCTTCCTCTGAACTCAAGTCAGAAGTCCATTTTTCTGCTAGAACCCAAGTTAAAGAAGTTATCTCCCCATCAGACATGATAAAGGTTTTTGAGTCAGACTTCTCTGAAAGAAAGGGTGGAGAAGCTCCAATATCACAAGAAGACTTGCGGTTCCTTGCAATACTGAAAGAAAATATAAAGCAGAAGCAGGACGGACACTACCAGATGCCATTGCCTTTTAAGGTAGAGAGGCCAAGTCTACCTAACAACAGAGCATGTGCTGAATATAGACTAAAATGCCTAAGAAAACGACTACAAAGAGATGAGAAGTATTGCAAAGATTATGTAGCCTTCATGAAGGACATGATAGAAAGAGGGGATGAAAGAGTTCCAAAGACAGAAATAGACAGTCAAACAGTATGGTATATTCCCCACCATGGGGTTTATCACCCTAAAAAGCCCGGAAAAATTAGGGTCGTGTTTGATTGTTCTGCCCAATTTCAGAACACATCACTCAACAAACATCTGTTGACTGGACCAGACCTTACAAATAATCTCACTGGGGTCCTGTGTCGTTTCAGAAAGGGACAGATAGCCATTATGTGTGACGTGGAACGTATGTTTCATCAGTTTCATGTGGACCCACAAGACCAAGACTACCTCAGATTTCTATGGTGGGAGGGTGGCAAGATGGACGATCCACCATCAGTGTATCGTATGAAGGTCCACTTGTTCGGTGCTGCATCTTCACCAGGATGCGCCAACTTCGGGCTTAAACACCTGGCGACTCAAGGAGATGAACAGTTCAGTGAGCAAACAGTGAAGTTTATCCAACGCAACTTTTACGTTGATGATGGATTGACAAGTGTAGACAGCGAAGCTGAAGCTATTCAGCTTGTCCAAGAAGCAAGGGAGCTTTGCAGCACTGGAATGCTTCACTTGCACAAGTTCATCAGCAATAAGAAAGTAGTGCTAGACACATTACCAAAGGAAGAGTGTGCAGATGGAGCAACCAACCTTGACATGGCTTTTGGAGAACCAAAAATGGAAAGAGCTCTTGGTGTCCAATGGAGCATCAGTTCTGACAAGTTCCAGTTCCGAGTTGAAATTAAAGAAAATCCCTTCACCAAAAGAGGAGTACTGTCCACAGTAGCTTCAATCTTTGATCCCCTTGGATTTTTGGCACAGAGGAGGGTTCAATTTCTATCAAATGAGTTCTGGACCAGGTGGAAAAGGGAGTATTTGCTCAATTTACAACAAAGAAGAAAATGGACTACTGAGAGACGGAATGCTAAAGTAAATGACATTGTCTTACTGTTGGACGACAACCTGCCAAGAAACCAGTGGAAGTTGGCAAGGATAGTGGAAGTCTTCCCAGCTGCAGACAACAGGGTTAGAAAGGTCAAGCTGTTAGTTAGTAACACATTTTTGGACAACAGAGGCAAGCGCACATCCCAGCCACTTTATTTAGAGAGAGCCATACATAAAACAGTGCTATTACTTGAAGCAGAGTAAAGGGTTATCTTAAGAAGGTGCCTTTGTTTACTGTTGGTAGTTTTTTTTTGTTGTTTAACAAGTTATTGTATATAGTTTAAATGAATCACTTTGTGTGATTGGTGGGAGTGTGAATGCTGTGAAAACATCATTGTAAAATGCTTCTTTTTATTTTTGATGAAACCGGAGCTCGTGCTCTTATTTTGAAAGGCACACTTGCCTTTCTCAACAACTTCCGGTTAGCTTAACGTGTGCACTCGTTTTTTTTCTAACGTATGAAAGGAAGCTGATATATGCTGAATACGTTCAGATTAATATAAGAGACTAACAGCAAGCAAAACTTGTTTTCTCCCCTCCCATTCGGAGCTACAAGCAGGCAAAGTGGTTAGTAGACTTTGTAACCTTTATTTGTGATTTATGTGTTATATTTATGTAAACATATTGTTTATTCTGTCGGTTTGTAGTTCTACGGTGGTTTATGGTGCTGCATGATGCTAGCTTTGCTAGTCAATAACGGCACAAATAAAGAACGCCATCTGTAAAAAGAACTGGAGTCCTCGCGTGCTTCGATGGGCGGCATAGTTAGTTTGGCTTTTACTACTCTTATTTTATCATCCATTGTAAGGTTTCATTGGTTTCATTGGTACTTTTTTTTGTCGGCTTGTCTTTTTTTATTTATTGTTGGCTGTGTTTTATAGTACCGTTTTATGTTTTTTTTATCTGTGTTATTGTGCGACTGTTCAGGACTTTGGTCAGCCGTATGGCTGTGTTTTTAATGTGCTATATAAATAAAGGTGGTATGGTATGGTATGGTATGGTACTGTAAATGCTGTGCAAATTTCAACTGATAAGTTTTCAGTTCCTCACTTGTTACTGTCATTTAAGGCTTTTGGTAAAATGTGTTTTTTTTTTATCTCAAGCTTGATGGAAGCTGCAGAAAATTAACAAAGGAATCAAATTTTCTGACTAGAAAAAGGGTTTTAATTGATCTCTTTGGAGATGTTTTTACAAATTTGTCTCAGAAGGGTGTTATCTAATGTCCCTGAAGATCAAAACATGAAACAGTCATCGTGAATCCTCTAACTGACTCTACTGGAAATCAACATTTGGCTCCACCAACTTTTAAAAGGTCTAAGCATTCATTATTCACACACACACACACACACACACACACACACACACACACACACACACACACACACACACACACACACAGACTGTTTCAATGACGCGTTAGTTAATGTTTGTTTTCCTGAAACATGGTTTGTGTTATTTTTGGATGCAGCGACCACCACACACACACCTATCACGTATAAAACTGATTTTCATGAGAACAACTCAGAGACGGCCAACAAACGAGTGACCAACATTTCAGATGATCTCAGAAGTTTCCCTGCAAACAAATGAGTTAACAAGCTGATTAAATTAAACAATGTGACACACTTTCTGGGACTAATGGACATTAGAGGAAAGATCAGAACAGTCACAACAGTTTCAATTCTTTCCACTGCTTCCATTAATCTGACAGGGAACAAAACCAGTTGGTAGCACGAATATTCCTGGAGCCTTTTGAGTCATTCAGAGAAGAAAGCTTGCTAATGGCTACATGTGATCAGCTGTTATGAAGAAAATAACCGAGTACAATAGTTGTGAGAAAACACATTATTCTTCACAGTTCTATGATTAGCCAACACAATAACACTTGGCTCTCAGCTCATTAAAAGTGCAGAAATAAAAGATGCTGCAAAAACACAGTAAACTGAGAGGAAAAAAGCTCTAAGAGAGGGGATTATAATGAGACAGAAAAATGTCAGACTTTCAGGAGCAAATGGGGAGGAAGGTTACAATTAGATTCATGAAGTTAAATCTACCCAGTAAGTAATTATGGGTTGCACATTTATATGAGTTCTGATTTGCAAAGAGAATGCTTTTTTTTTCTTTTCAAATTGCATTATTAACACAAATTGCAACGCTACTTTTATTCCACTGCCATCTTTAAATGTTGGTCGTTCTATTCAGCAGTCCTGCAGTGAATCACTTCTGTATCAAAGCCTTGTTTTCATATTGACATTGTTAGGACACGTCCTCATTACTGGGGACAAAAAGAAGGACCGTAAAATCTGTGTACGTTGGCACCACAAACCAGGAAACCAGGACCAGGTGGTCAGACAAACAATGAGTAAATAAAGGATGAAGTGCTAAGTTGGAGTTCAATAGAAGCCCTAAACCAATTAATTTTTATGTATTTTTAAAAAAATTAAGGTCCCAGATGCTTTAAAGAAAAAATATTCACCCTGACGGTGTTTCTTCTGCGAAGCTTAGAAGGCAACAGAAAGAGCATCAGGTTGAACTTGAACTGAACGGAAAATGAGAGCAAGAGTTTCCCAAGGACAACCCTTTCAAACAGAAAAACACATTTACCACCGCGGTTTAGATCTAAAACCAAAGATCGTGTTTCCATCTCCAACCAGCTCTGAAGAATTCTCCTACAACACAAAAACAGACAGAAAGTGTCCCTCTGTCTTTACCGATCAAGCAGATTTATTTCAAAAAGAAAGAGAGACAACTCAGCATGACATTTAACAGCTGTCCTGTTTCACAGCACTAAAATGAAAAGGAAAAGTGCCAAAAACTCACCAGTCGACCTGCAACGCGCGTCCCTAATGAGAAGTAAAAAGTTTAGATAGTTCAAAACCAACAGATGTCCAACAGGATCACATAAAGCTCAATAAATTCAAAAGCAATCCAAGTTTTTTTGAGAATCTGCTAGTGAGAAACAACTGGTAATAAATATGTGAGAAGGAAATGAGGACAAATAGAGCCAAGATTTTCTAAATAAAACTGAAAATGAGGACGTTTTTAACTGAACATGAGACCAGATGGGGGTGTATTTATTTCCATAACCTCTGACCTCTACGCGTGAGTGGGTTAGCGATAAGATGACTCATTTCACCAAAGTTGTGAAGGCATTATTATCTGTGGAGCTTTTCATCACGGGATCCAAAATCCTATGATTGTCTGCTTCTTTGAATCGTATCTGTTGCCATGACAACCCACCTCACAACCCTTTGTTTCCAATTGTTCTTTTCTCTGATAATTCAAACTGAGCTGGAAAGCAATTTGAAAAGAGCAAAGAGCTCATAACTGTTATAAAGTTTTAACTGGGGGGGGCTGTAATTTTAATTTCATTCATCTGGCAACCCTGAAGGACTAAAAATGATCAGAGTATTCTGTCGACTCACCCTCTCTGCAGCTTTTTAATCCTCATTTTTCACGGCTCCCTCGGTCTTTAAATCTAAATAATCACAAGGAAGGTCTCCAGCTTGTAAACACCCAAAGATTTGTAGATTTACTTTTATCATATGGATTACAAAATTATACATTATGTTCCCAAACTGGCTAAAAGTTTAGTCCTTTTGTATTTTACGAGAAACAGCTAAATTTTCCTCCTCTCATGGACAGCAGGACAGATGTTACTGACATTACAGACATTTCCAGTAAATAACACTTATTTTGGTGTCGGCCAGCAGGGTTGCGCTCTACTCCCGCCCCGTTGAGGCCACAGCGAGCTGACAAACATTACTGTTGTTTGGGATTGGAGGGGCTTCGGTGAGCTCCTGGTTGGGAGGCGGTGAGTTGCTAGGCTGGATTTCGACCTTAAGCAGGGGGATCAGTGCTCTGTGTGGCGATAAGGCTGAAATCAAATAATACCCCGTTGAGTCATTTGTAATGTGGTTTAACTTTACAAGCACTGAACGTAAAGGGCGAGCTACCTTCAGTAGCCCAAAACAGGCTTTTAGGATAATTATACCTGCAGATAATTAACAAACACTCGTGTAAATCCGTCTTTTCACTCAGGCTAGTTGCTTTTGAATTACACGACAAAGCAGAAGTCAAATGCACAACATGAAGGAGACCAAAAATGGATTAGCCACACGCAGCGCTGACTAACTGTGAGTGTTTTCTGATCATGACCTGCACTCTTTGCACAGATATTAATAGCGACAAAGCAATGTCACCACTAAGTCCCCCCCGTTCCTGCTCGTGGCTTTGTTTTCAAGCGCATTCTTTCCATCGTTGTTTTGCTCCCAACTTATCCTCAGAAACACGAGGCAGGGTTTCACTTTTGTTTCAAAGTGTTTTTGTTTTATTCTAGACAACGGCAAAGGAGAAACATAGAGTGTTAATAACTGTTTGTGTTGAGTTTAATAAATAAATGACAGAATAAAATCTCTAGTGAGATCACACCCCGCTGTGAAATAAACCTGGGCTGCTTTAGTGGGAGAACCATGCGTGGATCCAGTTTCAGTTGAGAGATTTGGAGCAGAATTATAAAAGAAACTGACTGGAGGCGTGATGGAGTGCAGCGAGAGTTAAAGGGAGAGGGGGAAAAGCTATTTCAGGAGTGATGCGTTTGGAATGACAACTGTTGTGCCCCCTATCAGGTCCTTCTCTCTTTCCCTCTCAACCTCGGGCCCTTCATCGCTCAGAACTTTTCCAACCACAGTCTCTCCTCTTCATCCCTCGGTGCGCCTCGTGATAAAAATAGAACTCCATTACCCTTTTCCAATACGCTGTGACACGTGCCACTTTCCAAACATGCATGAGCTTGTGGAGTATATAAACCCCACGTGTGATTGGCTGCGGGAAAGTGGGACAGCAAACGCTCTTATATAATCAATAAAAAGGCAGGAAAAAACGTAACATTTCCTAAATTATTCGAGTTGTGCGATTTATTTCTAACACTTAAAGATTCCCAGAGCTGCTCCAGGAACAATCAGCTCTCTCCGCCTCCCTCTTCACTCCCTTCACTCTCCTCCTCTGCCTTATCCGGCACTTAAAACCATCCATGAGTGTGACCAACTCCTCTGCCTACCGATCGGAGCGCAGTTTCCACCAGACTTCATCCTCAACTTCATCCTCCTGTAACCCATACATGGAGAAGAGCCGGGGACTGTTTGCTGAGGACTTTGACTCCTTCATGAGACCTGGGAGCGACGCTTTAGGGTTTTCCAGTAAGTTGGAAGAACTTTTGGAACTCATTGAAAGAGGTGTCAACAGTAAAAGCATGTCTGTGTTTGCAAACGATGATAGGAAGTGGGATTTTTCCACTCGGCGTGATGTGGTTGGTTACTTTGAAAAGGCTTTTTATTTACAGGACTGTTGCCATGGCGCGCACAGTTTACACAAGAGAACACCGCATTTTTACAAGAGCCTTTTCGTTTTCATGCCTATGTGTTTGAAATGTAAAGCAGGATCTTGAGATATTTCACTTGACGGTGCCTGGATCGTCCTCAGACTCGGTAAAGACTCTGGCTGGTGTGAACTGGTGTTGGTGAACTGTTGGTGCACACAGAAGTGTGAAACTCCGGCATGTAACCTTTAAATCGACTCATGGTCCTTGTGGATTGTCTGTCAAGGGCAAGGACGTGTTTTAAAGGCGTCACCTATGCTGTCCTATAGTTGAAGCTTCATGACGAGCAAGCACGCATGCACAAACACACATACATACACACACACACACACTGCATGCCTGCAAGCAGGAATGTTGGACAGCCTGCCAGCTATGTGACTTCACACAAAAAGTATCTGAGATGACGTCTGCATAATGAATGGCCGAATGGTTGCTTAGAGACCGATGTACACACACACACACACACACACTCACACTCATAGTGGAATGATGTCACACATTGAAATTAATCTTGCGAAACCAGGGCACACCGACACACACACACATCATCATCACATTGTCCTTCGCTGAACTGTGAATCCACTGGGACATAAAAGACATACAATAAATGAAATTTTTTATTTTTTTACTTTCTTTGTTTTGTTTAATTTTTAGTTCAAAATTATTTTTATTTATTATTATAATTATTATTATTATTACAGTTTTCCTAAAAGTAATTTTAAAGAAATCATCCCTACAGCGGGGCGAATAATAATAATTTAATTTATAAAGCACTTTATATTTCACAATCTCAGTGCTACATAAAATTATCAGGGTCCAGACAAATAAATAGAATAAAATCGGGAGTCAATAAAATAATGTCAAATGACAATTAGCAATAAGCTTTTCTAACGAGATTAAAGGTGTCAACAGTTTGTGGGGCCCTCAGGTGGACAGGGAGGGCGTTCCACAGCCTTGGAGCAGCAGATGAAAAGGGTTGATCTCCCATGCTGCAGAGCTCGGTTCTAGGGGTTTGGAGAGAGTTTGACATTGCAGAGTGGAGGATGTGTGTGGTTGGGATTGTGAGAAGTTCCTTTAGATAAAGGGGGGCGTAACCACGAATGCACTGATAAGTAAGGAGGGAGACCTTCTTTACGATTCTTAGTGGAACAGGGAGCCAGTGAAGAGGTTTCAGAACAGGAGTAATGTGCTCATGTTTGCGCATGCTCATCAGAATCCTGGCAGCTCGCGGATGTTTGAATATAGAGTGGTCAACAAATCTATGCCAATGCATCTGAAATTGTTTTCCTTTTCATAATCTTTTATTTTTTTTTTTTTTGCCATATTTCAAAATAATTTTCTTGAGCTAATATGTGCTAAAATGACCCTTTACAGGGTTAATGAAAGACCACCCAGCCCCCATCGGCCAGAATTTTCCTCGTGCAAATTCAACCTGGTGGGCAGGACTGTTGGGGAAAAAAATGGCGCTGACATGGTGCAGCAGTCTGGTTCCAGCCATCGAAATATACTGGACAAATAATGTCCATATGCTGAAATTCTAAGTTTTTGTTTCCAAATGAGAGGTTCCCACCACCGCCATTTTGACCATGTCACATGTATCGTCACACCCAGACAACCCAAAAATGGGAAAAGAGGTGGAGCTGTTACTGTTGGAACAAATGAACCAATGAAGCAACTAGCTAACTTAGCTAACCCAAGAAGCTAAGAAGGGGCTCCGTTACCGGGGTAGCCCATCCGCTCAGCTGCCTAGCAGATGAGGGTAGAACAGCAATTTTTGCCACTTCCTTGTTGGTTTTAGGTCTGAGAGCCTGGGGTTCCCCCTTGGTTCCAGCACGTTTCCTGCATGTCAGCCGAGAAATAGGGATGCATCACAATTGTCTATTTTTTGCTCATTTAAATTTAAATATATTTTAAACCATTTTCTAAATTCTTTTTTATATTTTTACATTTTTTGTTTTTGTGAAGCGCCTCGTGATTTTTATCTTGAGAGGCGCTATAGAAAAGACATTTTCTTCTTCTTCTTAAGATCATGAACACAGCTAATTTGAATAATTTAGTGATGAATCGTTCCGGTAGACACTAATGAATACTGGGAGACGTTTCAGCTCTTAGATTAAGTTGTTAAAATAGACAAATGCACAGTGAGGCAATAGGGAACATGACTGATAAGCAGCCAAGAGAAAACAGTTTTTGCCATCATTTATATGGAATTTTGTGTTGTTGTTTTTTTTATAAATGTAAATATCACCACCAGCAGCAGCTGACATTCTCAAACTGCTGTGAAATACTGGAGAATGGAGCTCCAACAAGCCCTTGGCTCTTTAGTCCTGTCAGATGTAAACTCTATTTCTCAGAACTGAAGCTTTTCCGTGAGCAAGTAAAAGGATAATTTAGAGTTTTTATGGAGAAACGTGGTTTTTTTTACTGGTCAATCCACGCTTTTAAGCAAGCTTCTTTTTCCAACCAAGGACAATTTGATGACCTAAATAAAGACACAAAAAAGAAATTTACTGTTGATGAAAACATATTTGTTTCATTTTGAACAACAACAGAGGACAACATGACAACACAAGAAATTGACAAATGTTACAAGAAAAATCTGGGATTATCAATCCATGGGGAAGTGACTGAACATGAGGAAAAGATGTACTAATTACAAGACTAGATCAGTTGTGATCTCGTCCGTGGGAATCCTAAGGTGTTCCCAGGTCAGCCGAGAAATAGGGATGCAACAATACCACTTTTTTCCAAACCGATCTGAGCACTCGCCGATACCGATGCCGATATTTCTACCACACAAAAACATGCTATGAATTGGAATACAGGTTTTATTTTCTTCTCTGCTTTCAACAGGAAAAGACTGTAGATAAAAAGTAAAATACATTAATAGAAATCATCACAAAACTAAAATATTAGGTGAACAGAAATGACAAGTTACAGTGAAGCCACTTTCAAGCAACTGCATTGGTATCTGTTCCTGGTATCGGTTAACTTTTATCGATACCGATACTGGTATCGGTACAGATACCGATACCAGTATGTGCATCCCTACCGGGAAATATAATCCCTCCAAAGGGTTCTGGGTCTTCCCATAGATCTTCTTAAAGTTGAACATTCCTAGAAAACTTCACCAGGGAGGCATCCGGTAGGAATCTTAATCAGATGCCCGAGCCACCTCGACTGGCTCCTCTTGATGTGGAGAAGCAGCAGATCTACTCCAAGCCCCTCACTGATGATTGAGCTTCTTACCCTATCTCTAATGGGCCATTCCCATCTGTACCTGGTCGGCCCTGCCCGGATAGCTCCAGTCGGCCCCAGCCTGGCCCAGTTGATTCCACACATCCTTGCTTAGGTAATGCAAGGAATGCAGTCAGAGACATTTTCAGCTTCTAGGTAATCAGCATGATAATGAATGATAATGAATTGAGCATGCCTTAAGCCCATGTGGGCTGATTCTACCCACCAATCAGAGGCTTGTTCTAATGGAAGGTGTGAATTTGCTGACTGATAAGCCTATCAAATAAAAGGCAGGCAAGATATCCGGGCCGGGCCGACCAGGTACAGATGGGAATGGCAAGGGAGCGCCCAGACTCCCTGCGGAGAAAACTCATTACAGCAGTTTGTATCCACGATCTCATTACTTCAAAGTTCGTGATGTGAAGGTTGGGATGCAGAAGAACCCTAAATCCACAGCTTTGCCTTTTAACTCAGCTTTCTCTTCACTATGACAGACCGGTACCACTCCATCTTTCCCTCCTTTGTGAATAAGACCCTGAGATACTTAAACTCCTTCACTTGAGGCAGGACCTTGAGAGAGGCATTGTACCCTTTTCCAACCAAAGACCATGATTTTATTTGACCCCACCAAATATTTTTCTAAAAGTCAAGCTTGGTTGCCCCAACAGATAATGTGTAAGAATACAGGGATGACTCGGCTCCTTCAACACCAAATTTTAGCTTAATATCTGTAAAGCTGTCTGAGTTATAAATGTTTTGGTGCTGTCTGAGGTCAGCTTTATCAGTTTATCTGTGGTAAATGTCAGAGAGAGAGGGATGAAACCATCCCCCACTTTGACTTTTTGGTGGGAGATAAGAATAGAAACAGAGCAGCTTTGGTCTTCTGTGATCTCACCATATCACTTCTTTTGGTGGTTTCAGGTGGAGCCGGGAACATCAAAACCCTCGATGATTCATACCAGTTTACCGTTGATGTGCAAGGCTTTTCCCCTGAGGATGTCATCGTCACCACATCCAACAACCAGATAGAAGTCCGTGCGGAAACGGTGGGCAGCATTTCTTTTGATTTGGAATGTTAACATGAAATTTAGAGGTAGAGGAACAGTTAAGAACAACAACATTCAGTCATCTGCATTGTTCTTTCTGTTCAAGTTGGCCCCGGACGGTTCAGTGATGAACACTTTCACCCATAAGTGCCAACTACCCGAGGATGTGGACCCCACCTCAGTGACATCATCCCTGGGTGCTGAGGGGACTCTAACGGTCCAGGCACGAAGACAACCGGCCAAGCACGAGCTTGTACAGACCTACCGCACAGAGATCAAAATCTAGACAGAGACAGACTTTCTCACACATCACTTATTGGGGATTTAACCCCTCATTTCTGTCATTTTTATGATGTCTCTCCACTTCAGCCACTGCTAATCCACATTTCATGATGGCAACAAAGCTAGTTTAATTATATAGTAAAGGTCACACTTACATATCTCAGTCGGTTCTGTAAGGCAGTTTTACTCACATTTAATATTAAGTGTCATGAATTATTTAATGTATAATGTTAATAAATCTGCATTAAAACACAACTGAACCTTTCATTTCCCTTTTTCTTCCATTTACTATTGTAGTACAAAAACTTTGTGGTAATTTAACCTGTGAATGTAGGTAGTTCTATTTTTCTATAAGATTCAGAGTATGATTGTTGACATGTCAGTGGCCTAGTGGTGGAGTGTCTGCCCTGAAACTGAGTTCAAATCCCGGTCGGGTCACACCAAAGACTTTCAATGGGACCCAATGCCTCCCTGACACTCAATTTTAAGGGGTTGCATTGGGGGGTTAAACCACCAAATAGTTCCCGAGCGCAGCCACAGCTGCAGCTCATCGCTCCCCACGGGGATGGGTCAAATACAGAGTTTAATTTCTCCAATGTTTGATCACTGGTGGGACAGAGAAATGTTTGTGTATTTAGAAAAAAATAAGTACTTGGAGTTTATAGTCTTTGTGGGAAAATTAAAGAACTCTACACAAAAGGTTTCAAGCTGAACACAACTTGTTATTGTTTACGAAACATGTAATTTAAATCCCGACTTTCAATAAAGAAAAGCAAAAGAAATCTGCAATAAAATCTGTTGTGACCAGTAAAAGCACAAGGCATGCAATTCTCTGAATCAATATGAAACTGAAGTTGTATTCTATTGACCTGTCTGTAAACCTCAGTCTTTTGTGAGAAGAAACAATTGTGAAGAATCCTATCATTCTTTTAAAAATTGAGAATTTTATAAATATAAATTTGAGGGGTTATTTGCTTCAAAAACTATTAACGTGTTTTTTTTCTATTTTGCTGTATTTGTCACACTGTAACCTTGGAAATTATTGTATTTGCTGTGTTTAGCTCACAATTACTTGTTTGAACATTTATGAGCTAACCAAATATATGGCATGTATGGTATATGACTGATAAATAAAAATGCAATAATTTAATAACAATAAATCCTACCCAAACTGAATTATTACTGTAACGATTTCTAGCAAAATATGTCCATGGCAATGTATCGAATCTCTACCTCGGGTCTATGTCGCCATCTAGAGGTCTCTATCAGCCTACGACGAGTTCAGTGCGCCTGCTCACCCGACACTTCCGGTCGGTGTTGTGCCGAAAAAGAGACGCTCGTATGGTTCAAATTTTAAAAAATTCCCTAAAAAGCTGTAAAAATATTAAAGGACTTAATGTGTTACAACTTTAAGAAAATTTATCTATATTAGATATAGGGAATTAGAAAAAAGTTATTAGTTTTACAGAGTTAACGTTTCCCAGTTCCCAGCGCATTTCCCCATGGTTGGGGGTACAATTTTCGGTACAACACCGGTCTCTATCAATCGATCAGAGAGAGGAAGATGGCGGTGTAGATGTTGCCAACGGAAGAAGATCGATCGCAGAAAGCTCGATTGGGTTCGTCTCTTTTGTAAGTCAGAAACTAAAAAAACACTAAGCAAATACGCAAAGTGAAAAGGCGTAAACGGGGAAGTATTTCTGGAGCTAGTTACTGTTAAAACCACGGTAAATGTGTGCGTGAAAAGAGGGAGCTTGCCTAGAAAACAGCAGGAGAGGAGGACAGGCCTGACTCGGTCCGCCGCCATCCTGCTCCTTCCCTACATGCATGTAGGCACGCTAAATTAATCCCTGATAACAAAGCTACGAGGATGGAGGAATTGTAATCGATTCATGGCACTGTCAAACCAAGCTTTCAGAACTTGCTGAGAAACCGCAGCAGAAACGACAGATGAACAAACACAATGGTGCTGTGACGAAGATAAACGGCACGGTTTATGTTTTAGTTAAACGGCACGGTTTATGTTTTAGTTAGGTAACGTTATGTTTTCATTTTATTGTTACACTTTGCTGGAAAGATGGACACGAAATTAGTAATTTTTAGTTGTCAGAGCTTTTAAGTGATTTTAAAACGATGCTTTTGTTTGTGGTCAGATATAGTAAATTAACATCAACTCTTAACGTATATAACAAATAACATATTTAAGAGTATTTCAGGGGGGAAAGGTCTGATACATCTGTGTTGAAGTGTAATGTCAGTTTTTATGACAGAAATGGAAGAATGAGTCCTGACTATAAAGCTATGCTACTTTAGATTTTTGGATTGTTTTGTTTCACCACAAAACTCTGGATAGTCTTGAGTTATTATTAGCTTATTGCTTACTAATGTAACCACAGCTCTTCACTCTGGAGTGTTTGCACACATTCCTTCTATACCTGCTTTCAAAAAACAATTGTGGAGCAAACGATGGTAAATAAGCATGAGCAACTTTGCTTTGTTTTTAAATATACAGGGCTAGTTTCTGCAAGCCTCAGGCGCCACCTTCACGCCCTCAAAACCATGGAGTTCCCATGGCACAGTGGCGAGGTTCTGGAACAGCTTAACCGGCAGCGTAAGCAGGGTCTGCTCTGTGACTGCACGTTTGTCGTAGATGGAGTGGACTTCAAGGCCCATAAAGCTGTGCTGGCAGCTTGCAGCATTTATTTCCGCACCCTTTTCCTGGATCAGAAGGATGTGGTGCATCTGGACATCAGTAATGCAGCTGGTACGCTGATGTTAGAATCTGCAGAAACAATCAAGCCCCTATTGTGTTCTCTGATTTCTAACTTGACCTCTTATTTTGCTGATTACTGTTGCAGGTTTGGGTCAAGTTCTGGATTTTATGTACACTTCTAAACTGGGTTTAAGTCCACAAAATGTAGAAGATGTGCTTTCTGTTGCCCACTTCCTGCAGATGCAAGAAATTATAAATGCTTGCTCTGCGTATCAGTCTATCTCAAATCCAGCCCCATCTATCATGACACTGGACCTCCCTGCAGATGAACCAGGTATCCAAAATAAATGTATTTTTGAATTTTTTCTCTAGCCTAGATTCTGACGGGCTAGCTTTTGGGTTCAATGTTTGTATGATATTGACTGCTTTTCACTTTTATTTTTTCAATCATGTCTGTTATTTCTTCATTTGTTCATCAAATCAAACAGATAGGATTTTCAAACTGGGGGGGGGACAACGTTCCAATGTACCCGAGTCCCCCACACACATACGCACGCACACATACACAAACTATTGCAAGCGCCTGAACTAGAGCTCAGTCAGTTTGTGTAATTTCATCCAATGGTTTACGTAAAAACTAACACTTTTATATACGTGTTTGAAGTCATTGTGCAGTGGAACGCTGGCAACAAAGCTCTGCCTGATCAACACTATAAATGATAAATGATCCGCACTTGTATAGCGCCTCTCAGAGTAAGGACTCCAAAGTGCTTTACACTACGGTGTATCATTCGTCCATTCACACACATGCACACACTGATGGTGATGAGCTATGATGTAGCCACAGCTGCCCTGGGGCGCACTGACAGAGGTGCCCCATTATTTAATTCAGTCATTTGTTATTCTTCCAATCAATTACTAACCAAAACCTCATGCTTTATGCAAAACATTAAATGATTTTCAGCATACCAATCTTTACAGAAAACATAAAAACCCTATAAAACTGCACATAAAATATATTTAAAAAACGATATTCACTTATCACTTAGAGCAGTGGTTCCCAAACTTTTCAGCCTGACCAACAGATGTTCCTTTGTATTTTTACGTTATTTATAAATTTTCATTATATTTGGAAAGTTTTTATTTATATATAAATCTCTTTTTAAATGTTATATTTTACTTTTTCTATGATTATGTGGCACACTTGACTTCCATATATAACGCATCGGCATCTGCCTCTTTTTACGGCTTTTTTTTTTTACATTGTCGCTACGTCTGTCACGTTAGCGGTGTTTTTATCATCATTTCTACATCCATCACGTCCCAGAGAAGGTTAAATAAACATCAAACCCAACGTTTGGAGCTTGTAAGCTCGACACACCTCTCACGCAGCACCAGCTGTCTGATGCTGCAGCAGCGTCAATCTTCCCGGCTGGATGAGTGAATTTCTTCATCAGAGTCAATAATCTGCTTCATAATCAGAGTCAGTCATTAGCAGACAAAGTGATCAGTCAACAAAGACCAGACCTGCCGGCATTTATACGTTTTATCTAATATTTGCGCTCTTCATGTTGCGCGTATCTCCTCCTCTCCCCGACTGGGAGTCTCTCAGCGGGAGGCGTTTTTCAAACTCTAAAAACTCCCAAACTTTGCTCAGCCTGAAGGTTACACATCTCCACTTTCTTCTGGTGTAAAGTAGTAACTTCATAAGGGATCTTATGCTTGTTAAAGTCAGCAATGAGGCTTTGGCGCTTTTAACGAGTAAGTCCAAACACTGATAACAACGTACTGAAACTAGAATCAACATGCATAAACAGACAGATCGGTCCCGCCTACTTACACTGTTGGTCTTTTTTAAATACGCAGTAATCGTTGCTTGCCTTTTTCGCTTCATCCTGCATCCTAGCAGCAACCACTTTGGCGACTCTGGAGTCGGTGTTTGATAACGTCATGCTGCATTCAATGTAAATGGAAAAAGGAGCTTCAAGCGCTTAACCTCCTATTTTGTTTTTTTCTGGCCTTAGTGCGGGGGACGGATCGGGGTCGATCTGAATCTGGGGGGACAGATCCCCCCGTCCCCCACCCTATCTGCGCGCCTGGTGCTAGGTGATATTGGTTAAATATTAACAGTTTTTAAATGCTCTATTTATTTAAGGCATTTAAATTAGCAATAGTCCATGAAGCATTATAATTGGGGTTATGTCTTAATGATTATTTTAGAACTAATCCTTCACTTTTTCTCTTTTTTAGAAATTCTACAAGATTAAAAGAACACTTTAATTTCACATGATGAGATCTTAAACTTTGTTTCCTGGTTTTCTTTTACAAAACAGATGAAAAATCGAGTGACAAGGAGCAGAAAGAAGGAACAGAAACTGACCTGTCAGACATGGCTGTGCCAGCAGACGAGTGTGTTTCTGATACTCCTGTAATAGAACACGAGACAACAGAGACTCAGGACGAGTCAAACAAAGACAATTCTGCTGATTCAAAACAAACAGTTCCTCAGTCCAAGCCTGCAGAACGCCCCCGTGGACGTGGACGGCCCCCCAAAGCCACTCAGCTTTTGGCTCAGAAGAAGATTATTGTGAAAAAACAGAATGGAAGTTCTAAAACGGATGCTCCCGAATTTCAGGATGACCCCTCGGATGCCGACTACACTCCCAGTAAACACTTGTTTGGAAGTTATCTGGTCAATATGATGGCACCAATGTATGATGATGATGTTGATGATGATTAATTTACAGAATCTCAGCTGAATTCTACAAACAGATCATCCCACGTGAGCTCAAGAGGGAGAAGGGTCCGAAAACCTCCTCGACGTGACTTTCCATCAGGTGAGCGCAGATGATGGATGGATGGATGGATGGATGGATGGATGGATCAAGCGCTTCACAATATTAACATTCCATTTGAGTTCAGTTCATTATGCTAATTGGTTAGAGGGAAACCCAGCAGATTGCATCGAGCCGCTGACTTATTTTGTCAGTCTTTACAGCAATCCCTATACTGAGCAAGCATGTAGAGACAGTGGAGATGAAAACTCCCCTTAAACATACATTCTAGAGTTTTTTTTTATCCGGCAGCACCATCTAGAATATGACAAATGGATCACACCTCATGCCAGTCTGCCTAGTCCCATATTTACTAACAAAAGCAATGACTCTGGTTCGTGAATGCACACCTCTAGCCAGCACACAGAGCTAAAACACATTGTTTTACAATTATTATTTTCCCATTGTGTTGTCTGTTCTTATATACACTGCATCCAGAAAGTGTTCATAGCGCTTCCAAAATGGTCTAAATTCATTTTGCCCATAAAATTCAACACACAACATCCCATAATGATAATGTGAAAAAAGTGTCTTTGAAGTTGTTGCAAATGTATTAAAAATAAAAAACTTAAGAAATCACATGAACATACGTATTCACAGCCTTTGATGTGAAGCTCAGAATTTAGCTGAGCTGCATTCTTCTTCTTCTTTGAAAATAGGCAGACGCCCATAAGGCGTATTGCTGCTACACCAGCCAACACACTGACCCAGCACAACCCACTGCACACAACAGGCACGCGAACCATCCCATGTTCCCACAGAACCACCATCAACAAAAACCCACCACCCGCTCACACCCCAGTGAAAACACACAACCCCACACCGTGGCTCACCCCACACTCACACTCACACTCCCACCCCCACCATCAACACCCACAACCAAGGGCATCCCACAAACAAAATTCAATTCAATTCAAAAATACTTTATTAATCACAGAGGGAAATTACAGTTTCAGTACACACAATTCTGAGATCAGACATACATACATAGACACATGACAAGAATTGGTGACTGTGGTCATTCGGAACCCTAATTCGCACTACCTTAATACAGGGAATGCAGAATTATTAGGCAAATGAGTATTTTGTCCACATCATCCTCTTCATGCATGTTGTCTTACTCCAAGCTGTATAGGCTCAAAAGCCTACTACCAATTAAGCATATTAGGTGATGTGCATCTCTGTAATGAGAAGGGGTGTGGTCTAATGACATCAACACCCTATATCAGGTGTGCATAATTATTAGGCAACTTCCTTTCCTTTGGGAAAATGGGCCAAAAGAAGGACTTGACAGGCTCAGAAAAGTCAAAAATAGTGAGATATCTTGCAGAGGGATGCAGCAGTCTTAAAATTGCAAAGCTTCTGAAGCGTGATCATCGAACAATCAAGCGTTTCATTCAAAATAGTCAACAGGGTCGCAAGAAGTGTGTGGCAAAACCAAGGTGCAAAATAACTGCCCACAAACTGAGAACAGTCAAGCGTGCAGCTGCCAAGATGCCACTTGCCACCAGTTTGGCCATATTTCAGAGCTGCAACATCACTGGAGTGCCCAAAAGCACAAAGTGTGCAATACTCAGAGACATGGCCAAGGTAAGAAAGGCTGAAAGACGACCACCACTAAACAAGATACACAAGCTGAAACATCAAGACTGGGCCAAGAAATATCTCAAGACTGATTTTTTCTAAGGTTTTATGGACTGATGAAATGAGAGTGAGTCTTGATGGACCAGATGGATGGGCCCGTGGCTGGATTGGTAAAGGGCAGAGAGCTCCAGTCCGACTCAGACGCCAGAAAGGTGGAGGTGGAGTACTGGTTTGGGCTGGTATCATCAAAGATGAGCTTGTGGGGCCTTTTCGGGTTGAGGATGGAGTCAAGCTCAACTCCCAGTCCTACTGCCAGTTTCTGGAAGACACCTTCTTCAAGCAGTGGTACAGGAAGAAGTCTGCATCCTTCAAGAAAAACATGATTTTCATGCAGGACAATGCTCCATCACACGCGTCCAAGTACTCCACAGCGTGGCTGGCAAGAAAGGGTATAAAAGAAGAAAAACTAATGACATGGCCTCCTTGTTCACCTGATCTGAACCCCATTGAGAACCTGTGGTCCATCATCAAATGTGAGATTTACAAGGAGGGAAAACAGTACACCTCTCTGAACAGTGTCTGGGAGGCTGTGGTTGCTGCTGCACGCAATGTTAGTCATGAATAGCTTTTCTCTGGATGACGTGTTCCAGTCTGGGTTTAGGCCACTTCACAGTACCGAATCAGCCCTTCTTCGCATGACCAATGACATCCTGGTGGCTTCTGACTCTGGGTCGCCTGTTTTGCTCCTACTATTAGATCTTTCTGCAGCATTTGATTCCGTTGACCACAATATTTTGCTGGATAGACTTGAGTCATGGGTGGGGCTAAGGGGTACCTCACTTCAGTGGTTCTGCTCATATCTGTCAAACAGAGTTTTCAAGGTCCAGTTGGGTAATTGTTCCTCTGCATTCCTCCCACTTCCATGGGGAGTCCCGCAGGGATCTGTGCTTGGGCATCTCCTGTTTTCAATTTACATCCTTCCCCTGGGTTTCATCCTGAGGAAATATGGCCTGGGCTATCATATTTATGCAGATGACTGCCAGATCTACCTGGCTTTGAAAAAAACAGACTCCATCTCTCTTCTGGACCAATGTTTGGCTGAAGTGAGGGTTTGGCTTGCCAACAATTTCCTTAAGCTAAATGATTCTAAGTCTGAGGCACTCCTGATGACCCCTAACCAAACAACACAAGTATCTTCTGATTTGGCCACTCTCCCTTTTGACCTCAAGCAGTGTGTTACCAACCTTGGGGTGAAATTTGATACACAGTTTTCCATGGGCCCTCAGATTAACGCAGTGGTCAGATCGTGTTTTTATCAGCTGCGCAGACTAGTCCGCTTAAAACCGATCCTGAAACAAGCACACCTGGAATCCGTAATCCATGCTTTTATCATCTCTCGACTGGATTATGCAAATTCCATTTTAATTGGTTTACCTGCCTCCACTCTGAACAGGCTTCAGGTCGTACAAAACGCGGCAGCCAGGTTTTTAACAAACACTCCTAGGAGAGAACATATCACACCTGTACTGGCGTGGCTCCACTGGCTACCCGTAAACTTTAGGGTCAAGTTTAAAATCCTGATTTTTGTTTTTAAGGCCCTGAACGGTCTGGCACCGGATTACCTGTCGGATCTTGTCACTAGATATGTGCCAAACCGGGCGTTGAGGTCTGCTGATTGCCTGCTGCTTCGTGTTCCATTAATGAAATACAAAACGCGGGGGCAGCGTGCTTTTGTCTATGCTGCTCCGACACTATGGAATGCACTTCCTCTTTCGGTGAGGCTGGCACCATCCCTCCTCCGGTTCAAATTGCTGCTGAAGGCTCACTTTTACGACCAGGCATTTTTAAATCCCTGACTTTTTATTATTTTATTATGTGTCTTTTTATTGACTGTAATTATCTGCCTTGTTGTGCATTTTATTGTTGACCGTGTATTGTTTTATATTGTGTTTTTACTTTTTATTCTGTACAGCACTTTGGTCGGCTGCCATGCCGTTTTTAAATGTGCTTTATAAATAAAGATGGTATGGTATGGTATGGTATGTTGATGGTGAACAGATCAAAACACTGACAGAAAACATGGATGGCAGACTTTTGAGTGTCCTTGCAAAGAAAGGTGGCTATATTGGTCGCTGATTTGTTTTTGTATTGTTTTTGAATGTCAGACATGTATATTTGGGAATGTGGAGATGTTATATTGGTTTCACTGGTAAAAAAAAATAAATACCGTAAATCCTCTAATACAGGCCCGGGCCTGTATTTGACTGAAGCTCATCAAGCTCCGGGCCTTTATTGGAAGGAGGGCCAGTATTAGAGGCAGGCCTCTATTTCTATTTGAGCAAAATGAAGTAATGGTTCGCTGGAGTTTTTGACAATTAAAATTGCGCCCACATTTTCAAAGTTAAACACATTTCTTTTAACAACGGTAGTTTCTGCTTCAGCCCTCTCCCCCCTCCCCCTGCGCAGCGGCCGCAAACTCACTGATGCGCCTGCAGCCTCTCGGAGTTCCTGCTGCTCTAAACATTAAAATAATTATTTCATTTTCTGTTCCTCACTTCTGATTACCTTCAATGGTGTCTGTTTGTTGCAACCACCAGGTACAAAAACTAACTTGTTTTTATTTGACTATTTTTCTGTCCTGCCTGTTTATTATCTTTCTGCATCTCCTCTCAATCCTAAAGAAAAACTGCTACCTGGGTTCATGTATATTCACCTTATGAGTTACCTTTGAACTGCAGTTCTAAAAGATCTACCGACCGCAAAAACAGCGGAGTGCTCCGTGCTTGGCGGGCGCATCAGTGATCGGTGCGTCACCGGAGGACAAGCTGATGTGCCCCGCTCCACAGCATGCAGCGAAACACATCAGGCGCAAACAAAAGACAGAAATCTTTAAAGGAAATGAACCGACATGAACGATCGCGTGTCAGTACCGACGCTCTGGCACAGCCTCCTCTTCGTCTCCGCACGGTTAAAGTTACCCTCGCGGTCTATCACTGGCAAATCAAAAGTGAGACGATGACACAACCGCCCCCCGTACTTGCTTGTTACCATATTCCACCCGGCCACAATAAGAGACCGGCCTTTATTCACCTCCGCCGACTCCGACACCGGCCAAAATTGGAGACCCGGCCTTTAATTGAATGCCGGCCTGTATTAGAGGATTTACGGTGTGTGTGTGTGTGTGTATATATATATATATATATATATATATATATATATATATATAGGTGTGTGTGTGTGTGTGTGTGTGTGTGTAATTTAAAGAATTACTTGTCCATGAGAAATGTTGCAATCTCTGCATCAGTAGGTCTTCAAACACTCATGCACACTCTGTGATTGTGCGAAGGATTGACGCTATTGGCTAATGCTGAGCGGCGCTCAATTCAAATTGCACGGGGCTCTACGAGACGGAGATGGGCTTAACAAAAAATAAATCATGTATGGTCAACATTAAATCACAGAACAGGGTAAGATTATTACGTTTATGGATTTCCCAAAGAATTATATACAGATTTTCTAAAAGGGGAAAACTCCGGATTGTAGCTTTAACTCCCTCTTTTGGGAGATGGGAAATTAAAATAAAAATTGTGCCCTGGTGCGACTTTTTAATTTTAAAACTCCTTCATGTTGTCATTTTCCTAAACTTTATATTTTTGTTTCTATTAGAAGGTGACTCAGAAGATGAAGGTCCATCTGAGGTGAAAAGGACAAGGAAGGTAACAGAGGCAGAAGAGGTGGCTGAGGAACAGGATTATGACTCTGGAGAGGCTGACGAAGAAGAGGTGGTTGAAGATGAAAACACCGAAAACAGCCCTGAAATGGAGGACGACAGTGAGAGAGATGGAAAACAAGTGCAATCATTGTCCGCGAGCAGCCGATCAGAGTCAAAGTCTTACAGCTCGGTGACTCACAAATGTGAGGTGAGAGTAATATTGTGTCGGTAGGAAGGATTTAGAAAGTGAAGAAGCATCTACTGCACGTGTTGCATATGTTAAAATACTTTAAAAATTCTTCATTTCCTTTGCTTTAGGACTGTGGGAAGAAATTCACTCACACGGGCAATTTCAAGAGACATATGCGCATTCACACGGGAGAAAAGCCCTTCAGCTGCCGCGACTGTCACAAGGCTTTCTCTGACCCTGCAGCTTGCAAAGCTCACGAGAAAACTCACAGGTGAGTTTTAGATTTAGGTGCCCGCACTTTTTATTTACTTGAGCTTCAAACTGAGCTGTCAATGCCTTCTCTAGCCCTCTGAAGCCCTATTGCTGCTCCACATGCGGGAAGAGCTACCGCCAGATCAGTCTGCTCAACCTGCATCGCAAGCGCCACACCGGCGAAGCGCGATACAGCTGCGAGGTGTGCAACAAGATGTTCACGACGTCGGGCAATCTGAAACGCCACCAGCTGGTGCACAGCGGGGAGAAGCCGTACCAGTGCGACTTCTGCGAGAAGGCTTTCTCTGACCCCACTGCCAAGATGCGACACCTGGAGACGCACGACACTGAGAAGGGCAACAAGTGTCCTCACTGTGAAAAACGCTTCAACCAGGTAAAATGGCAGAGTTTGGCTGGAAGTGGATGACATCACCTGCTGATCTACATTACTTTTTCTAACAATGTATTGTTTGCTCTCACCAGATGGGGAATCTGAAGGCACATTTAAAAGTCCATATTCTAGATGGGCCTCTCAAGTGTAAGGACTGTGGCAAACAGTTCACTACTTCAGGTAAAATAAGGCTTTTCTTATGCATTTGTGAGATTTTAAAGACTTAAGCTTTCAAGCGTGATGAAAACTGCAACATCACATAGTCATAATGCAGTTTTTGCTGATATATAAAACTAACAAACATCTGTGTTATATATGACATTGGATCATTTGTTGGAAACGTTATGGAATGCTGCCTGCGCTTTAGGAAACCTGAAAAGACACCTGCGAGTCCACAGCGGGGAGAAACCGTATGTGTGTGCACACTGCCAGAGAGCTTTTAGTGACCCTGGAGCTCTGCAGCGGCACGAACGCATCCACACAGGTAATGCTGTCACATTCAGACCTGATGCAAACATGTTTTTAGATCAGAAACCCAAGAGATGAGTGTTACCCCTCCTTTCCACCGGAGCCGTCAGCAGCGCGAGTCGGCCGCGTCTCAGGAGCAGCATGTTGCGGCCCTTACGCGCCGGTTCTATTTTCTATGCGCTACACCTCTGAAACGGGTCAAGTTCGACATTTTTGGGGAAGGAAAGACAGGAAATCAGACACGGAAACGGAGCGAAGCTTTCCGAGATTTTCAGAATAAAGAAACGTACTGCCTTCCAGTTGCTTTACTTTAAAAAAAAAGTCATCACCTAGCTAGCGGTCTCCTTTGTTTTTCCATAATGGACGACGAAAGGTTGATTACTGAAGTGATTACTCCTGCTTGTTGTTATGTTTACTGACGAAGTCACGCGTGATTTTGCTAATGTCGCGTGACTTCGTTGCTCTGTCAGTGACAGCTGCTCCCCTACTGCTTCACGTCTCGTGGGAAGGGCCAAGCAGCAGCGTACACGAGCAAGACGTGCTGCTGCAGTAACGTGCTGCTGACGGCTCCCGTGGAAAGGAGGGGTTAGATATTCTACTGCACACCATACTTAATTGTTTATGTGTTACAGGAGAGAAGCCCTGTGTTTGTCCCATCTGTGGCAAGGCTTTCACCCAGGCCAGCTCCCTCATCGCTCACGTCCGTCAGCACACTGGGGAGAAACCCTATGTCTGTGATCGCTGTGGCAAACGGTACAAGGCACAAGTGTGACATCTCTGTATTTTTAGCAAGAATATATAAATATATACATATATATACATATATATATATATATATATATATATATATATATATATATATATATATATATATATATATATATATATATGTAATTATTCATTTGCATCTGGACAGATTTGTACAATCAAGTCAACTGGCCAATCACATCCGCCATCACGACAATGTGCGGCCACACAAGTGTCAGATGTGCAACAAGGCATTTGTCAATGTGGGAGACTTGTCCAAACATATTATTATTCACACAGGTAAGGACAAAAATAATAAACATTTCAGGTTTTACAATTGCAGTGCTGTCCTCGACATTTTCAGTCGCACACCCTCCCCCTCCCATCTTGTTTTAGGGGAGAAACCTTTCCTTTGTGACAAATGTGGTCGAGGTTTTAACCGTGTGGACAACCTGCGCTCCCACGTCAAGACCGTTCACCACGGCAAAGCTGGCATGAAGCGACTGGTGGTAGCAGGAGCGACTGTGGACGAGGGAAGCGAGGATGACGGGGGGGCATCCAACAATGATGATATCAAAATAGTTACCGTCACCACGGAGGACATCGTCACCTTGGCAACCGAGGCTCTGGCTGCAAGCGCTGTAGCTCAGTTAACAGGTCAGACCACTTCCTCACGGATGAGTTATGTGTCATAGGACTGGACGATAATTCAGTAGTATAATATAGACATGTGGTGCGATAGGAAACAAAAAGGGTCAGTAAAACTTTGATCAAAACAGTTTCCTTTTTTCATTATAACCTATCAGGGAGCAGCATTCTAGACTCACTACTTACTCCTAACCAATCAAAGCCACAGACTCGGGCACCAGGCCCTCCCCTCTCAAACCAAAACCGAGCATGAAGCAGCAAGATGTTGCACCGAGAAGAGGTGGAGAAAAAATAAAAATACCAAAAAAATTAAAATGGCCAGGGCTGCACATAAAATATCTTTTCTACAAATTTAAAAATATTTTTCAATAAGTATCTATATCAATCAATATAGAAAATAATTTGCGATATGCTAATTTTCTATATTGTTCAGCCCTAATGTGTCATAGACGTCAGGATGCACCTTTTGTAGTGAATGAATAAGAACTCCTCAGAGAGGGTTAAACGCTCGTCATGTTTTGTTTTGCAGTCGTTCCGGTGTCTGCGTCTGTGTCTGCAGATGAGACCGAGGCTTTGAAGGCTGAAATCACCAGAGCAGTAGAGAAGGTGCAAGAAGCAGGTAGGATTTGTTCTAATACATCAGCTGAAACTTGTAAGGAAATGGTTTGAAGTTAAGAGATTCACATACAGCTTTATAACAAGGCTTCCCTCATAAATAGCTAATAAATAATTTATAGGTATGTTATTGATAATCTGTTACATTATAAATCATTAGTAAATGTTTATTACATGTTGATTAGGGGCCAGATAGAGGCTAAACTTACTGGTTTCTTGCCTAATATTCAGCCAAATCTGTTTACCTATATCAGGGGTCTGCAATCTACGGCCCTGGAGCCACGAGTGGTTCTTCTTTGGACCTTCCCCATTCCTGATATGTCTTTAGAAAAGCTGGGAATGAGAGATCTGACTCTAGTCTTTGTCCCCTGTCCTCTGCTCACAGACCCAAACACCCAGATCTTGTATGCTTGTGACTCATGTGGTGATAAATTCCTGGACGCCAGCTCCCTAGCTCAGCATGTGCGCATCCACACTGCCCAAGCCTTGGTCATGTTTCAGGCGGATTCTGACTTCTACCAGTACGCCACCACAGCTTCCACCACTGAGGGAGATGCTTCTGAAGCCTGGCACTCCACGCCCGACCAGGTCATCCAGGAAGGACAGCTTATCTTCCGTACAGAGGAAGGAGAGAGGAAACCAGAGGAAGAGATTGTTGAAGGGATGCAGGAAGCGCAAGAGTCAGAAGAGGTGATTCATGTGGTGGAGGAGATGGAAGGACAGGTTGAAGCTCTCTGTGACGGCCAAACTGAGAGCAAAGACGTGGAAGAAGAAGAAAAGAAAGAGGGGTTGGAAAGTGAGAGCCAGGGGTAGTGGGATGGATGTATTCAGCACGTATAATCTAATTTATGCAAAAGACTAGACGTTAAAATATAAAGTGTGTTTGAGCTCCTGGTTTGGTCATAGTAGAAAAATCTAAACTGGATATATAAAATACACAATGAAATCATTTTATTTGTAAGATTTATTCATCTTAAATCCTGCATTTCTTTTCCTATAAACAACACAGTAATATTAAGTTATTTTTGTAAAGCTAGATTATACAAATTTGTAAAGTCAGTTTATTTTTGGACTAAAAGGTAGGACTGTTTTTCTGTCCAGTGTGTTAGATTATCTAACAAAGCAGAGCTCAGGCTCCTTATTTTTCATTTTTCTTAATAGAATTTGTACATTTTCCTTAAAGTTACTGTACCTAATTAAATGTGATTAAATGTGAACAGGTACACTATTAAAAATTTAGTGGAAAGATATTTCATAAATTACTGCTGTGCAAAAATTAGTAGTGTTTTAAATGAGTCTTAAACATCACAAATGATAACATACATATCTACTAAAAAGTCCAAATAATTATTTTCTGTTATCACTTTTAAAAATCTACAGAAAATTTCTGTAACCATCTCCTCTCATTAAAGACTTGTGTTGTCTGGCAAGCTTTGTGTTGTGCTGTTGTTATACAATTATAATATATTGTTAATTACTGAATGGAACATATATGCTGCATTGCAAGCTTTAAATTGATATATTTGTTTGTTAAATGTATTCAGAAATTTCAAAAGCATATATTCAGGCTTTTTTATCACATGCAAGTCTAAATACTTTAGGGTATTTTTTATTTTTGCAAAATAAAGATATATTTAATATATATATTATACGCTTATATAAAATATATCTGCTTATTTCAAAAGATAGTATCATGTGTATTCTCATGCTGAAAAAGGTTAATCTATATGAGCTATGTAACACTACTACAGTACTGCTGTACTGTACACACTCCCCTGTACAGCCCTACAAATTAAGTTTTAAATGTACCTTATATGAGCGAGACTGGGGATTTGACGCTCTCCAGTGGTGAGAAGCTAGAACTAAACTCTGGTTCGACATCAGAGGATAATTCACCCTCATTATCCCAATGAATCAGGAAAAAAATCCTAAAGATTTTGTCCTCTTGTCAATATTAATACTAAGAAGAAAGATAATTCGATAACTCAGAGATTAATGATTTTTCCCCGCCCTAGCGGATAAAAGAGGTTACTACAGGCAGCGTTCATGAAGATATTACTCGTTAGCACTTCCTGTCGATCCCTTTAAAATATAACATGCCAATTTAAAATTACATATAGCTAAAACGTGTTCTATCTTTAGCTGATTAATTAATTAATTCAAGAATGATAACAGGATGGAACTATTCGGCCGCCAACTGGCGCGCCCGTTTATTGACTTGCTCATCCAACCCACAACCCTCTGTCCGCTGTTCTAGACCACAGCGCCCCCACCTGTCCACAACATGAGAACCACTGTAATATATAACGCAGTCCTCCCCACTAAAACAAAACGTCCCAGGCAACCCAAGTTCAACAACACCCCAAAAGACAAGAAAACAGCCACAGAACCACTTTTTTATTTTATTTTTTAACTATTCTAGGGAATGAGGTAAACTACTCAAACCCTGACATAGCCCCAGGGGTTATTCTGCTCTGTATTTGGGGTATGCTCTGCTTCACATATCAAAGAGTCTCGGAGGCCGTCGCTCCCTCAGTGGGTATCGACGGTATGACTGGCCCTCTGTTTGATCCACAGCTACTTCCACTGGCCCCGCAATCGGGGAGGCCTGTAATCTCCCCTGGGGTGGTAGCGCTACGGGAGCTGTAGGCACCGCCGGTTGGGGCGTTGTCACCGGGTTCTCCTCCTGTACGTTCGGGGTGTTGACTGTAAAGTTCATTTCTGAAGAATCTGCTTGAGTGAACATTGACTCATCCATGTGTGGCACAGATCCCTGTAGCAGCTGGTCCGCATGTCTCTTCCACACAACATCCGCTTGAGTTATTACAGAGTAAGAAACTGGTCCAGTCTGTGTTCTAACTGTAGCCGGGACCCATTTTTGTCCATTCTTGTAGTTCCGGGCCAGCACCATGTCGCCAGCCTGGGGTCTCAGCAGGTCAAAATTTGTGCGAAGTGACCATCCCAAGAGAAGTGTTGCTGGAGATGCTTTTGTTGTTGCATGAGCTACATTCCTGTAGGCCAACAGGACGCTGTGCAGCCGTTGACGCAGTGAGTTTGATTTCTTCTGTGAAGCCTTCAAGGAATGTTTCAGGCTTTGAACAAATCTCTCCGCTGCTCCATTTGTGGCTGGATGGTACGATGATGAGTGGATGCGTGTGATGCCATTCACATCCAAATACTTCTTGAACTCCTGGGAGGCCAACTGGGGCCCGTTATCACTAACGAGCTGATCAGGGTATCCAAACCGACTAAACACTTCACCCAGCCTTTCAATGGTTTTCTCTGTCATGGTTGAGCGCATAATGAACACCTCTGGCCATTTGCTATAGGCGTCGACAATCACTAATGTAGCAATAAATATATATTTCAAATGTGGCGTAGATTTTGCTTGTTTATAATCTTATATTAATTAATCGGGGCACCACCAGTTTTCGGAACTGGACCGTTGGATTTAATATCTATATCTTTGCAATGTAATCAGTCTCAGAGTTAACACCACAAATTAATCTAAAGGATGAATTCTTGACAGAATGCGTCAGTTATTCTCGAGATCGCTAGACAAGGATCAGGCATGATTTAAGTTTTGTGAATTTATTACAAACATCAGTTGTGACAATTGACAAAGAGAACCAAACACTGCTTATTGTTTCATGCATGAGAATAAGTAAGTGAATAAACCCAAAGCTTTATGGCAGTGCTATGACATAACTAGTCTGTAATAAAAGTGGAAATTTGGTGACACATAGGATTATAGTAAATATTAGGAATAATTTCTGAAAGGAGAACAAGGTGAGGGTGTGTGCGTGTGTGTGTGTGTGTGTGTGTGTGTGTGTGTATGTGTGTGTGTGTGTGTGTGTGTGTGTGTGTGTGTGTGTGTGTGTGTGTGTGTGTGTGTGTGTGTGTGTGTTCTTTCACTTCAGCGTTCTCGAAATGTGGAATTCAGATCGCGGGCCCAAATGATCCCAAATGGAGCTGAATCATCAAACTGTTCCAAATTGCTTTTAACTCTTAATGCGAGAACTCGACCACATCACCCTGACTTCCGGTTTCGCGTGGGACGTCAAAACGGAGCTCTGAGTTTACTGTAACTTTTGAGAGCTAATGGCTTAACTTTTATGAGCGTTGATTATCTTTTGCTGGGCCCAGGTGGAATAGCCCAGCACAGGTTGACATAAAAGAAAAACCACAAAACAAGCAGTTAGGTTTGTAACTGATAAGATTTTAAACATATACTTGGAACACCTTGAAATTTAATGGTGAACAAACATAAAACACCTTCTTTGATTGTTGATAAACAGGAATGCAAGGTTTACAAAGACTCAGGTCTTGAAGCTCCCAGGAGGACCTAAGAGAAGTTTTACGACTTCTCCTATCTTGAGAAAAGGATCAGTCTGAGGTTGATGTAAAACAGGCCAGTTTTCTGATGTTGGTCCTGCGCCTCCGGAGTGGCGCAGAAGGGTGACCTGCCAAATTGGTGCAATTTACGACCCTGAGAGAGAGTCGTAGGAGGTAACCGGAACGCTGAAGCTGCAGGCCAGTGTCATGTTTCCCTTTTGTTTTTCATCTACTAAATGCGAGAGGAAAACTTTGTGAAAATAATTATGTTCTTCTTCGTGTGAATCCACGAAAGTTAGTCTGAGAATACAAAAATGTGGATTTCCGCTACACTAACAACATTTTGTCTTCAAATAGTCCTGCGAAATCCACATGAACTCGCCGACATGGTTTTTCCGGCCATTCCCATGGATGGAGGGGGGCCTGTTGTGGTGTGCTACGTATGCTCTGACCGGACATACACTTCTTCACAGTTCCTTCAATTTGCTTGTCTAGCCCAGGCCACCAAAAATAGCTTCTAGCAAGCTCTTTCATGCGGACCATTCCCGCATGGCCTATGTGTAGCTGCTGTTGAACCTTTGGTCTCAACACAGGTGCAATGATCACTCTCTGTCCCCACAAATGGCATCTTCCCTGCACTGTCAGCTCATTTCTTTTTGAAAGATAAGGCTGTAACTCCGGGGACTGTAGATGTTCCCCATACTTCACCGTCGCTAGGACCTTGGATAATACTGGATCGGTTCGAGTCTGTCTTTTCACCCAAAGAGACGATATGGGAGCGTCCTGTACTTGTCTAAAGTAGAAAATGTTCGCTTGGGGTAGGTCACGCTTCGTTGTTTGCAGTGATAGCCGCGAGAGACCATCAACATTCCCATGTAGCTCTCCACCCATCCATCCATCTTCTGAACCTGCTTTGTCCACGCGGGGTCGCGGGTGGTGGGGGGGGCTCTGGTGCCTATCTCCGGCGGTCAACGGGCAAGTAGGCGGGGTACACCCTGGACAGAGAGCCAGTCCATCGCAGGGCAACACAGAGACACACAGGACAAACAACCATGCACACACACACTCACACCTAAGTACAATTTAGACAGACCAATCAACCTAACAGTCATGTTTTTGGACTGTGGGAGGAAGCCGCAGTACCCGGAGAGAACCCACGCATGCACAGGAACATGCAAACTCTATGCAGAAAGATCCCAGGCCAGGAAGTGAACCCAGGACCTTCTTGTTGCAAGGCAATAGCGCTAACCACTGCGCCACTGCGCAGCCCCCCATGTAGCTCTGACTTTCTGAACTTGATTTCGCACAAATGTGCCGATAACAACAGGGCCCACCTTTTCAGTCGGCTAGCTGCCAATGGTGGAAACCCCGTATGGGGCCCAAAAATGGTAGTAAGTGGGCGATGATCCGTTAGAAGAATAATCTTCCTTCCAAAAAGATACTGATGGAACTTCCGTGTTCCAAAAACAATCCCGAGAGCTTCCCGTTCAATCTGGGCATAGTTACTCTCCGCTTTGCTGAGATTACGTGAGGCAAATGCAATCGGTCGTTCGACTCCATTCGGCATAATATGTGACACCACTGCTCCTATGCCATACGTGGAGGCATCACAAGTCAGTTGGATCGGTAAGGTGGGGTCAAAACGGGTTAGGGCATCGGACTCTAGCAGTGCAGTTTTTGTATTTTTGAAAGTGTCTTCACACTGCTCAGTCCACCTCTATATCTTGTCACTACACAACAGTTGGTGAAGAGGCTTGGGCATGGATGACAAGTTTGGGATAAAGCGGTCATAGTAGTTCAGAAGTCCCAGATAAGAACGTAGCTGACTTACGTTTTGTGGGGGTGGGGCATCCAACACGGCCTTGACCTTGGAGGGATCTTGTGCGAGCCCTCCGCATCGATCACGTATCCCAGGTACTCCACAGACGGCTTGAAGAACTCACATTTCGTTTTGCAAACTCTTGAGTCCATACTCTTCCAGCCGCTGTAAGGTGGCATCAAGGTTTTGTAGGTGTTCCTCATCCATCTTGCCAGTTATGAGGATATCATCTAAATAGCACTGTGCACCATTCAGTCCATTTAAGATCTGCTCCATTGCACATTGAAAAAGAGCTGGAGCAGAAGTGATACCGAATTTGTATCGGTAGAGGCCCTTATGAGTTACAATCGTCATTATTTCCTGGGAGCTGTCATCCACTTGCATCTGTTAGTATGCCTGATTAAGGTCAACCTTAATGAATTTCCTTCCGCCCGCCAGGCTTGCAAATAGATCATCAATGAGCGGAAGTGGATACTGTTCCACTTCCAAAACGGGTTGACCATCACCTTGAAATCCCCACAGATTCTCACAGAACCATCCCGTTTCATAACGGGTACAATTGGGGTGGCCCAGCTACTCTGACTAACAGCTTCCAACACCCCGTTTTCAACTAGGGATTGCAGTTCAGCTTCGACTTTTGGTCTGATTGCATAAGGAACATATCTCGCCTTTAAAAACTTTGGTTTGCTTCCCGGTTTGATGCACAGAGTTAGTGGTGTTACTTTCATACTCCCCAGTTTCTCTTGGAAAACAGCAGTGTGTTTGTCGAGCACCGCGGTGAGACTTATCTCCTCCCGATTTAGCATCCGAATAGCAGGCCAGTCTAGTTTTATCCTCTCCATCCACGAGTGTCCAAACAAGGAAGGAAAATTTCCTTTTACCACATAAGGGTAAGTCGGCCGATTGGCCATTGAGTTGGACCCCCACCATGATGACTCCCATGGTGGGCACTGGTTCCCCAGTGTAAGTTTTCAGGGTGATATTTGCTGGCTTCAAAGGTAGGGGGTATAGAGTCTCTCCATAAACAGTGTCAGACACCAAGGAGACCGCAGCTCCTGTGTCTATCTCCATGCGGATTGACTTTCCATTCAGTTGAGGGGAAACCCAATATCCCCCCCCTGAGCCGCCACCCACGGATAGAACATATATTGCTGCCTCATCCGAGGAGCTATTGTCTGATGTAGCAGCCTGCATTTGTTGTAAATTGTGTACAGATGACTCCCTCTTTGTAGTCTTTGTCCTTTTTGCATTGTAATGCCCCCGGTCTTTCTCTGACTCTTTACTTCTGCAGGCCCGTTTGATGTGTCCTTTTTTTCCCACCTTTTTTATAATACCGTCTACTCCAGCAATCGGCTGCAAAATGTCCTGGTTTGTCACAGCTGTAACATTTGTCTTGTGCTTTCTTGTCCTCGGTTGCAACTTTGTTCACAAATCCACTGATGCTTAACTGATGAGCCTCTTTGGCAGCTAGTTCCATGGATACACTGCTCTCGACCGCTTTATTCAATGTTAAAGAACTTTCTGTCAGCAGACGTTTCTGAATATCCTCAGGCCGCACACCAGTCTGTCTCTAATAGCATCATTTAGGCCTTCATTGAATGCACAATGTTCTGCCAGTTTCCTCAGAGCAGCAACAAACATTGTTATTGTTTCCCCTTCCTCCTGGTTACGTTTGTGAAAATGAAAAGGCTCAGCTCTGATCAGGGGCTTTGGAGAAAAACGTGCTGTTAGAACGGCAACAATTTCATCATAGTCTTTGGAGCCAGGTTTTTCTGGATGTACGAGGCAATGTAGCAGATTGAACGTCTTCAGCCTCACTACACTTAAGAAAGTCGGCACCAATTTGTCCTCGACGATATCATTAGCTTGTACAAAGCAATCAAAGCGTTCCGTATATGAGCTCCACATCATTCTCATCGAAAGGCCCAATATTTCCTATTATTCCAGCCATGTTGGTACTCACAGTCCGATGCTACTGCTAGTTAGCTTAGCGGCTAACGCCCGTCTGCAATATCCGTTTGTCACTTGAAACGCAGGAGCGTCCACCCGCTGTGTTCCTAGAATCCCTTCCTCGTCGCCAGTTGTTCTATCTTTAGCTGATTACTGTTTATTCAAGAATGATACCAGGATGGAACTATATTCGGCCGCCAACTGACGCGCCCGTTTGTTGACTTGCTTGTCGCAACCCACAAACCTCTCTCCGCTGTTCTAGACCACAGCGCCCCACCTGTCCACTGTAATATATAACAAAAGCGCAATTCAAATTATATTTATGTAACAGTGTTAAACACCATAGTTGTGCGCAGTGATGGACATCAGGAGCTCCAACGCAAAAGTTTTTAGGTCAACGTGATGGGAACACTGTAACTCAGAGGTTAAAGATTTTTCCTGCCCTCTAGAGGATGAAAGAGGTTACTATAGGCAGCATTCATAAAGCTATTGCTCGTTAGCACTTCTTGTTGATCCCTTCAAAATAAAACACATCACTTCAAATCTGCGTCAATAGCGTTATTAGTCTAAAATAGGAAAGATGTAACATCTTCACCTATACAAACTTCTTAACTATAACGCAATAAATCTATTTTAATAATCTGCGTTCAACAAGACGAAAGAGCTACAGGAGTTATTAGCAGCTAGCTAAAGCACTACAAAGATATCAGATACGCCCTCTGGCGGCCACAGGACGAAAATAAATCCACGGTAGGCTTGGGTTTTATTCTTGGGTAATATAAATAAATAAATTTAGTTACTAAATGTTTCAAACAAGAAAAACATTCATGTACTTTGGTTTCACAATGAATGTATAAACTACTCAAGTCGATTGTAGCAGCCTGTCACTGTTTTCAGTCTCCCCTCATCAGTTAGAAACAACAGCCACTAATAAGTAAAATATTATGTCAATTTAACACTGATAAAATATAAAGTTTAACAATAATTTTATCAGTTACTGTTTAATAAAGAGAAATATTTGCTTTTTAGTTCCTTGTTAGCCGTGATTGTCAATCAGCTGCCATCTGATTGGTGGAGAGGCTGTCCGATGACGCGTTCCCTTCTGTGATTGGCTGAATCTCAGGGTCAGAGGTAAAACTCAACCGCTGCTAACGCTTACGTCGACTTCTGCAGCAAAATGGCGTCGTCGACAGCAGTAAGGGAGACGGATCGGTTCGGTTCTACATTTATGTCTCAAAAACAACCCGCAAGGACGATGGAACGGTGGTTCAGGTATTTTGACAGAAAATTCCTCTTATTCCTGTCGTTAGCCTCGTTGCTGCACTGTGCTTCGGGGGACGGCAAGACGTTGGTGCTGCTGGACAACCTCAACATCAAAGACACCCATTCAATCTTCTTCCGCAGTCTGGCAGGTCAGAATCAGAGCTGTTTTTTTAATAGCTTAGCTATTGTTATCAAACTTAGGGGTTTGTTTGGTTATAGAGCTGTGTGACCAAAAATGTGTCCTTATCAGAACCGCATGCTGCTAGCGTTAGCTAGTACATAGTAGTGTCTCTCCAAACGTGTCTGAAACCTTGTTTGTTTGTTTTTTGTTTGAAACTTTTATCTGATTGGCTTAATGAACTGACCTGTATTGGAATGTTTACTATGTGATGTGCCTTGAGACGACTTGTTGGCGCTATATAAATAAACTTGAATTGAAATTTAATTTAATACACTTTCGTCTTTGCTTGCACACAGTCACAGTTACAGGAGCCCTCTTATGCATGACTGTGCAACAGAAAGATCACCTTCCATCCTGATATATAAAAGTACAAAAAGACCGTTAATTTGCTGGTGATCTCTCTGCTTCAGACCGCGGCTTTGACCTGACCTTTAAGACCGCCGATGACCCCTCCTTGTCTTTGATCAAATATGGACAGTTCCTGTACGACCATTTGATCCTCTTCTCGCCATCAGTTGAGGGTAGATTTCACTTTCAGCTCAAAATCATAACACTTTTTGTTGGGCATCATTCAATCAAGTGTTTTTAAGAAACCTTTCTGATTATTTGCAGACTTTGGTGGAAACATAAATTTGGAGACCATCACATCCTTTATCGATGGTGGAGGCAATGTCCTAGTTGCAGCCAGTTCAGACATTGGTGAGTTGTTGGATAAATGCTTCCTCTGTTTTCTCACTTAAAATATGAATGCTTTGTCATTCCTGTATTTATTTTTGTTTTTCAGGTGACCCTCTCAGGGAATTGGGCAGTGAGTGTGGTATTGAGTTTGACGAGGAGAAGACTGCTGTCATTGATCATCACAACTATGATTTGTCTGATCCCGGCGAGGTAAACACTTTCCACCTCGGCAGATGCATCAACTTCCTTTCATGCATCCAAATTTGAAATTCAACACCCGATATTGTCAACTTGTCCCCAGCACACTTTGATTGTTGCTGACCCAGAGAACCTGCTGAAAGCTCCTACTATTGTTGGCAAGCCCACTAATAAACCTGTCCTGTTCAAGGGTGTTGGGTAAGTACAAATGGATGCAATAAACCAGAGTCTTTACTCCTCTGGAAAGATAAAAAATAACTCTCCTATTAGTGCAACTTAACAGATACTTTTAAAAATTATATGTCTTTTCTAATAAAATAAAATGCAGTTTGGAAATGTTAGGACATTGAGTTTACAGCATTGTTCCAACCACCTTAAACTGTGTTCCAGAATGGTTGCTGACCCAGACAACCCGCTTGTCTTGGATATTCTCACTGGTTCTTCAACTTCTTATTCTTATTTCCCTGACAGACCCATTTCTCAAGTAAGATATTCTGAAAATATTTGGTTAGTTTGCTGTTTGAACCCCCCCCCCCCCCCCACACACACACACACACACACACACACACTAGGGATGCACCGATACCACTTTTTTCCAAACCGATACAATACTGATACTTGGATCCGAATATTCGCCGATACCGATTACCAATACCGATACTTAACCACACAAAAAAATGCAGTGATTTGGAATACACATTTTATTTTTTTCTCCGCTTTCAACAGGAAAAGACTGTGAGGTAGATAAAAAGTGATTAGAAATCATCACAAAACAAAAATATTAGGTGAACAGAAATGACAAGTTACTGTGAAGTTACTTTCAAGCAACTGCATTGGTATCATTTACTGGTATCGGTTAACTTTTACCGATACCAGTATCGTATCAGTATCTGCACCGATACAGATACCACTATCGGTATCGGTGCATCCCTAACACACACACTTATAATACATTTATTTTTATTTCTATACTGCTTGATAATCTATTAGAATAAATTGAAGTAACCGTTTCTTTTGTTTATTCCACTCCAGTACCCTCACGCTGTGGGCAAGAACACTCTGCTGATTGCCGGACTCCAGGCCCGAAATAATGCCAGAGTGGTTTTCAGCGGCTCTCTGGATTTCTTCAGTGATGCCTTTTTTAACTCTGCTGTGCAGAAAGCCCGTCCAGGTTCACAGAGGTACTGCATCTTTGTTGTTTTTTGTGCTTGTGCACAACATTCACTGGTTTCCAGGCAACAAAGAAACTGCAACTGTCTCCAGAGTTATCTCGCTCGTGCTTCAATCTATGATTTTTAAACTTTTAGATAGACATTCCAAGTTATTGGTGGAATCTGACAGCTTGTTTTTTGTTCTGATTTTTAGAATTGCAATAAAACTTAGTTGTACATTTCAAAAAGTGATATTTTTATGGGAAACAAAGTTATTATTGCTGCTTGTTGTGGCCTTTATAGACATGAGCAGACCGGAAACTTGGAACTAGCTGTGGCTTTGTCTCGCTGGGTGTTTAAGGAGGCAGGAGTCCTGAGAGTCGGCGCCGTTACCCATCATCCTGTGGGAGAGACCGCTCCTCCTGCAGCATACACTGTTACTGACCTTGTGGTGAGTTCACTGCTGCCATGGCTGTCAGTGTTCCTCATAAGTAAGAGCAGTGTATCTCAAAGAAAGAAATGTTTTCCTTGCAGGAGTACAGCATTGTCATAGAAATGTTGTCTGAGGGCCGCTGGATCCCTTTTGATGGAAATGACATTCAGCTGGAGTTTGTGAGGATCGATCCTTTTGTCAGAACTTATCTCAAGAAAAACGGTACGTCAGTCCAGCTTCAGCATGAGTATCTTTTAGCTGTAGTTGCTTTTAATTCTGTAATTTACTTTGTCCAACAGGAGGTAAATACAGCATCCAGTTCAAGCTGCCTGATGTGTACGGGGTCTTCCAGTTTAAGGTGGACTACAACCGACTGGGTTACACACACCTTTACTCCTCCACTCAGGCAAGTTAATCAACACCATCTGGCCCAACTTGTGTGCTCCATTACGCTCGTATTGTGCATCTGTGCATTTAATTTGGCAGCATCGGTAAAGGCTGATTAGTTTTGAAACTTTCATTTCCCACTTTAAAATGGACAACTCTTTCTCCTCTACAGGTGTCGGTGCGTCCTCTGCAGCACACACAGTATGAGCGCTTCATTCCTTCAGCCTTCCCGTACTACGCCAGCGCCTTCTCCATGATGGGGGGACTCTTCGTCTTCAGTGTAGTTTTCCTGCACATGAAAGAGAAGGAGAAGTCAGATTAATGCAGCAACAAATGGAATACAAGAAAATCTGGGATTAAACTTGTGATGAAAAGAATTGAAACCGAGGGCTTTGATGGCTTGAGGTTTTTCACTCTGGAAATTAAACTTTTTTTTCTAAATGCGAGCGCTCGACAGTTAAAGGTTGCTGACTACAGTGTGATTTCCTGAAGGCTCATATGCTCTAGGCTGTAAACTGTTGTATAATGTTGCATTTGGCTAAAGGCTCTCAAAAATGATGGTAAAACTTTGCATACATGTTGCTAAATACAATTTTTGGGGATGCAAGAACATGCACTGAACATGTCAGCTATTGTCTTGGTTTTTTACAAAAAGTTTTTGTTTGAAATAATTTGGAGTCCTCTGAAAAATAAAATATTGACATTCCTTTAAGTGAGTCATCCTGTATTCTATTTAATACACATATGGAATAAGCTAATTGTACCCTAAATCACAACTTACAAGTGGAAGAAACGAGATAACCACAGTAATTTCATGAGAACTAGATTTCAACTTAGCCAGAAAACATTCAAATGTTGTGAGATAGTCATTGGATCTTGTGTAATTAAAAACTCATTTAAAGTTTGCTATCTAGCTAAATTGAAAGGATACTTTTACAGGATTTGTAGAAGCAAAGGAGATGGGGGGTTGGCGCCCTCTAGTGGCGAAAAACACTTCGATTGAACGCAGAGCGTCAAAGCCTCATCTCAGTAGCTGAAAAATAAAATCCTAATATTTCTTGTATTTTTGGGAGTATTAATATTAAGGAGGGGGAAACTACTTTTATAAAGTTACAAAAGTCAGTATATATACCTACTGTATATTCTTTCAAAATAAAATACTATGGTAATTGTGGTGTTAGCAACAAAGAAACCTGCTCTTTTTCTCCAATTCCCTAGCTTAAAATGGAATAAAGCATGTTTTTATGTGACAGTGTTACAATGTTTGTGAAGAGTCAAAAAGACTGTGTCGAGAGTGACACGGGCCAGCTGTTATCTGACCTGCACGCCTCAGTGTCCTGGAGGTGTACAGGTTCTGTATGGAGGGGCATTTGCAGCCAACGACCTTTTCAGTAGAGCATACAACAAGCTGCAGCTTTTTCTTGACCCTGGTGGTAGCAGCCTACCACACAGTGATAGAAGAGGTGAGGATGGACTTGATGGCTTTGGTGTATAACTGCCTCATCGACTGCGCTGGCCTGGCAGGTTGAATTTCTTCAACTGCCTCAGGAAGTACATCCTCTGCTGGGCCTCTTTCATGATGGAGGTGATGGTGGACTTGGGCATTTTGGGTGTTGTTTTTGACCAATCAATGTCTCTTGAAGGCCACTCAGAAACGCTGGTCCGAAACTGTTTTAATGCTTAAGAAATATCTCCAAATTGCGATGGTTGGTGTCAAAACATGATCTTGAAATGGTCATCGATGTCTTTATCTCCTCCCGTCTAGATTACTGTAACACACTTTGCGGAGTGAGCATGTAAGAGAGAAAGATCCCTCCTACAGGAAATGTAAAATAAACATTAGACTTTCATATATATTAGATTCATAACACACAACTAAAGTAGTTCAAGCCTTTTATTGTTTCTAATATTGATGATTGTGGCGTACAGCTCATGAAAACCCAAAAATCCTGTTTTTAAAAAATTAGCATATTTCATCCGACCAATAAGTGTTTTTAATACAAAAAAAGTCAACCTTCAAATAATTATGTTCAGTTATGCACTCAATACTTGGTCGGGAATCCTTTTGCAGAAATGACTGCTTCAATGCGACGTGGCATGGAGGCAATCAGCCTGTGGCACGGCTGAGGAGTTCTGGAGGCCCAGGATGCTTCGATAGCGGCCTTAAGCTCATCCAGAGTGTTGGGTCTTGCGTCTCAACTTTCTCTTCACAATGTCCCACAGATGCTCTATGGGGTTCAGGTCAGGAGAGTTGGCAGGCCAATTGAGCACAGTAATACCATGGTGAGTAAACCATTTACCAGTGGTTTTGGCACTGTGAGCAGGTGCCAGGTCGTGCTGAAAAATGAAATCTTCCTTTCCATAAAGCTTTTCAGCAGATGGAAGAATGAAGTGCTCCAAAATCTCCTGATAGCTAGCTGCATTGACCCTGCCCTTGATAAAACACAGCGGACCAACACCAGCAGCTGACATGGCACCCCAGACCATCACTGACTGTGCGTACTTGACACTGGACTTCAGGCATTTTGGCATTTCCCTCTGCCCAGTCTTCCTCCAGACTCTGGCACCTTGATTTCCGAATGACATGCAAAATTTGCTTTCATCCAAAAAAAGTACTTTGGACCAATGAGCAACAGTCCAGTGCTGCTTCTCTGTAGCCCAGGTCAGGCGCTTCTGCCGCTGTTTCTGGTTCAAAAGTGGCTTGACCTGGGGAATGCTGCATCTCAATGTTTCCACTCCAGACTCAGTCCACTGCTTCTGCGGGTCTCCCAAGGTCTGGAATCGGTCCTTCTCCACAATCTTCCTCAGGGTCCGGTCACCTCTTCTCGTTGTTCACTGAGGTGCCTTGATACAGCACTCTGGGAACAGCCTATTCGTTCAGAAATTTCTTTCTGTGTCTTACCCTCTTGCTTGAGGGTGTCAATGATGGCCTTCTGGACAGCAGTCAGGTCGGTAGTCTTTCCCATGATTGTGGTTTTGAGTAATGAACCAGGCTGGGAGTTTTTAAAAGCCTCAGGGATCTTTTGCAGATGTTTAGAGTTAATTAGTTGATTCAGATGATTAGGTTAATAGCTCGTTTGGAGAACCTTTTCATGATATGCTAATTTTTGGAGACAGGAATTTTGGGTTTTCATGAGCTGTATGCCAAAATCATCAATATTAGAAACAATAAAAGGCTTGAATTACTTCAGTTGTGTGTAATGAATCTAATATATAGGAAAGTCTAATGTTTATCAGTACATTACAGAAAATAATGAACTTCATCACAATATACACATTTTTGAGAAGGACCTGTACATATATATATATATATATATATATATATATATATATATATATATATATATATATATATATATATATATATATATATATAGAGAGAGAGAGAGAGAGAGAGAGAGAGAGAGAGAGAGAGAGAGAGAGAGAGAGATCCGTGTACTTACAAAATAATGATTTTTACCAGAGGTGTGACCAAGTCACTGCTTTGCAAGTCGCAAGTAAGTCACAAGTCTTTCCAGTCAAGTCTCGAGTCAAGTCAGACAACCAAGTCAAAGTCAAGTCAGGGTCCTTAACTTTGAATTTTCAAGTCATAATCAAGGCACCTGTCCAACTTCTATTTAATGACAATGATAATAAATAAGTTCCAGAAATAAAGCTTCTTAAAGCTTCATTTATTTGCTCAAACAAGCAGAGAGTGCAACTGAACCTGATCATAAACAAAGTGCTGCTGCTGCGTTTAGCGGTACAAAATCAAACCCAGAACGAAGAATGATTTGTGATTTTTGTCCATGTCGTTCCACGTTTGTGCTAAAAATATCAAAATGCTCAAGTCATCATGAAGTCAGCAGATGCAAGTCGATTCAAGTCATTGGCGTTCAAGTCCAAGTCAAGTCATAAGTCTTTATAAATTTTATCAAGTCAAGTCAGAAGTCATTAAAATAATGACTTGAGTCTGACTCGAGTCCAAGTCATGTGACTCGAATCCACACCTCTGGATTTTACTATTAGAATTATTGCCAGGATTACTCTGAAAGTATTTTCATTTCTTTCTTTTTATAATTTTTGTTACCATAAAGTCAACTTTGTAGATAATAAGGCCAATGGCGATATTATGTATTGCTGAATCACTAAACAGCAAAATAAAAAAATAAAAATGTTCGTTCGGTGAAGGGTTTGCATTGTTCTTTTTGTCCCTTTAGGGCAACTATACAGGGCTTCTACCAATGTGTATGTTGTATGTGCGCAGCTAAAAAGTATTATTATTATTTTTTACCTAAAGCGAGTGTGGACTGGCTTGACCGCTGTTAACTGATCAGATTCGGTTAGATGTCGCGTTTCATAATCGGTGATTAAACGGCACAAAGGTAACCGATAGTAATTTATGGGTAATACAAACATTAGACTAAATTGCTAGTGTCCACCGGGGCGCTAAAAACTTGCTAATTCACCTGAAAAATAGAGTGGCTTAAGCTAACATAAAAACGTTTGCTAAATTCACGGAGTGCAGCTTCCAGTGCGCTCGTTTAATTGTAGTTAACTGGCTACGCATTAAAAACAGACTTTTAAACGAACTCCCAGAGCTGTAGCTATATTTTGGAAGAAATTTACAATGGACAGTATGTTACTTAGCTAATGTGGTCGGTGTTAGCTTTAGTAAAAAAGTGCATTGCTTTGTTAAAGTCAGCTGACAGCCTTCTGCTGCCAACAGCCCAGCGATGGATCAACTGAAAGTAAAGGATCGGATACTGGAAAACATTTCCTTTTCTGTCAAGAAGGTAAGCTCTAGCGAGTTGGACAAAACACTTTTAATATAATCAAATAGTTGAATTTGCTTGTGATTTTCCACGTGTTTGAGTCACAGTAGCTAATATTAGTCATCATCTGTTAGCGAAAGAGAGCCACATACAACCTTTTCAACTGGGCCATGCCCTTTCTATTAATTAGCACATCTTAATAAATAATGTAGATCAAATTAATGGTGCGTGTTTTCAAATTGATATCTGCAGTGTGTGTTTTGCGAAAACCAGTGACACCAAGCCACTGTGTTTTTATTCTGCAGCCTGTGTTGTAAAGCAGCCATTCATACTAGTGATGCACCGATATGCAATTTTTGGGCTGATACTGATATCCGATATTAAGATCACTGTTATGGCCGATAGCCGAGATTTGCCGATACTGATATACTGACAATAATGCTTCTAAAATCAGCAGATTTTGTATAGAATGAAAACTATTAAAGCTGAATTTACCTTATTATGTACACACACCACTCACATTTACGGTTCTGAGATGATTACAATCACTATCACATGACTAAACAGTTACACATCACCCCCCTCACCCTCTGAAACAGGCAAACAAATGGACATGAGATGGAAAAAAATATCGGTTGGTAATATCGGCCCGGTTTTATTTATGTAACTGATACCGATATGTTAAAAAATGACTAACATTGGCCGATATATTGTCCATCCATAATTCGTACCTGAGATCTACCGTGTAACAGGCATCTTTTTTTAAATCAGTTTAATTAATTTAGATCTTAATATAAATTTCAGTTACTATTATTGTAGCAGAACCATTCTTTCTGTAATCTGATGGTAAGACATTACATATTGTTCCTCTATCTCGTCTTGCAAGCTTTTGTTGTTTATCAAAACCTTCAAATGTTAATGTAAGTTTTTAATGTCACAAAGTTAGAAGTTTGTATTGAGATCCTTCTTTAATGCCCTTAATGCAGCCAGTCTTATTTTCTTTGTCATACCACAAACAAATATGAGGTGTTTATGAGCTTCACTGTCAACATAAAGGTAGTTTTGACCTCAGTAATGTTGGACTAAGTCAAAGAACAGAAATGAGATGGGAAACTTTAATTTGGTTGAAGGCTCGCAGTCAGGTTTAAAATTAATATAAAGATCAGTTTAGGACAAATGAGTGAAAAATCTGCTTAATTTCACTGAAAGTTTTTCTAATGTCATAACTCTCCCACTGTCCTTATGGGTGTGACCCCGCGAGGAAGCACCACCTCACCCCTGCCACGTGGACCTCAAGGGATAAACCATCAACCCTGCTCAATGGTCAACTTTCCTCGTGGGGTCACACCCATTAGGACAGTGGGAGGGTTAAAGGTGTGGTTCACTCATTTAATCAATACGTTTGCAGTGGTCTCTGAATGATTTACTCTGATCTCACTCTGAGGAAGCGAAGATCCGGTGCACCAGTTTCATGAAGTAGAAGCGAGCCACATCAGAGTTGAGCTTAAGTCGGCAGGATTTGAAGTCTTATTTCCTGATATTTGGAACATCTTTCCACTGATTGTCTAACTGCAACACGACTCGATCACTGACTGTGTTTGCTTAGCAACGTTGATGTTTTATCTCCCGGAATAACACACTGTGTTGTGGAGTTGCTAATGGTTAGCTTCTACTAGTTGAGATATTCTCTGCAGTTTCCTGGACGCTAAACCAACAACAGCCTTTCCCGTCGTGAGTCGAGATGCGAGTCCATGAACATTAAGTGACAGTTTGGTGTAGATCTGGCAGGCTTTTCAAATCCTACAGTGTCACCATATATTTTCTACCAGAAGCTAATTCAGGGAATAGCTGTAGGAGACTATTTTCATGTTCAGCCTGCATGAAAAACTCAGAGTGACCGATTAATAATCAGAAATAAGATCAAAAAGAAAAACGTTTGTTCATTGTTCCAGACTTTTAAACTTTCTAGGAACTTTCATCTCTTTTAGAGCTAACATGTTTTCTTTATTCACAGAATAAAAAAGTACTGAATTATTAATTTAGTGTTATTTTTAATTCTAATCTATGTGACGCTCTGCTGGTTATTGCATGGAAGTAAAACGTTTGAATTATTTCAGACAAATCATCTAAAAGTCAGCCATTTTAAAATCATTACGTTACAAAACAAATATTGTCTGTATAGCTGTCAGAAATGCTTTAAGACATGTTAAAATTGCTTAATGAAACTGCTTCTTTGCAGTTGCAGAGTTACTTTGCAGCCTGTGAGGATGAAACTCCAGCCATCCGGAATCACGATCGCGTCCTTCAGCGTCTGTGTGAACACCTTGACCATGCTCTGCTGTATGGGTGAGTGATTTACTTGAACAGATTTGGAAAAAGAAAAGAGTCAATGGGCTGTTTGAAACGACTCATCTGATTGTGGACCGTGTAATCAAATGACTCTGAAATCACAGCTCAAATGTTATGTGTAAAAACCAGATTCTTCCCATTCTTGTTTTTCTCAACTTCATTTGGTAGGAATGGATAGAAAGTGAAAGTGTGTCTACATGTATTTGCAACTTAGCAGTTGACCTTGTTGCAAAGCGATGCATGGTCCTGTTGTTTTGGCACAAAGATAAAACGGGGGCGAAAATGCCTGAATGCGTGCGTCTATCAATCAATCAAAGCTTTATTATAAAGCGCCTTCCGCGACCCTGTCGGGAAGCCCAAGGCGCTGAACACGGTACATGAGAAAAACAGGTGAAACATTAAAGTAGAAGACAAATGGGTAAAACAAGAGATAAAGAGACCAATGAAAGCAGAGAATTAAAATCAGCATAAAAGAAGGGCGAACTCAAACACGTTCAGGGAACGCCAAGCGGAGGAGGTGGGTTTTTAGGCGACACTTAAAGACTGGCAGAGATGGGGACAGCCTAACTGAGGGTGGCAACTGGTTCCAGAGTGACGGTGCTAGGACTGAGAAAGCCCGGTCCCCGCGAGTACGACACCTAGAACGAGGGACAGCGAGCAGGTCTTGGTCATAGGAGCGCAGAGCGCATGATGGGGAATGTCTGTTCAGGAGCGTGGCTAGATGGGGGGGAAGCACCACCCTGGAAGAAATTGTAAACAAAGACGAGGAGTTTAAAGTGTGAATGATAACAAACCGGAAGCCAGTGCAGGGAGGCCAGAACCGGACTGATGTGGTCCCGTTTCCTGGTCCCAGTCAGAAACCTGGCTGTGCTGTTCTGCACAACCTGTAGGCGACGCAGTGATGACTAAGGCCCTGTCCACACGTAGCCGGGGATCTGCCAAAACGTAGATATTTTTCTACGTTTTGGCCTGTCATCCACACGAAAATGGATTTTTTTCACACGAAAACGGATCTTTTAAAAAACTCCGGCCAAAGTGAAGATCTGTGTTTTCTCCGTTTTGGGTGTCTGCGTGTGGACAGACAAAACCGGAGTTTTAAGGTCCGCAACGTCACTTTCCGCGACAAAAAAATGCTGACATCACGTGTGCGACCTGTGTTTACACTAGCCGACAGCATGGATGCCCTCAGAGCTGCGCTGGCTTTATCAATTGTCCAAGCGCTTTTTGCTTGTTTGTTTTTGCAAGTGGAATTACTGCTCCTTGCGGAAGACCACAGACGAAGGACGAGGTTAAGAACGGGGGAAGTACTGCCGCCTACAGGTCTGGCATGTCCTTAACAACGTATTTATCCGGGTACGTGTGGACAGAGTTTTATTTTAAACGAGGTGGTGTGGATGCAAGTTTTTGGAGGGGCGGATATTCGTTTTTAAAAACACCCGGCTACGTGTGGACTAGGCCTGACACAACCCTGCTTATAGAGAGTTGCAGTAATCAAGCCTAGAAATTACAAAAGCATGCAGTACCCGCTCCAGGTGGGCTCTCGACAGCATAGGCTTTATTCTTGCAAGGCATCTCAGATGAAAGAAACTGGACCGGATCACAGAGTTGTTGTGAGCATCAAATTTAAGTCCAGCGTCAATTTTCACCCCCAGACTGGTGACAACTGGTTTTGAGTAGGGAGAAAGAGGGCCAAGATCAACATAACGACACACATCCCTGCTGTTGGGGTGGAAGACAATGAGCTCTGTCTTTCCCTCATTCATCTAGACTGAATAGATCTCTACTCTGGAGGCTGGTAGCAGATGTGAGATTAAAAATGGGTGAATGAAGTTTCTATTCCCTTCAGATCAGCCCTTGCTCAAGGAGAGTTTAGCTTTACATCATCTTACAGGCTTCATTAAACTTTCTGTTTTCCTATTTTAGGCTGCAGGACATCTCATCAGGCTACTGGGTCCTCGTTGTTCACTTCACCAGGAGAGAGGCTGTACGGCAGATAGATGAGCTTGAGCACATAGCAACCAACCTCGGTCGAAGTAAGACACCATTGCTACATATGTAAAGCATCATTCATCATTTAGGCCCCTTTTTAAAAGAAAGATCACTTATTTGTTCTCTGTAGGCCGTGCATGGTTATACCTGGCTCTGAGTGAGAGTTCTTTAGAGAGCTACCTGCGTCTCTTCCAGGAGAACCAAGGATTGTTGCAGAAGTATTATTTCAAGTAAGCTTTAAAATGTTTTAATACTCTTGAGGATTGTATGTAATAGACGCTTTGTTTCAAGTAATCAAAATATTTCTACTTTTAGAAAAGCGTTGGTTTGCAGTCATGACCACCTCACACTCTTTCTCACGCTGGTGTCTGGCCTGGAGTTCATTCGCTTTGACCTGGAGCTGGTCAGCATCCACTTCTTACCAAAAAAAAGTAGAAACTCTGCTTCTAAGCAATAGCTGCATGTTTATATTATTTGTGGTTGGGTGCTGGTGGTCTAGGATGTGCCCTACCTCGATGTGGCTCCGTACATGCCTGAATACTACAAACCACAGAACCTACTGGACTTTGAAGAAAGACTTCCCAGCTCAGACAGTCTGTCTCTGCACTCCTTCACCTCCATCACATCCACTAACCTGGAGTGGGACGACAGCGCCATAGCTCCCTCCAGTGAAGGTAAGGAGAACGGAATGATCATCTCATTTAATGAAAGTGTATTCTACTTTCTAATAAATTAGAATTAAGTTTTAATAATGAGACATGGGGTGTTTTTTCTATCATCTGGGCCAAGTTTAATCCTCAATATTTTTTCCCAGTTGTTATTTTTCCAGTTAAAAGTTGAGCCTTCTTGTATTTAGTCACAAAAAATTCCCCACTATTCATTTAAATGTCACTTTCTTGCTTATTGAGCATATAGGGAATAACAAACGTAACTTTTTTTTGGTTTAAAACGTGTTCAGAACCTACTGAAGTTCAAACACTAGTAGATACCAAGCAGATGGACTAGCCAAGTGTTTGGATTAATCAGCACAAAGCCTTGAACACAACTAAAGTACATTTTTTCAAAGATAGCTTGGCACGCATGCTGAAGATTGCAGAATCTGTATCATGGGGGTAATTGCAGCACTCGCTGCTTTCCTCATCAGTCCCAACAAAGTACTGAGCCAGTTCCTCTGTTTTACTTCCCACTTCTCTGTTTTACCCTCATAATTTCTGTTATTTCACATTCCATTCATCATGCATTTTTTTCATTGTTTGTGTGCCATCTACTCTGTCTTGATTTCAGTTCATCGTTCTCTAATTTGAAATGTTATTCCTCCTTTTTTTTAGATTATGATTTTGGTGACATATTCCCCGTGTTGCAGTCATTGCCAAATGCAGACTGGGAAGGTGGGACATTGGTCAACCCTCCCCTCCCAGCCCGTCCATTCCATGTTCTCTCGTCTTCTTTTGCTCCTTTCTAGCATGGATTTGTGTACAGTTTGTGGTTGATGCATGCTGGGTACTCACGTTGAACTGGAACAAAACGTTGTTTTAATTAAAAGAAAATGCTGAATGTTAACACAAAACTTTTAGCATGCACAAGGACTGCAGGCATCGATTCATATCAGCAGATGGCTGAGTAAAGCTGTTTAGTGAGGATTAAATTTACTTTTGTCATACTAGAAGGACAATAGACTACCATAAAATGCCTAGACCTATTTAGGATAAGAAACTCATCAAATATATTTATCAGTATTTATATTCAGGCAGTGTTTAAAGGTTTGGTTCAGAGAAACCGTGTAATTTGAATAATTATTTTTGAAACAGGATTGGCCACTATGAGCTGCATATGGAGACTGAACATGAAAAATTTCTTCATCACCTGCTTTAGTCACGGAAAGGAAATGGACAAAAAATTAATTGGTCAGAAACCCCCCGTCTCTTCTATGTCACCTGAATCAGCAGAAAGTTTGTTGATTTTGCAGCCAGGAGAGAGTAGCGTGTATCTCGACTACTAGAAGCTAACCATTAGCATTAGCAACTCCGCAACATGGTGGAACATGTTCAGGCTTGTGTTAATTGTGAAGATAAAACATCAGTATTGTATTTTTACCCAAGAAAGAAGAGCGAATGAAGGCAGCGTAAGAGTTGTGCTGCTGTTAGCCAATCAGAAGCGAGATGTTAGCATATCATCGATGTTAATGAGTAAAACTTGTTATTCCTGTTGTTTTCTGCCCCCCGCTCCTCCAGCCATCTTATACCCTTTCACAGAAAACAACTCACAAGACATTCAGGCCACGTGCACATGTAGCCAGCTTTTAGTAAAAGTGAATATCATCTCCTGCTCATCTAGGAAAAGAAACTTCCACAGCACCTTGTTTTACGTTATGAAGCACGTTCACAAGCGTGTCAAGTACATGGCAGGAGATACCCAAATCTTTGACATATTTGCCAAAAAACATTCCTTAGACATGGAATTACTAGGTGGTACATCCTAATGCCATTCTATGCCTGTGGTCTTCTACACAGAGCAGTTATTGAGCTTGTAAAAACAAGCTAGTGAGTGTAAAGACATGTTGCGCATGTGCATCAGTGCATTTTTGTCATGGGCAGTGATGTTGCGGAACCTAAAACCCCAGTTATTTACGTCCACATGCACAACTGAGGATTTGCAAATCTTCATCTTGGTTGGAGTTTTAGAAAGAATAGTGTTTAGTGTTGTGTGTCTTCACTTTCAGCGGATGACAGGCCAAAGCGTAGAAAAATATCCTCATTTTTTTGGGATCCCTGGCTCCACGTGGATAGCGTCTCATTCATAGACCACAGCTGATTTATTAAAAAACAAGTGAATGTGAACTTTAATTCACACACAGACCCTGAGCTGCTTAAAAATAATGTTGTAAAATTAATCAGTTTGTCACATAAACAAAATAAACATGGTGCTGCTATAAAAGCAGCGAATAGCTGTTACTAAAGCCCAGATGTTTAAGCACCTTCCGTGTGTAGAAAAATGTTGCTGGGTGCCACTTTATGAATCATGTGGTGGTCCTAATAAAAAAATATGTATTTTCTTTTCATGAGCATCTAATCTTCTTTGTCTTTTCTACAAAACGGCCACATTTATACCTCAAAAGGGTGAAAGTTAGCTTCATTCTAAAGTGTTACAACCCGTCTAGGAGGGCCAGGCTGTAACATCAAAATGGTTCCATCTTCCACCAATTCCAAACCACCACACCAGAATTCCGAGTACAATAATTTATTACAATAATATAATTTATCCACAAGATCAAGGTGATGAACTAAGGATGAGGGAGTATTAATAACTCAGGGTGAACCAATGCCTAAAACAATAAACAAAACACCTCTAACTTCAGAATGAATACTGACCTACAAACTTAAAGGAAATAATTGACAACCAAACTTACCTCCCTGACTATCCAAAACAGGAGAAAACAGGAATGCAAAGAAAAAAGGCGGTTCACCCCTACAGAATCCTCGAATGGCAGGTAATAGTCACAAAAGGCACAAGGGCATCACACAAACACAGAGCATCAAAATGGTGGCTGATTGGAATGAGTGAAGGATGAAGAACACGGCTGCATCTCTTCAGGCTCCTTTTAACAGCTTTGTCCCAGCTGATCTTCCAATCCAAACATCCCCTGGCCATCATCCACCAATCCTAGGAGGGCACCTGCACACTCAAAACAACACTAGAAATACAAAGAGTATAAAAATAAAAGAAATAACATTCCTTATGACCGGGGTCATAACAAAAGGCAAGGCAGAACACATTAAGAGCATGCTTCAAAAGCAGAATAAGAAAGAATAGTTTATATATTTAACATTTAATGGCAATTATGCAGTTTTTGTGGTAGATTGGACAAACCATAGGATATTCCCAGTCTTACAGAACTGCTTCCACACAAATCTGAGTGGTGAGTCTGGCACATATGGGTGGGTTTCTGTCGGTCTTATTCTGCATGTGTAAATGCCTGAAGCAGCTGGCACTCACCTTGTAAACTCTAGCTTTTGTTGTTTGGTGTCTCTGTCTGTGTCTCCTGTTGATGCGCTGCATTGGCCTGGGGTCAGCTAAGCTGTAGCATGAGTTAATAAAAACACCTACATCTGCTAACGGGATTAAAATGCAGATTTTTATCAATTTGATCACAGTTTAACCCAAAGTTATGAGTCAAAATTTGTGTGATTATTTTTGTGTGGAAGGAGCAACCATAATTGGTCAGTTTTTCTGGATAAATTTCTTTAAACATAGAATAATATTCTAACTCTAGAGGCTACAGCAGTAAGACTTGACCTTGGCCTGTGCTTTTGCAACAACTGCTGGCTGTGCTATTATTCAACTACTCATTTACTCTGCCAAAGAAATTCACAAATACAACAGTTGCTAACATTAACTTTTCCAAAAAAAAAAAAAAAAAAAAAAAGGGAAGACACACAGTATTTCTGTTGGCTTGTTTGGTTGTTTGGACTTTGATGTTTGTTAAAATAAAACCGGGAGATGTACCTCCATTTTAAGAACCTAAACCAAAGCAGTCAGCCTAACAGCAAAACACAAAATCTGTGTATTTCCTTTATTTTGAACATTTAGATGTTTCTGTTATGCATAACTCCCTCTGTGTGGCTTTTAGAGGGTGAGTTGACCGATCAGGCCAGCTGCCCAAGGTCCACTGGATCTGACCCCCAGACGGTCATCAGTGACACAGTGAAGGGGATAGTAGCCGCTCGGCAGTCTCCACACAGCCCCACAGCCAGACATAACCCCTTCAACGAGGACTCTGACACAAATACCTCTGCAGACGTCACACCGGTTCACACCAGGCACCACAAGACGTCCACCACTGGAGACGAGGCAGAGATCGACAGCAGTGAGCTTGAAGTTATTCGGTACTTTGTTCTTATTTTTTAGCACTTAAGAGCAGATTCATACCCATAGCAACAGCTAACCTCTCCTGTTCATTTAGGATGGCCAAACGGAGGAAACCTTCCAAAAAGCAACGGGGGAGGGGTTCCACAGATTCCACCTGCAGCAACCATAACTCGGTCTCCTCTGAACACGCAGAAGTGGAAAATGGCACCCTCACCTCTGAGGATGCTGATTCACTAACTTCCACAATAGTGCGGCTGGATAGTGAAGGAGAGCTGGGCAGAAGCAGGGTTGGATCAGTGATAGTGGAGGAGGAAGGTGAGGAAGGTGTAGAAGGCCTCCTGCGTCTGCCAGAAATGACGGACACGTCCATGGATAGCGTTGGCCAGCCGCTCCGTGATGTCATGGACCGACTCAGTGGCTCTTGGGCGCACCCAGAGGAGGAAGCTAAAAGTGGTCCAGGCTGTGAGCAGAGCTCTGAGCCTCCAGCACAGCAGCCCTTTCGAGAAGACTCGGAAGGAAAACCACCTGACCCAGCTCCAGGAGAGATGCCTGGCTCCTCTCAGGTCACAGGCTCCAACTACCTGCAGGAGTCTTCTCTGTCTGCAGACTTGTGCTGTTTTACCCCCAACGGTCCAGACCCTGCTGACTCAGGTGGTGGCCACCATGACTCTACAGAGCAAAGTCAGTCAAAGGCTCTTTCAGGTCGCCTTGAAGATGAAGAAGAGGCAGAATCGCCAGCCGGACGGAAACCCCAAATGAATGAAGAGGAGGAAGGTCCAACGGCCGAAACCAATTCAGCTGAGGAAGCAGAAGAGGAGCATAGTCCTTCTGAAGTCTCTCATCCAGCAGAGTTCAAGTAAGAAGCCAACACAAAAAGTCTTTGTTGTAAATTGATTGTTTAAAGCGTGTCTAATGTTCTTTGTGCTTTTCAGGGTGGACAACAATCACTTACTTCTTCTGATGATTCATGTGTTCAGAGAGAACGAGGAGCAGCTTTTCAAGGTGAAGAAAAAATCTTTATGTTAAGTGTTTCTTTGGTACTTTTATTGTGAAAAGTAATAGAATTTATTTCAAATGCAAAAAGAAATGTCCATCGTCAGTTTAGCTAAAGCAGCAAATCAATTCAATTCAAATTCAAAAATACTTTATTAATCCCAGAGGGAAATTGATTGCTGTAATAGCTCATAATAATAATAATAATCAAGTCATCAAAGAGTTGTTGTATATTACAATGGCTGTTGGCAGGAAGGATCTCCAGTAGCGGTCAGTGTTGCAGCGAAACTGAAGAAGCCTCTGACTGAAGACACTCTTCCGTTGTCGGACAGTCTTGTGAAGAGAATGCTCAGGGTTGTCCATAATTTTCTTGATTCTCTGGAGAACCCTTCTTTGCATTATCTCCTCCAGCGGTTCCACAGTCGTCACCAGAATAGAACCAGCCTTTTTATTAGGCTGTTGAGCCTTTTCAGGTCCCTGCTTCTGACGCTACTACCCCAACAGATGATGGCTGAAGAGATTACACTCTCAACAACAGACTTGTAGAAGATCTGCAGCATCTTGCTACAGACATTGAAGGACCTAAGCGTCCTCAAGAAGTGCAGTCTGCTGTGTCCCTTCTTGTAAACGGCTTCGCTGTTCTTTCTCCAGTCCAGTCTGTTGTCCAGGTGAACTCCAAGGTATTTGTATTCCTCAACCACCTCCACTCCTTCTCCCATGATGGAAACAGAGTTTGACTCCACACAATTTCTTCTGAAGTCTAAAATCATCTCCTTTGTTTTGTTCACGTTCAAGGTCAGATGATTGTTTCCACACCATGCCACAAAGTGCTCCACCAGGTCTCTGTACTCAGCTTCCTGTCCATCTCTGATACACCCGACAACTGCAGAGTCATCTGAGTATTTCTGTAGATGACAGGTCTCTGATTTGTACTGGAAGTCTGAGGTGTACAGGGTGAAAAGGAATGGTGAGAGTACAGTCCCCTGTGGTGCTCCATTGTTACTGATCACCTGGTTTGATGTGCAGTTCTTCAGCCTCACAAACTGTGGTCTGTTTGTCAGGTAGTCTTTAATCCAGGCGATAGCTGAGGCCCCCACCTGTGTCTTCTGGAGTTTCTGGCAAAGTACATCAGGCTGAATTGTGTTAAATGCACTGGAGATATCAAAGAACATGGCCCTCACAGTGCTGCCTGCTTTGTCCAGATGACAGTGGGTTGGTTGAAGTAGCTGGATGATGGCATCTTCCAACTCCAACTCCATGGCGATAAGCAAACTGCAGCGGGTCCTGATATGTTCTAGTTTGCTTGTTCAGGTGGACCAACAGGAGTCTCTCCAGGACCTTCATGATGTGGAATGTCAGGACAACCGGTCTGTAGTCATCATAGACTGATGGGCGAGTTTTCTTTGGAACTGGAACAAGGCAGGATGTCTTCCACAGGACTGGAACCTTCTCCTGGGCCAGGCTTAGGTTGAAGAGGTGCTGCAGAATCCCACAGAGCTGCTCTGCACATGCCTTCAGTACTCTGGGGCTGACACCATCTGGACCTGCAGCCTTGTTCCTGTTCAGTCTCTCCAACTGCCTCTTCACCTGACTTCTAGAGACAGATAAGTGGGAGTGGGAGGAAAATGGGGCAGCAGCATCTCCTGACTTGGTTGAAGACAGATTTATAGAACCAGAAGAGTTCATGACAGTGTTTGAGGA